TACGACGGAGATAGGCAGGCAGCCGGTGGTATTGGAGTGAGTACTAGAGTTGAAGGCGTTGACAATGTCCAGAGACACCGCCACGACGACTCGCCCCCTGGCTAATGCAGTCCCCTCACGCGCAAGATTGAGTCCACCGAAACTTATTGGTATATGGATGATAAGTAGGTAGTTAAACAGCATTCTTCCAATTACCTACCTGATTCTTGTAATGGATTAACGGATTTCCCTCTACAACCTTGAGATAGATAAATAAATTGAATGACTTAAATTAAGTGCCAGACTTTCTTATCAAAATCTTTAATTAGTCAACAATGATAAAAACAATGTAATTAGTTATCTGACTGTTGATCTTACTGTTACCTACGTCATTTTTATATTATCATCCTTTAGTCATGCAAATTAGTATATTGACCGCTAATCAGCACGTATTTATTTAGGCATCCTTGCTATATTTGTGTGAATCACAGATATTAGGGCTAAGTACGGCATTAATTTGATAATATTGACATCGATAAATACTTAACAATTTCCGGAGTATAATTTACCTACTTAGAGTAGATTGATCATGAATTTTTGAAACGAATTGGACGTGTGAATGGAAACAATCACCTTATTCAAAATTGAATGATTTTATTAGTAAAACAGATTATAATCTCCAACGCAATCATCAGAAGTATTTTTTGAAAAAAGTAAAGTATCCGTGTCTTTTTATTTCTTTGAGAAGGAAAGTCATCAAATTACTTCTCCTGCGCTGGGTGAGGCTAAAGGGAGGTCAAACTCTTACAGATTAAAAACCTCCCTGTCCCCTCTCCTGCTGCAAGCCGAAGCTGCGGTACCTATTCTTGACTAGCAACCCCAGCTGAACATCGGCCCTGTTGAGCCGTATGTGTATGTGGTGACCATAGAGAAAATGTCAAGTGGAGAGAGCATCTGTACGTTTTTGTTTGAAATCAAAATTACCAGACAACCGTGGGGCGGATTTCAACTTCGCCCGTTGTCATTGGTCGACGAATTGACCACCAATGACAGCAGATTTTTTGGCAGATGGCAGATTCTGAATATTTTCTTGATGGTGGTGACTGGTGACCGAAGAGGTGGACTGAGATTATATTTAACATACATAACGTCCACTCATCCACGGAGTGCTCCGTACCATAAACAAGTTTGTTTTGAGAGCCCCTTTTAATATTAACGTTACTTGTATTTGATGTTATAGTGACATGGGGAAATTACCTGGGTACCTATATATCATCTGACCAAAAATCAACTGCTTATTATCACTCTTCATGAGCTGCAGTCAAGTGACAAACAGACAGACGCTAGATGGACTGACAAAATTGGGTTTCCGTTTTTAAACAAAGGAAAAATAAATATTTGTTGAATTCAACTTCAAAATACAAAAATGGCCGTATTTAGAAAGCATAGTTTTTATTTTAGTGTCACAATCACGAAAAACACTGTACTGACCTTAATTGCGTTTGGTACTTATAGGTAGATATCTACATGCTGTCTTAAGTGGCGTTGTGGCCCGGAGGTTAAGCTTCACAGTAATATGTATAAATGACTAGCTGCTCCCGGGCCATTGCACCTGCTACTCAGCCCCGCTATGGACACATACCAGGGACTCAAGTCTACATGTATTACAATAGTGTCATAAAAGTGGATCATTGATTTTAAAATTGTTAATCTTGACTAGTTTGATAATCTACTACAAGATGGCGTCATTATGACTTTCCAACGTTCAACCACTTTGTTTGCGTGGAATAGTGACCTCCTGCAGATTTACGTTTTAAAAACTATCCTGTGTCAAATAGGTTCCGTAGTTTAGGCGTGAAGAAAAGACAGACAGACCTACAAATAGAGTTACTTTCGCATTTATAATGTTAGTTTGGATTTGGATTGAAAGATTTTTTAGAATGATAATCTTGACAAATTTAAATTATGACAAATAAATATTTGACATAATGCGGTAAATTAATAAAAGTTTGTCAGTTCCTTTAATCAGTCATTCGCGATTACAATATGATTGTGTTAATATTGTTTATAATTCGTTACAGCTCATACCACATTTGTAATTCAGCTGGGGTTGCGGGATAAGCGCAATGAGGCACTGCGACCTCGGCCCAGAGGAGGAGAAGGAACGGGGGCGTTTTTAGCCAGTAAGAGTCTGACACTCCCTCCCATCCGACCCTGGGCGGGCTAATCATCAAATGACGATAATTATCCCCTCACAAAAAAGCCACAATTCTAGTATGACACCGCTGACCGTCGAATGATTAGCCATTATGAATTAACAGGTTACTAATTTTTAACAAAATGGCAATGGAATAGAATGACAATATTTTGAAAATAGCAGACTTGCGCCCCAAAGCAGTCACAGTCGCGTTGCTCTCTTTTCGAAGGGCGTTTCTTGAAGGTTTGAAGGTCGTAACGGGGCGGAAATATTGCGCTAATTAGCGCATATCTACAAACAAACAAACAAAACAAACTCTTCATCTATGTACCTATATATTATAACACTCCCGCGCGGTTTCACCTGCTGCTCAGCCGCTAATCATCGTTGCGTGATATTTTATAAAATTATAACATATACCTTTTTCGATAAATAGACTGTCCATCGCCAAAATAATAGTTCAATTCAAACTAGTAGTTCACAAACTTTGATTAAGTATCTATTTCATATTATTTTACCTCTCATTCTTATAATGAAATTAGTTCTTTTTTTGTTTCTTCTTTATTTTCTTGTCATTTTCCTTTCTTTCTTTCTTTTATCGCTTATCACCAAAGCCTTTAAATTCCTTCTGCTGAGTAAAGGCCTTTTCTCACTCGAAGAAGTTATGAAAATTTATCACTACGCTTGCAGTGGTTATTCAGCTCATTGCTTGAAATTGAAATTATAATTTAACCATCAAAAAAATATTTAATCGCCTTCAATTCTGTACGAGTACTTATATCCCGTATTATCTATCCAACAATGTTTACAAAAATAATCAATTCTATCCCCATCCTTTTCTAGCACAGTTAGCACGAATATGTTTGTTTCAATAACTTAAACTTTGTTTCAATTCATTTCATTCAAAAATGTTTTATCGAAAACATAAATTATATACATTTTTGTCTGATCGATAACAAATAGGCCGATAAGGATAACGAACGCGACGCTTGTATACGTGATAAAGTAAACGATTGCCAATTTTAGTAATTTTTACTTTTAGTTAGGTATAAGTAGATATGTCTTTATTAAAAATACTGTAAATTATTTGTCAGTTGCCTTTTTTTTTTTTATTGACTATAGGTTCGCGCTTGACCGCTATCTCACCTGTTGGAAAGCGACGATGCGGTCGACGATGGAGCGCGCTTACCTAGAAGTAACCTATTCACTCTTGACTTAAAGATACCCGGATTGTAACTATCAGGAAACACCGACTCCGGCAAGGAATTCCACTCCTTGGCTGTACGGACAATGAATGTGTTCCCAAAACGTTTTGTACGTATATGTGGGACATCCACCATGTACCGGTTACTGTACATGTACATTACATGCCTTGCAGTAATCTATAATAAAATTAAACTCTAAATGCCAACGATTTATAAGTAATCCTTATTCTTAGTGTGATAAATGATTAAAGTATTACTGCGTAAAATAATATCAACTATATTCTTACTTCTGAGCAAAGATCTCTTCTCAAGTGGAGAAGCTTTCGTCACGATTATTTCCTTCACCCTATGTAATAGGTAAGCAATGTCTAAAAATCTAGGAAAGTATACAAAACTCGGAAAATGTCACATTGGTGATTCGTAAGTTTCAAACTGGCACCATTCATAATGAAAATGTTTTATGTTTTTTGCAGTTTCGAATTTTGGAATATACATATTACCTATACTTACAGGGACAATATTTATTTCAACATCTACCACAAATTATAAGACTACGACTGCAAAAAGCCAATTTAAAAAAAAGATGGGTGCACTAAAGCGTCATAAATACCGTCCGTAATCTATTTGTCCTTATACTCGTATATCTGACGCTGAAATTTCCATGATACATTATGGTACAAGCAATTAAATATATTAAAAATTTCTAAATAAAGAATTTTTTGTACATTCTACTTAAAATAGAAAACTCAATTTTCTATTTTTCGATTCCCGTGACATTTAAAGTATTTTATCGACACTTTTTCAGAAATATCAATACAAAGTCCGGAGACGACTATAGATAGGTACTTATTATGTGACACTCTCTAAACATACCAATACCTAACTTAAAACCCACATTGTGTATTAGTAACTCTGCCTGCCAACCCCTTTGCGGATAAAACGGTGCGACGTTATATACGTTATACTCGAACATATACTTATTATACCTACTACCTTTCGAACTATGAAAGCACTGAAACGAACTTAGACACGCCTTGGTGAGGCCTTGACACATGTCTTACTTTATGAATAACGCCATCTCTTGAATGACTCGACAAATCACATTCTTTTAAACAAAGAACTGACACCAAAACTGACACTGTTTCTGCCAACCCTTTCATAAAGTAATAAGCTTATTGGTAGCATATGGCTGCATTTATACGAAAGTAGTTGTTATTTCAGTGTATTAAAGTTTATTTTATTCTGTCTCACAGTAAAATACATTTGTTTTAGTTTTACGAGCTTACGCTGAAACACGAAGCTCGACTTTTTACACGTTCTTTAAGTAATTGGTGTTGCGAAACTTATTGTATTGTCTTTACTTACTCGTTTACTTGATAAAACAGAAAATTTTGCATTGATTTGTTTTGTTTAAAATTTTGGGAAATAGGACTATTGTACCTACATAATTATTGTAGTAATCTAATTAATAGGAAGGTCAATTTAATAGACGAGATAACGTCTTTAAGAGACGAATGAGATCAGATAATTCAAATCAATATGATGTAGATAAAACGAGTAATATGAAATAAACTAATGTGCCTAAACTGAAAACTGATTTACTGAAAACATAAACAAACCTCTAGTTCCTCCAGAAACTTGATCTGCTCGACGTCCCTGGTGTCCTCCTCCTTGGTAATGATCCTTCCGTTCTCACTCACTGCACCGGTCAAGTTCACATCCTTCAACTGAGCACTGTCCACTTTCAGGTCATTCATCATGTGGTACGCACTGTTACTGTGTCCGTACTTGGCCATCGCTTGCACTATGGACTTGTCTTTGTAATATTTGAGGGTGTTGACTCCGCCAGGGTGGTCGCGCATGAAGCGGTCCAGGTCGTAGGGTTCCCCGTTGAAGATGACCGGGAACAGAGCGGCGGGCTGTCGAGCGGCCATGGCGGAGCTGTGTGGCGCCGCGCGCACCCGCGAGCTACCTGTGCCGACTAAAGCACGTTATCAGCGGCCGAGTCCCGTGTGATACGAGCAGATGTGTCAGCGCCTACTACCGGTACGTGCAGACCGAGTCACGGACGCGCCTTGCTACTTGCCGATTAGTTTAGCATCAGCGCTATAAATGCTAGTAAGAAATTAGTGGCGCGCCTAATGGCCCTGACTATTAACTTGGAATATTTTTGTTTTAAGTGGAATGATTCTAATTCTAATATGCCTAAGTGGTCTGAGTGTGTGCATTCGTTTGCGACAGCGTGACTACTAGTCGACTGCTCTTTCATGAACGTAGGTAACATTCGCTTTCACATTTCATGTGAGATAACTGAATTGGTTGAAGGTAATCATAGTCACGAATTTATTGGTTCAGCATTTGGACTTAGTATAATTCCACTACAAGCAGTGTTCATGTTAAGGAACGTGTTTACTGATTAGTACCTATACTTATCAATAAATACTAAGCATTTCTACGTTAATTAAAAGAAATTTAATAGAAAACTGTTTTGCATTGAAATCATAGAAACCTACTTACCTATATTAGGCACGACTTTCAAGATTGTAATTTAGGTAGAGCTGTCTAATTTGATAAAATTAATTTTATCGAATCGATTACACCCCTAAAATCCTCATTGACATTCCTACCTGATATAAGCTGATTATCACACATGATTTATTGATTAAACTAATCAAAGAGAAGGTATTAATTTGACTAGTGAATCACCACATAGACTATAAAATTACTAAAACCCACCGACTATTTTGGCAAAATTGTGATAAGCACAAGTCTAACTGATGAAGAAACGGGTAGATAATGGCCGGGCACCGTGTAGGTACTTTGAAGAGGATTTTAGAAAAAGTTTACTCTCATTAAACGCGCTGATTATTATCGATATTTAGTTAGACTTTAATGTACAGTCAGGGGTCGAAAATCCAAAAGCACTCTACCAATTTTAAAATTACCAAAAAATATCTTTGTAGAATAGGGTCAATGGTTGAGGACTGCTTTAATTTTTAGCATAGAATCTAAATATTGAATAAACTGGCTGTGAACCATTGAACTTTTTTCATTAATTATATTAGTACTATGTACTTAATACTAAGAAAAAGTATCTAAAACCTGCTCTCCTTCTTCCTAACATTTCAGCATAATGCAAGTTTACAACCATAATAGGACATAGTACCTACATTATTCACGACCTATCGCCTTAAATAAGCAAGGGAAGTAATAAGTAAATGAAATATGAAGATAATAGATCAAAAACAGAGCCAGATAGGAGGTGCTACTCACGGCCAGTTTGAAGAATCACTCAGAGGTGTCGAGGGGCGCGTCTGTTGATACTGTTGATAAGCTCGCTCATTATTTTAAGAGCTCCTCGCTTCCAAAAGTGTCGGACTACAAAAAAACAAACACGTAGCATTCCCTCATGAAATCTGGCAAATAGTAGGTATTTTATTATAAGTAGGTATATTTAAGTAATATTGTGTTTATTTTTATTACTTATCATTATTTATTGTGAAGAATTTGACTTAGGTATATTTGACGCAAGTTTGCGCAGTCATTGGCTGCAGTGGCGTAGCTATCATAGGGCCAGGTGGTGCCGTGCACCAGGGCCCTCGAGCTCAGGGGGGCCTCTAGCCTCAGCTTTGAAAAAAATGAAAACTTGAAAAAAATTAAAAAATTGAAAAAAAAAAAATATTTTTTTAAATTTAAATCAACACCCCCAATGATTAAACTCCTTGTTTAACATTTTCAACACATGCGCCAAGCGTCTTCGATAAGCAAGTGTTGTTTGTTTGTTGTCGTTATTTCAGTTATATGGTAGTTTGGATGAGTCCGCCCGTAGCACATTGGTTCATCTCACGTGCTTGACGGTCGTGAGATCAATTCACAAATTCCGCCCATCAACTTGTTAATGAAGTTTTCATTCGCTCTTGCCTTACATCAGTTCTTATTTATGATATTTCCGGCGATTTCGTCTGGGACGTACTACAGTAGTTGATGCTAGGTGTGTCGCTGACTGTTACTGTTGTACTTAGTAATTCCCTACTCTCTATATTAATATAGAGAGCCTCCGAGCCGAGATTAATACCTCTACTACCAGCCTTATTTCATCAAGTATCACCACTAATGTTATGATTTCTATTCCGTACATCCATCCATCCATCCGGCACCAATTTCAGGTAATACTCATTTTCGCAAAAAAAAAATCCGATAACAAGATATGTACGATACAGGTTGCAGCACAACGATCGGCAATAAAATATAACCAACGTTATCCTAAACTCAAGTCCAAATTGAGAAACGAGCTACTATAGAAACGGTAATATCTTCTTATGAATTAACATTGATTTTACCACATTATTACCAAACAAGCTGTTTTATGGTTCTTTTCTGTTGAGCTTGCTGTAATCTATACTAAACATTAACAAGCAATATAGGAAAATCTCAGTGAGTACTCCGGATTTCTAAAATTTCGATAGTTACCAATTAAAAATTATGGAACGAAAAAAGGAACGTAGCGATACCGCATAGCGGAAACAACGACAAGAAAGAGAAGAAAGGAAAAAAAAATTGCCTAAGCTAGATAGTTTTTTTACGAAACCGCTTCCTGCTACAGTTCCTTCAACAGCCGAAACATCGTTCAAAAGTGCCGAAGTCATCGTTCAAAATACTACCATCAATGCCCCTGCTGAAAATGACTACCTCGACGCTTCCGTGCAACCTACGGTAGAGGAATCATCAATTTCTACATCTTCAAAAGTTCTCGAAATTTCAAATGACTTGGGAAATTATATCAACAAGAAACTGAGTGATACCGAAAAACGTCTGATTCTTGACAAGGGACCTTTGAAACCTCCGGGACCTTTTCCGAAGGACACCCACCAAGACAACAGGAGCTTTTCAGAAACGTATTACGTTTCTACGTCACAATACGGTCCAGTTGATCGTTTTTGGATATGTTACTCCAAAATGCTGGATGCTGCCTACTGCCAACCGTGTTGGTTGTTCGCTGATGGATTTCGGGACTGGAGGCATTTATCAGACAGAATCAAGCAACATGGTTCCTCGAAAGCACACACGGAGGCGTGCGCTGTATATGAAGCGTGGCAAAAAAGTTCCACCATCGACAGAGAACTTGAAGATGAAATTCGCAAAGAAGCATCATTTTGGAGACAAGTTCTTCGCAGATTATTTGATATTATAATTACTCTTGCGAAGAGTTCTTTGGCTTTGAGAGGACATCGAGAGGATCTGAGTGAGAGAGGAAACCACGGAAATTTTCTCTCAATTGTCCAACTCGTCGCTAGATACGACCACATCTTGCGTCAAGTTTTGGATATGCCCAAAGGTAAGAAATTATCTAGTTTTTTTTTATTTTTTTTATGTAGTAAGTCGGCAAACGAGCTGACGGATTACTTGATGGTAAGCAATCAGCGCCGCCCATGGATACCCGCAACAAAGGAGTTACGAGTGCGTTGCCGACCTTTTAGGGATTAGGGATTTGGAGATTTAGAGATTTTAGAGAGGGATTGGGGAAGGGTCCGGGAAGGGGAAGGATTGGGCCTCCGGTAACCTCACTCACACGGCGAAACACAACGCGTTTACTGTGTTTATAATTTATGTTATCATAATCTAATGTTTTCTAATACCCCCATGTTTTTAGGATCAACAAGATACCTGAGTGCAACGATTCAAAATGAAATGATCGAGTGTTTGGGCACCAAACTCGAGAATCATTTGTTTGATCGAATTAGGGCGTCACCGTTTTTTGCCATCATCATGGATACAACGCAGGATATATCAAAAGTGGATCAACTGAGCATTGTCGTAAGATATGCAGTGATATCAAGATCGGAAAATGGACTACCAATCGACATTGAAGTAAGAGAGGTATTTCTAGGTTTTCACGCAGTCATTAAACACAGCGGCGCGGATTTGGTAAATCAAGTTACTACGTTGTTCTCCGAAAAGGGTCTTGATTTTAAAAAGTGTGTTGGGCAAGGTTATGATGTGGCCAGTGTAATGAGTGGTGCGTATAATGGTGTGCAAAAACAAGTTAAAGATATTCAGCCAAACGCAGAGTACGTACATTGCGCCAGTCATAATTTGAATTTGATCGTAAATGATGCCGTTAGAGGTTCCGTCGAAATTCGGAAGTTTTTGCAACAATTCAAGACTTATTTAACTTCTTTGGAAACAGCATTAAGCGCTGGGACCTTTTATCGAAATTCACCGGTGAATCAGAAATTACTTTGAAAAAATTGAATCCAACAAGATGGTCCAGCAGGGTTAATTCAATAACTGCAGTCAAACTTCGTTTTTTTCGATATCATCAAAGCATTGTCCGAAATAACGCTGAAGAGTTCCAGTAAAGACGAACGCAGTGAAGCAGAGATTATAAAATCAAAAATGCTGAATTTCGAGTTTGTAGGTATTTCTTTGTGAATTCATGCACAGCGTATTGAATAATATCAATTATGTTTCCAAAGTTTTGCAAAAACGTGATATCGTTTTGGACGAAGCGAGTAAGGCTTTGGACGAAATAACGGATAAATTGAAAAAGTATAGAAATGACTTCGAGTCCTTCAAGTCCAAGGCCACCGAAACCGCAAGAAAATACGACATCGATCCTACCTTCCCAGAAAAGCGACGAAGAAAAACTAAAAAGCATTTCGATGAATCGGCTTCTGATCACCGATTCGAAAACCAGGAAGAAGTCTTTAGAGTAACTATTTTCAACAGTGTAGGTACTCGACATAATAATCAATCAATTAGATGCGCGTTTTATAGGTATGAGTGCAATTTGTAAATCGTTCGACTTCATGATTCCAAAAAATCTGCTAAGCTGGAATGAAACGCTTTTACTCAAAAAATGTGATCAGTTTCAGAAGAAATATTGTGATATAATTGGACCCACTTTTTCGCTCCAATTTCTTAATGTATACCATCTGATCCTCCCTCAATTGATGGAGACGTGGTCTATTCGCCAGCTTTGCAAAGAAATTATAACGAAATTTGGCGTGCTCGAATGTGACCTTACAGAAGTGTATACAGCGATGCTACTGTTTCACACAATTCCTGTTACTTCCGCGGCAGCAGAAAGATCTTTCAGTAAACTGAAGATTATAAAACATTATTTAAGAAACAGCATTGGCCAAGATCGCCTCCGACATTTATCGTTGATTGCAATAGAAAATGAGGCGGCATCAAACTTGGAATTGAGTGAAATTATAGACGAATTCCAAACATTAAAGCGCGCAAGAGATTGTAAATCGGGCGGGGAATTCTCTTAAAAATCGTTTTTTCTTTTAATTAAAAATATTCTATATTGTTATGTGCGTCGTTGTTTATTTACTCCCTTTTTCTTCCATTGAACATAAAGATTTTAATAGAGACGACGTATGGATTTAGCCTACTAGGGATGATTCAACCCACTGTTTCCTATTCTTAGGTATTCCCTATCAATCATTTTTATATCACTAAGTTCAAACTGCGCGGAAAGCGGGGAGGAGAGCCCGATTCTCTCCCTATGCACCAGGGCCCTTGCCTCCCTAGCTACGCCACTGATTGGCTGGCATGATCTTTGAGAGCAATTCTAGTAAGGACTCTTTACTAAGAAGAAGGTAAAAGGTAATTCATCATAAAGTAAATTTAATGCAGATAAATATTGTCTTTTACAGGGTGATATTTTGATCGTATTTTTATTAATTAACAAGTTATGTTTATGTTAATATAATAGGTAGGTTACCTAACATATTCTTACATGTCCTACTCGACTTATTCTTGATTTACTTATTTCAGCTTCAGCCTGCGGCTTCGCATGTCTCAGCACGTGGAGGTCGGCTCGACCGGAGTGATGTGAGCTACGCCGAGACCCAATCCACTGTTTTCAGTCCCAATTTCCCAAACTTCAAATCCCTGATCTCCAAAGGATAAGCCCACTGATGTAGAGCGTCAACATGGACAGTGTGGATTATTTGCAGATGTCAGTAATCTGTCATCGTGTTTGTCGACCGACACGGTTTTGGAAGTTCGTGGTGGGACAATCCTACCACGACCTCCCAAAACCGCTGCAACTTCTGTCGACCTATACTATGAAAACTGGTAAGTAGTAGGATAGAGGGCCAACCAGCCGTCTTCTTTTTACAGAAGACTAACACAATCATAGTAGTTGGAGCCCCGCTGTGCCATCTCCCTTATTTCTATTCGCATGGTTTGTGGTAGGTAACAGATGCAGCAGTAACAGCCTGAATCTTTCGGACTTTTACCGCAGAAAAGGATAATCTTAGGATTTACTTTACACGCAGCTTTTACGATAACAACATAAATAAAAAATATTGTTATCAATATCACGACCGTTGCACACAAAATAGATTGCAGAGAATGTAGGTGCCGATCGGCTTAAATAATATTGGTTACCTACCAAGTAATCTATGGTTACCTACCTATCAAGTCTTTAGTAAACGAGGTCTATCGGCCACAAAATTAAACTGAGTAGGGACTCCCGATGTCGGTAGGTACCTAGTAAGGTACCGCGTCTGCGGACGGCGAGTTTTAGACAACCAGAACCAGAGCAGAACCGCCCGACCAGAATCAGACCTGAGCGTACGGCGCGTAGCTTTTCGTGCGCGTCAAAGAGCCAATTGCGGGGTAAGCGCGATGTGGCACCGCGGTCTCGGCCTAAAGCAGGAGAAGGATCGGGGATGTTTTCAGCCAGTAAGAGTCTGACACTCTCTATCGTTTTACCCTGGGCAAGAGAAGTCATTTGATGATTTCTTCCTGCCAAAAAAGAACATCATTAGATATCTGCCTGTAATTATTATCGTCCTACTACTGATCAAAAGCTTCTGCTCCCAAAAACGATGAGTAGGTAGTTAATGAGGTAGTCATAACGCCTACTTAAGGCAGAAAGTTTATTTTAAATTTGAAAATATTCTACAGTTTAGATTCGCGAATGCAGAAACATTTGGTCTAGCTGATACTGACCACACTGTGTATAAGTGAGCCAGAGGGCCTGACAGGGAACAGATGGAGCCAAATGTGGCCGATGTTCAGCGGGGGTTGCGGGTAAACTCAATAAGGTATCGTAACCTTGGCCTGGAGCAGAAGAACCGAGGAAGCTTTAGCAATAAGAGTCTGATATTCCCTCTCGCCTGCTCGCCTCACAATGGGCGAAAGAAGATACGGTATTCGATGCGAGTTGAAAGTAATTCAATATCTCGCGAGTCCATTCGCGAGATGTTGAATTACTTTCAACTACTTTGAAGTACTCGCGACTCGATTCGAGTGTTCGTAGTAACAACGCAGCTATAAATAATTGATGCGTTTGATTGCACTGAAGTGATGGACGATGGCTGCGCCGTCACACGGTGTCTCAGCCTTGGCCCTTGCATCATTAAATAATCTATATCTTCCTCCATACATTTCTGGGTTATAAGGTCTAGATGGCAACTTTATATTCGAAATCTAATAACACCAATAACTTAATTTTTACGGGGAATGATTTTTGTAATTAGACAGTATGGTCATAATCCATTTCTTTGTAGTGAGTTGTTATTGAGTTTGCATACCTACTTACATATAAAACATACGGGGTGCCTAGATAACGGAGACGTTTTGTAGATACGTGATTAATTTTGAGGGTGGTGTTTAAAAGTGGGATTAATTAACGAGTCGGAGATTCGTAAGGCGGCAAGCGAGCAGTCGTAGTCGTAGGTATCATCTAAGTACCTGGACAATCGGCGGCGCTCATGGACACCGGTTAAACTAGATTGAATTGAGAATTGTCATGTGGTCGGGTGGCCTGGATGTTAAGGCGCCCGTTTCTCATGCATGAGAGTGCGGGTTCGAAACCTGGCAAGTCTCAATGTCAATATTTCCGAGATTTATCAATCAGTCAATCAATCAAAATCATTTATTCCAACTAAACCATAAATAGGTACTTTTGAAACGTCAAAATAGAATAGCAGTCTGTCAGTCTGTTCGTCAGTGAAGCTAGGTGCTCGTTCCAAATTGTAGTTTCGAATGGAGAAGAACGAGCAGGAAACTCCATCGTTACTCTTTTTAAAAAAATATTTGTTTGTACATGTACTATCTATGATTTTACTAGCTGCAGACCCACCCACGCGTTAAGTTAAATAATATTGTGACTATAAATTGAGATGTAAGCTCTCCTATCTTTCAAGTTCGATCAAAATGCACACGGAATGCAAATCAAATTTAAAATCGGTTTAGTAGTTTAGGAGTCCATCGCGGACAAACACGTGACACGATTTTTTTATATAAGTAGGTAGGTATCTACATATAAAGAATAAAGATATAGGTGCACCACAAGATAACATACGGTGAAGGAAAATATCGTGAGGAAGCATGGACTTATACCTAATTTCTAATTATAAGTTTGAAATCGCCAATCTGCCTTGAGCAAGCGTGGTGAAACCTTCTCCGTATGAGAAGAGGCCTTTGCTTAGTAGGGGACACGTATAGGCCGATGATGTGAAGAGAAAGTTGTGGTATCCGTCACCTTATTCACTTGGGAAAACACAAAATATTATTTGTTTTTATATCAAGAGTTGTTACACACTCGTTTTCTATAAGGCCATGGTATCGCTTCAGTTGAGCCTGCCCATTCGTGCCGAATTATGGCTCTCCTACATTTCCCAGAAGTTGTTAGTGAATAAACAGTCATTTATACCTAAGCTGATATACTCACATACATAGGTCTATGACAATTTCCGGATTCCTCCAATAGTCATGACTACCTAATAATAGCGATAATGTCCCCATTTATCGACCTAAATAATAGGTATATGAAACGTGTATGATAAGTTGCATAAATACTTAGATACCTAATTTATAATCACACAAAAACTTACCTAAGTACTTAAATGCGGTAAAATAAAAAAAATCTTAATAGGTTACTTACCTAAATATATTGATACGGTGGCCACTTACCTAAGTAAGTATATTGATATGGCGAACACTGTGTACTTAGGCATTTAGGTACCTACTTAGGACTTGCGAAAATTAGGTAGGTAGGTAACACCCAGGGTTCGGGCATGCTGTTATAGCAGCGGTAAGACCCCTCTTTGAGGAGTGGCTTGAGAGACGCCACGGCATCCTCACCTTCCGCCTGACGCAGGTGCTTACCGGGCACGGCAGCTTCGATAGGTTCCTGTTCGGGATCCAGCGGGAGAAAACGCCCGAGTGTCGTCATTGTGAGGACCACCTAGAGGACACGGTGGAGCATACGGTGGCGGTATGCCCTGCCTGGGCTGAGCACCGCCGTGTCCTCAGGGAAGTGATCGGCGGCGGCGACCTCAAGCGCTCGGTCTTAGTCGAGGCCATGGTGCGGAGTGAGAGGAACTGGGATGCCGTTTCCCCCTTTTGTGAAGCAGTCATGCTCGCAAAGAAAGTGGCGGCCCGCGTGAGTGAGCAATCCTCCTCCTTACGCCCCAGCCGCCGCAACTGGCGACACTATGGGCATCGGGGATCAAAGGACGATCTCCGGCCACCGTAAGCGCGGGTCTGCGGTCGACGAGTAAGGGCAGCTCGCCGCCCGACCAGAACCAGGCCCGAGCGTACGGCGCGTAGCGTTCCGCGCGCGCCTCAAAGAGCCAATAGACCACCACAGACGGGGCCCTAAAGGGCTGATGTTCAGCCGGGGTTGCTGGGTAAGGGCAATGAGGCACCGTGACCTCGGCCCAGAGCAGGAGAAGAAACAGGGGGGTTTTAAGTCAGTAAGAGTCTGACACTCCCTCTCGCCCGGCCCTGGGCGGGAGAAGTCATTTGATGATTTTTCCCTCACAAAAAAAAAGCATCATAGCTTGTAAAAAATATATTTATTAGATGCTACTGTACCATGTCTAACAAGCAGATTAATATGCTTAACCACAGACTGCACATCTCAGACAAATAAAAACACCAATGTTGGTTAATATTTTATTAATATTCTTTAGTCGTAACAAAATAAATAGCTTGTTTCGTAGGATCATCATTCATCTTGTGAGGTCATTAAAGCGAATTTATTGTGTGTCAGATTACATGTGACATTAAAATATTTTTATTTATCAGTCGTAAGTCTTATACATTGTGTAATAATAGTACTTCTGTTGTTACAGACCTTGCAAATAATATATTCATGATAGCCGCAAATAGTATTGTAATATATTGTCATATAAAATTTCAAATTCATTGTTTTTATAAGTTATAAAAATATATTTTTTTTATAGTCCTAGCAGTGACTTTAGCCATCTCTCACAATAGAAAGGCAAAATAAAGTTATTTCTAATTCATCACAATTTAACTTCATTTCTTTTAGATGCTACAGTATAATATTTAACAGGAGTAAAATTAAAGCTACAACTATCACAACTGTCTGACTTAGAATAAGAATTTTGCATAAAAAACATGCAAGCATTTGTATACAGCCCTTTCTTTTTTAATTCAACAATTTGTGACAACACTGGCTCAGAGCAATTTTTTAAAAGTGGAACCATTTTTTGGTAGTCAAACGATTTGAAAGGACAACCTCCTTCAGAGCAGGAATTATCTATGCTTTGAATAGTGCTGCAGTTGACTGAGGGATAGTTTCTCCGGGATCCTTCTAAGCCATACATGTGTCTGATACCATAGACATATTTTTTTTCATCTTTTTCCCAGTTATGACAACAACTGTGTTGTCCATTTGGATGTAGCCTGTATTCCGCTCTCCAGAACTCTACAGATTCTTCTATTGGCATTCCAACATCTTTTAAAAATAAACTGTAATGAAACCTCTGTGTATGGGATAGTCTATGCTTTTTTCTCAGATTTTGGTGAAGGTTTAGCATGCATGGAGGGAAAAACTGGGATGCAGAGTCCACATCCTTACTCAATAATACATTAGGTCTAACTTTAGATAAACTATAGTCTTTCTTTATTTTATGTAGTAGTTCCATAATTCTAGTATCACTCTTGAGTGGTGCTACATTAGTATTGTTTATTCTGTTCACCAAGTTTTCTCTAAAAAGCATTATCAAATATTGTATCCATCTTCCACAAGGGATAGTTGCAACTCCATTTGCGATTTCAACTTGCCTTCTAGCTACAAGGCGAAGGCATTGTGTGAAGTTCAAGTGTATACTGTGAACAGTGCATTCACTGTTATGTGCAGAACAAATATGTTGAGCCACATCCTTGAGCATTAAATGTTGACACAGTATTTGAAGGGATTCAATACGTTTCGGTACTTTGTCTTGCTTTTTAATACTTCTAAGTATTTTTTTAGCAAACGATCTTAGTTCATATGCAGACAATGAAGTTAAGCGACGTTCGAACAACTTCAATTCGGATTTTAAAATATATTCAGTAAAGTCCCTGTCTTCGCATAAAATCAATATCACGCACAATGTAAAGTGTCCTACATTATCGTATATGCTACCCTCTACAACATATTCGTTGTATATAATGGGTTTATCATCCAAAATAGTTTTCAAATGTTCAACTCTATTTAAAAGAATAACTTCTAATAAATGAAAAGGTAGGTCACCTTTTACTGGTGATAAATAAAAGAATGACATCTTATCTTCAATTACCTACAACATTTTGATTCACATTACATTTATATAAATATTTTTTAAGTTTTTAATCATTTTTGCTCAACATCAACATTGTTTACTTTTCATGGCAGATGACACTTGTCAAACCAATAAAAGGTCACTGTCAACTCAAACGATTTGGATTGCCAAAAAGAAAATATTAGTGTTGTCTTTCAAGTTATAAATGTGATTATTGAGCATTTGCACTTATTTTTTTAATTAAATTTTACACCGAAAAATAAACAAAGATATTTTAAAATAGCTGCCATCAATATTTTGAAATCATTTAATATCTAAAATTTATTCTAACATAATCTAACGTTTGTTTTTCCAACGAATTCTAATATTTAAATTGGTATTTTTGCAAGTGATTTATCTGTAACAGTAGGTAGCAGTTAATTTCTGTGTGTAAATATTTCATGAAATAGATTATACTTATTAATATTATACAATTTGTGAAAAAAATATAAAATTAAAACAAAATTATAAAAGTAGAAACTTATGAAAACGAAAAAAAGGTGTAACCTAGATTAGTAAACTAATCCACTTGTGTGCACCACTACAAATGTCAAAAAAGTGAAGCCTTGTACTCGGATTTGTGTGATGCTCTTTATTTTCGGAAATACTAATTGAAATCAATGCAATTGAGATTATTGGATTAATTTAAATAGATCTTCGTGCACATTGCAACGTTTAGTGTGTAGTTGTTTATAGTGGATGTGTTTGAATTGACCGTATTGGGATGTGCGTTGTTTATCTGACATGTACTTATGTCGGAATTTCCTAAATAGACTAGACGTTTGATGTCGGGGCCGCGTATAAAAATAACATTGGATTGTCGCGTCGGGTCCGGAGGGCTGTACCCGCCTGCGCCATGGTTCTGATGATGGCTCCGAAGATATTGTACTTGACCGCGGTGCTTATGTTAGGTAAGCCTCTGTCTATTTATCATTCTATTCACAAAGCTAATGTTTGCACTTTGATAAGATAGAATTTTGTGATTTGATGTTTCTCTTGCAGAAAATCTTATTTTTTTGTGAAATATGCTCGCGTTTTAATTATGCATCGTTTTAGTCATGTTGTTGACAAATACTGTGTTTATACTATTGTTTGGTTACACTAAGCACCTACTAATAAACATTACCTAAAATATAGTTGAAATGTAACAAGTTATTTGTTAAAATATTTATAAACTTTTCTGCATATGAAGTATAACCTATTTAGTATAATTATTGGTTAATAATATGTGAAACATTGCACATGTTTGACCTTTGATAAACAATTCATAATAGTCTAAGGCATCATAATAGATTTCTATTAATACTGGAAAATCCTTTGACATCATTTAAAATTCAATACTATAGTACATAATACCTATGTTAGTTTGTATAGTACTTTTACCTAACTTTTTTTTTGAAAGAGTTGATATATATACCAAAATTGTACACAATAATTCTTCTTTATATTAAAATAATAGTCAAATGGTTTTGTTATCTCCATAAGTAGTATTCAACTTAAACTTGTAATTAACTTACAAAGTTTCTATAATGTAAAAGTTTTATCTTAATATTTTTTTTTCATTACCATGTTTACCGCAGTAGAGTTCACTGATGAATGATTTTGGTGACCTATATTACTAAATAATTTACCTTCAATAGTGTTGTAGCTAATAGTCAAAAGTACAAACTTGAAAAACTTATTAATTAAGCACTCATGATAGTTGTTTTCCTAAGGATTAACTCAGGAACACAATTACAAACTAAATCCCTCTTAATAATAACTACATATTACATTAAAAAAAGAACATAGGATTTGTACTAAACTTACACCATTTTCATATTATTTCTATTCAATTTATCATATGACTAGACTCGCTTGGTATGTTGATTAAAATATCAACATATCAAATTTCAACCAAATGGGTCCAGCTGTTTTTATGTCATAGTATAACAAACATATTTTTACACATATTTTCACAAACTATGACATTTATAATAGTAGGATCTACTTCCCCATAGTAATTACTTCTCATAACTAGAATGCAATTAAATTTCACAATGTAATTAATGTAAATAACAGATCACAGTTATCTACATTTTGTATTTGTTTCTAGATTAATAGACTAAACTGAGATTAATCATATTTCCTAGTGTTACATTGCAAAGTCTGATTACTATAATATTGTAATGTGAGAGAATATTGCTGGTTCAATGACCTTCATTAATTTTGACACCCAACTTTCAAATAAAACATTCTTATATGAAGACTAGCCATTCTATGTGGATCTGCTCAGAGTGGTAAAAAAAAATTATCAATTTTAATCTAGCTAACTAATGACAATTTTTCGCATTACTTATTAACATTGAAGTTTACGAAAAAGGGAATTGGATGCAATGTGTATGTAGATCACTATGCTATTAATTTTTTAAAAACACTCCAGTTTTTAATCCTATTTCTCATTTATAAGTATTCCGTGAAATCAATTTAGAAAGTAATATTAAATTGTGATAAATAGTTAATTTTATTTCTATTACATATCTAAATATACTTTTAAGTAAACAAAAATAACTGCCAACTCAAAAATACCTATAGCTTAGTGGACAATAATTTCTATGACATTGAATTCATAAAATTATTGCTCAATTATCATTTGTGGAAATCACTATTATATAGCTGTTTCAGCAGGTAACACAAGAATGTGCTGTTTATAGCAAAAATATTTTTATAAACAACATTCATAGAATTGTCTATTAATACAAATGAAACTTTTCATGGTAAATATTCAGTATATGTAATATGGCCTACTTTCAAATAGGGAATATAATACTAGTTCATTAAACACATTTTACCTAATTCCTTTTGTTGAAGGTACACAAGTGTCGTCACTAACAGCAGCCCCACCCTCAGACGGGAATTTTCCACCACGACCGAAAGAAGGTCGAGTCACCACAAGGTACTGTGAATTCTACAATGGCTCACAAACATCCACTTGCGACACTGCCAATAATTCGACATGTGTCCCTAATGTCATCAAAGAAGAGTGTCAACCTGTCGAAGCTGATAAAAGCAACCATTGCTTCGTGCTGTGGCAGTTCGACAATGAAACCAACAAGGCGTATCTCAAGGTGAAGGGCTGTTTCGTGGATACTGTCTCCTGCACAGACAGGGCCTCCAACTGCCGGCTCCACAACTCCAAGCTCCCGCTCCTCCATTGCTGCTGTGAAGGAGACATGTGTAATCAAAACGCAGTGTTCCCTGGTATAGAGGCTGGGATGTCAGCCCAAACTGAAATACCGCCCGAGAGAGTGCCCGCCTCAGCAGTCCCCAACGCTGATGATGATACACAAGCAGTGATAGCTTACACTCTAACACCACTGTTCTTATTGTTCGCGATCCTGGTTGGCTGCTACCTGCTGTACAGAAAGCGCAAAGGAACGTCATTCGCTGAGCTAGCTAATGGAGAAGCGTCGCTATCGAGACCACCGTCGGCCGGCGCTGGAATGGAAAACGAGGCCGTCGGCCTAGTGGGGCAGGTCACCCTCTGCGAGGTCAGGGCGCGCGGCCGATTCGGAGCTGTATGGAGAGCAAAACTTGGACAGCGTGACGTCGCAGTGAAAGTGTTCCCCTTACAAGACAAACAGTCGTGGCTCGCTGAACAGGAGATCTTCAGGTTGGCAAGGATGGACCATCCAGATATCCTACATTACATCGGCGTGGACAAGAAGGGCGACAACTTGCAGGCTGAATATTGGCTCGTCACAGCTTACCACGAGAAGGTAAGCCTTGCATTCAACTTATACTATACATGTATCTTACGACGCAATTGTGACAAGTAACGTATTTTCATTAAACGTGTAGGAAATGTTATTGTAGACCCTTCACAATCTCTTTTGTATTAAAAAGTTACATAAGCAGTGTCGCCACAATACTAGCAAATTAAAAATATCTGTCTGCATCTTGATAATCTAGTTATACGTCCGAAGTAAGGAAGAATTTCCTGACAGGTTCTACAAGTCGGAACTATATTTAGAATAACGAATGAGTAATATATGTATATGTAGCTGCTAAGCTCGCTTATGTATTCTTAACGTAACTTCAATTATGTACAATGTTTACTATGATGCTCATGTTTCGTCTCCAGGGTTCTTTATGCGACTATCTGAAAGGTCACACGTTGACTTGGGTAGAAGCTTGGCGCATCGCAGCGTGTGTAGCGCGTGGGCTCGCTCACCTACACGAAGAAGGAGGTGGGAAGCCGGCGGTCGCTCACCGAGACTTCAAATCTAAGAACGTTCTCCTGAAAGCTGACCTAAGTGCTTGTATTGCGGACTTTGGACTGGCATTAATATTCGTGGCTGGTAGAGGATGCGGAGATGCTCACGGACAAGTTGGAACTCGACGGTATATGGCACCCGAAGTATTGGACGGAGCTATCAACTTCACAAAGGACGCCTTCCTAAGGATAGACATGTATGCCTGCGCACTCGTGCTCTGGGAGATCGCGTCAAGGTGAGTTCATTGTGTAACCTCACTTAATTTGCAGATTCGCTTAAGATTCTGATGCAAGGTTGAATTGCTCAGACTTGTATATTAAACTTAAAAAAGAATGCATTATGATAAAAAATCATATGTCGCATAGACATGCGACAAGTTGGCGCCTCTTTATCGTTAAAATTTTTATCAGGTAGACTCATCAGTTGCCCAACATAGACAACCGGAAATAACTCAGCCTACATGAGATTTATTAGCTGCCTTCGTTTTCCAATCCAAGCTAGAAATACGTACCTTGACCTGTCGTAAAATCGAATAAAAATCTATTAATACCTACCTGAACGGAAACTATCCGATGAATTTATTATTTGCTTAACTTTCTAGGACTCTGAGTGCCAGAGAGCTAAGTTTAGAAGCACTCCATTTGTGTTATTGGGTCAAATTCATCACTTGTTTAGAGTGAACAAATATTTTTGCAGCAATTTGTTCTTTTGTTGCGAAGAAAGCGCAGTAAGGAAAAATTGTATCAGTAGTTTCTGTAGTTTTGCACTTAGAATTCTGTTTAAAAACCCGTATAAAGACTCAAAACATAATAATACGTACATACAACATAGCTCTATGATTAAAAACTTATGCTTATCCTTTATTTTCTGAATAGACCTTTGGTTGGCAGTTGACACTTATAGACCGATATTCCTGATGTTGTTAATTCGTTTAATTAGAAACAGAATAGAGACTTTAAGGAATTAATTGCAATTATTAAGTTGAAACATTGAAATAAAATATTGTGTCGTAAAAGTACTAGAATACCACTCGATATAGGTACTCATTATATAGAGTTTATATATGAGGACCTAATCCAACTTCTTGGGCAAATTGTAAGCTCCGTTATTAAATATTGTAGATGCAGTGATGCAGCACCGGAACTCCCAGGACAGTACCGTTTGCCTCTCGAAGAAGAAGTAGGCTCTCATCCCAGTCTCGAAGAAATGCAAGAAGCCGTCGTACAGAGGAAACTCAGGCCCCACATACCACCGCACTGGCGAAATCATCCAGTAAGTTTTATTTTATTATAAGTTCTGGCCTTATTTAGATATGTACTTGTATTGTAGTCAAGAAATGCGCAACTTTAATTGAAAAAATAGTACAATTTTAATCGTTCATAAGGAATAGTTTATTAAGCCTCCGTTCGTGATTCATTTTATGATTATAATTCTTTTGATGGTATAGATACTCCTAGTTTATTCTTATTTTAATTCTACCTATTCACTCTTTCCGACATATTTTTACATACATGCGGGTTTTTTTTCTAGTAAGTAAGTTAGTAATGAATAGTGTCAGCAAAGGATTGCAGACGTTACATGGATTTGTTTCTTCAGGGTCTATCGGTACTATGCGACACGATGGAGGAATGTTGGGATCATGACGCGGAGGCGCGGCTGTCGGCGTCGTGCGTACTGGAGCGGGTCTGCGCGCAACAGCCCGCGACGGCGGCGCCGGCCCTGACGCCGGACACCACGCCCCTCCTCATCCACGAGCTCGCGGACCAACAGCCCTGCTGACGACACACCTACGTCGAACTGCCGCTCATACAGTTCTAAACTCAACGCACTAGGTACAGATAACAACAATCGTTTAGTTAGTTAAAAGTGAATATTTTTTTATCCTTCACTGTACCTACAAGTGTTGTAAAGTTTGCTGTGACCGGTACGTCTAAGGTAAAGTACAAATGTTATGAAATGGACAATCAATTATACATTATATCATGTATTCTTGAAGCTGGTGGTGTTTCAAGGTGGTATCGCAATATTCTATGGATGCCTGCATAGAGGTCCTCTATAGTTATCTTTTAATTCATTATTTCATCAATCTGTACGGGTGGTAATATTGACAATATATTGTAAAATATGGCTATAAGAATCCTACTTTAATATATTCAGTCCAAAATTAAATTTTATTTTTAAATTATTACGACCATAAAATACTTTTTGTATTTTTTGTAATATAGCCTATTTTTACAGTGCCACCTGAAACTACATTACATATGCACACATACTAGTTTAATACAAGTATTATAAAATTTCAAATCATTTGGATGTAGGCATCAATGAATTCAATGCTATGTTGTGTATGTGTGTGATGCAGTTTCTCTATTATTTATTCTTACGACGACATTAATGTGAAATAATCAACTGAAATCAATCTTTATTTAAGATATTTTTTCCTATATCGGCAGCACTTACGATCATACTTATTAATTAAAATCACAGGGGTTACATTAAATTCATTTTTAAATCAATTTTCCCCAATGCGCACAATACATAATTATTAAAATAATCAATCAACGAAGAAGCACACAGTCCAATAATATTTTCTGCGATAATAAACTAATTATGGGCACAAAGTAATAGGAATTGAAATGAAATGGAAAGTCACTACTAGCGTTTACGTAATTGTATCCGAAACCCTGTTCCGCCTTGTAGATTCCTAGACATCTAGTCTTTAGCTAAACGAGAGTTAATTTGTGCTAGTGTCGCGATCTTGCGTAATAAATGGAAAACACATTTTAGACCCGGCCACAAAACCTGTTTAGTATGAAACTTTATTTGCGACACGATTCACAAAATTGTGTTCGTTTGGTTCCTTTAAAAGCCGAACGACGAATCTACAAGTTACAGATTATAAATATTTAATTTAAAAATGTTGCTATATTCGAATTATTCAACTTTTAGTTAACAGATTGAACCAGACTAGTATAACCGACAACGGCCCTTTTTTCCAAAGCAACTGTAATAACTCATTTCCAAATGCTATTCTCGTAGCGATCGGGTCGATTCCAAAATTAGAACGCGTCCTTTTTAATGATCTATGAGATTCCGACATGCCTAATTAAGGGCAGCTCGCCTTTGAATATTTAAAAGGGTAAAGATATTACGACAGGATATGCGAATACATTATAGGTACAACACCATGCGATGTGTCAATGAAAAAAAATGTACCAACATTTTGGGGTTAAAATGTTCTTAATAGCAGTAGGCACACGTTGTTCTAAGCGATCAACAAGTGCGATCTATTTGAGCCCGTAGACCCAGGCTAGACATTAAATTGGTTGCCACAAACAACTTACTGAGTTATTCATAAACATCCTACCACGATCTAATGTATGGTAATTGTCGTCGTTCGCGCTCCCTTTCCTTAACCGTTGGGACTTCCTGGCACTTGATGCGTTGTATAATGTTAGCGGCGCAGTAACCTAATGTTCCTGATAAACAACAGGATTATATCAAATTATTATCATAAATAGGGCCTGCTTCTACTTGCAATTTAGACAAACAATATTATTAATAACTTCAATATTATTGTTTACGAAGTAGTGTACTGTCAGGCCCTAAAACCAACGTATTTATCGGACATCGATGAACTGATAAATGTAAATATTTATCAGCATTCTTTTAAATTGAAATATTTATTTATTTGAGTTCGACTAGTAATCTCGATCTTATTTATTCTGATCATAAAGTCGATGTTTGTTTATACAATGTTTTCTTTAGTAAATTCGGTCTAAGTACTAACAAAATTGAAGCTTAACCAGGCTAAACGCTATTTTATGTAATACTCGTGTTATATTTTATTTTTTAAGAACATAACATTGTTATAATCGTGTTTTATTTTTAGAAAACTTTTTTAATGTTATGAGGTCCCTAATGTGTGTAGATTAAATCAAACATTTTATATTTTTTCGTTAATTAACATAGAGCAGTTTATGTAAGTTGGAGATTGAAGATAGTTACTTGTATACTGTGTCTGAAGGAAATGTTGAGTCTACAACGTACGCGATTGCACTGACCAGAATATAAATTGCTCCGTGTTATATACATTTACGGTACAGCACTGCACTGCCAGAACAAATGATATTCCTATTTAATTAAGGGAATTGATAAAAGTATATATTAGTTGACTAATCTTGCCGGACTCTCATTACAGGGACCTCTTATTTAGTAAGACTGGTATTATTTGTATAATTGGCTTTATTTACTTAGTTTATTGGCTCATGATTTGTGAGGCATTCTAAAGTGCTAAATTATAATGTGAAATTGAAGCAATGAAATTAGTGTTAGTATTCGCGTAAGTGGATGTCATTTGCTAAGTTTAATTCTAATGTTATTTAGCGCTAATCAGTCTTAGGTCGTGCGTCTGTTGGGACTTATCACTTACATTACTCGTTTTGATAAAAAAGTAAAGTTAAAATGTATATAAAGGTTTGATAATCGATTGACTGTTTACTGGAGGGCTCGTGGCGCGACTAGTAATTGCTGAATATAGTTTAATTGAATTGAATAATAAATTATGTAGATTGGACTTAATGCGTGACTTGATCGTGTGAGTGATAAATCTTAATAGGAGCTAGTCGTAATATCATTGCAAAGTAAGTATACAGTACTCGTTGTGCCATAGACTGGACTGGTTATGCTAACTGCACTTAGTCAAGTTTCCAAGGAGAAACTCAACTTACAAAGTAATCTCCGTCGGAAACAAATTGAAATATTGACGAACGCACTTTATATGTAAAAATAAAACTGTGATTTTGTTCTCTTGTGCCACTTCGTTGACAAATTCGACCAAGTGACGCAAAAGAACAGACCCCTGAAAAAATATCATTGAAAATATGTGATTTTAGAACATAATAATCGAAATATCAAAATGGGAAATCATAGAGAATTTGATTTACCTATGCCGTGTGCATATCACCACACATAGACTAAGTAATGTTGCCAAATGTAAATAATGTAGATCTAAGTTTAATATAGGATATTTTCGTCTGAATGTCAGAGTCTTAGGCTGTGGACACACTCACAGAAACTTAGATCAATATGAGATGAATTTATAGGACTGTCGGTTGTTTCTTTACAAGAGTGAACAAGTGAGACTGTTTGATATGGCTTATGTAAATTGCATATTGTCTTACAGATATATAACTTTGTAGAGAAACATTCTTCAGTTCAATGTTGTTAGTAAAGGCCTAATTCCATTGTAAATTTCCTCGTGTGTTCACAGCTCTAGTATAAATGATTGTAAAAGAACTAGTAGAAGTTAGATTGTGCAGTGTTTAGACACTCTTTAGACATTACGTTGATGTCAATACGTCGTGTCGTGTTTAGTCGAATAACGAATGTCTTAATGGCCATGTTTATCATTTATTTTTTATTTTAAATTAACAAACGTGAACGTCTGTTGAAATTTGATGTATTAAAATATATTTTCTAGACAAACAATATGTTTTATTTAAAGTCTATTCACCTCGATTGGCTTGACGCCATCTAAAAATACTGCAATAGTTCTTATGCTTTATGGCAATGTTAAGAAAAAACACATGTCAAGTATACAAATGCTGATTCTTTATTATAATCCTTCACTGTACAGTAACGGGAGCGTGTGGCGCCAGAGCTCACGGCTCGACGCCGCGTACACAAACTAGTTTTATTTACTCGGAATTTGACTATATGTACATCGGCAGCGCGGGCCCGCCGTGAGCCGCCGGCCAGACTTTTGCGGGCAGCAGTCGTATCTCATTCTCAGATTCAATCAATAATACAAATTAATACATATTATCCATACTCTGCTAGCTGGTGTAGTACGGGTGAAGGTTAACTTTAGCCTATAACAACAGTATTCCTAGTATCGGTACTGATTTAATAGTTAACAATTACAGAAAGGTAATGTCACAAGTCTCGTTTTGCGTTGAACAGTTTGGGTTCGGCAGGGCAAACTAAAGTTATCGGCGCCTACTCGGTGCACCACAGGTCACGGCGATACTGTCATGTTCCCTCAACACCGCAGTAGGGGGGCGCGGGGGCGGCGGCTAGGAGGAGGGCGGGGGGCTGGGCGGGCTCGGCGCCTCGTCGGGCGCGGCGCGGCTGGCGGACGCGCGCAGGCAGTCGCCGTGCGCCTTGTACTCGATGGGCACCGTGGCGGGTAGCTGCAGGATGCGCCGCAGCGCGTCTCGTACGCGCGCCGCCATCGCCGTGTCCGACGCCGTGCGGTGCCATACCGCTAGGTGGTCGTCCTGCAACACGGCTCTCGCATTACTACACTTATATTTATCTCATTTTCTTTAATGTCTTTCGAGGCGGAGATTGTCCAGTACCGAGCAGCTTACCTGGAACCGTACGGATAGTACCACACCGCAGAGCTCCGGGCCGACCATGAACTGCTCGCCCAACATTGCCATACACAAATCCTCCCACGCTCGGCCCGTCTGTGTTTTACGTAGCCGCACAACCTGGGACAAGCGCAAAATTATCTTAGAGATTCCATTCAAAAATTATAATTAACAACTTTTTTTCTATGTGTTAAAAACTAGTTTCATAATACATGCTCACCCATTTCCCTCCATTAATATTGGCGGGGTCCTCCCACATGGGCTTGATGCCCAGTTTGAAGAGGTGGAGGTCGGACAGTGGCGGCAGCTCGGACGGCCGCGCCAGGTGCGTGTACAGACCCCACCACTGTTCCACGCTTGCCACCCGACCCACCAGACGTAACGCCTGCAAATAGTCAACAAAAAATTGATTAGGTACTTGAATTTTTAATATCGTAAATAGTTTAATTTATAGTATCAGTAATCACTAAAAAACTGTACCAAATAAAATAATTAATAAGAAAAAACTAATTAAGAAGTTCTGACTGACCAGATAAAAAATATATCTTTATAAGAAAAATATTTACCTATTAGGTTTTTGCCAAGGTAGCAAATTTTTTTATGGAATGTGCTACATTGGCAAGTACAAGTTATAAAGCTACATACATAATATGTACATAGGTAGTTTATATTTAATTTATTATACAAGTGAAGTTAATTGTTTTACTTAGTAACTTATCAGTAGAATTCAACACCTTCATATTATATTTCTGTGAGTATGCAATTAATATTTTATTTCATTCAGACCTATTAAACAGGAACACTGTAATTTGAAATTTAACTTTACGGTTGGCGCGCTTTTTGCGATTGGCAGCTGCGCAAACAAAGTTGCGGGTTTAATATGCACACAAAACAATTCTGATAAAGCCATTAATGTTTGTTTCTGGTTTGTCATATGGTAAACACAAAAGGAAAAATACAAATGTAAACTTATAAAGTAATTACATTAATTTTCTCTTATATTCTAGATTAGATATGGAAAACATATTAAATGATATTTAGATTGATGTAAATATATTTTTGTTGAAATATAAAAGTTTGTAGCTTTCTTAAATACTTAAAACTGAACTGCATTGAGTATAAGATGATATTATGCACATGTGAATGAATGTAGGTTGCTTCAGAAAAGGACACAATACACTTGAATAGATGGGAAATAATTGAGAGACTCTAGTTGACCTACTTTAATGCAAACTGTAGCAGCACTCTGAATAACAATTGATTCTTGGAGGATGATATTCATTTCAAAATTATTTATAATTTATTAATGTCTACTAAGATTTGATTGCAGAATTTCCTAAAAGTATTTTATCAGTAGGTGATTTTCCACAAAAAACTTTATGACAATATCTGTAAAAAAATACTGTTAGATCTTGAAATAAATTAATGTAATAATTGTATGTTGTTAATTGTTACAAGCACTTAAAAAATATATACACAAGTCTGGTACTAGAACCAACATTACAATCAGCCATCAGCAAAAATAATAAAAAAAAGTATTATAATCATAAATTATAATATTTTGGTTAAGGCTCTAGCCTAGTTAGTCCTACCTCCAAAATATTGAGGTCATGCTAATAAATGCTAGCCAAATTGTAGTATGGTTAATTTGTATAATATTAGTAACTTGAAAGAAGGTTTATCAAAAAAAGTTTAAGTACTTCTAAATCTTAAGTAAATGGCTCTGCAACATAAAAAAGTTTTTTTTTTTGTTTGCTTATTTTAAATTATTTATTGTGAGGTAGGTAGTTGTATTTACAATTGCACTGGAGGCATAAGTTAACTTTTTCTTTTGAAATAGTTAACTGGCTTTATGTTTCAAACAAAGGTTTATGCTATTAACAGAACAGTAGAAAGTTATTTTTGGCCCAGTGATGCATTAAAAACAAACTTTGAATACCAGTGAGCTACATAGTTACTTCAAATAAAGTACTAAAAATAGTTAAGTAGTCCCACAAACTGTGCCATATTGATAAACATATGTAAATTACATACAATTTGCATATTAATACAATTACGCTAGAGTTTGTAGGAAGTTGTATAGTAGTTAAAACAATAACTTACTTAGAAAAGTTATTGTTTATATGTCTTGTGAGTTAAATGGTAGGTAATATGGCATATACTTTAGCCAAGTTCTCTGTAAATATAGCAGGTAGACGTCAGCTAGAACTTCTACAAACCTGAACGTAGCCTGAAGGGGAAGTGGACAGCTCGCGCGCGGGAGGACGCCGCGAGAACCACATCCAGTAGGAGTACTCGAGCTTGTGCTCGTGCGCCGGTACGGGAGGCGGCGTCGCCTCGTCAGAGTTCCTGTCATCCTCGTCATTGTTGCCGTGGTTCTGCGTAGCGCCACCACCGTGACCACCCTGGCCACCTTCCCCAGATCGACGTTCAGGTACGTTTAAATTGTAGAACTTGCACATTTTCCTCTCAGTCATGTTATTTCAAATAAACTAACATGTTTCACCAACGGCCTAACCTAGGACACGTTGCTTTATTTGAACTATCTGAATGTATACAAAACTCAAACTAGGATTCAATAATTACACTACACAAATGAGAGATAGGTACACCCGAATAATATTTAATAACAATTATTAAATAAGTTTATCTTAAATCAACCTATTCCCTCTTTTACTGTGTATAACCTTTTTCTTTCCGTCATCAAAATTCAAATCTGTCATTTGACAGCATGGATATCTAAAATGCGACCAAATTGAATTGTGTATATTTGTCACAAAATGAAGACAAAAATTATACCTTGATTTCTGTCGTGCGAAAGAGTAAGCAATAGAGTGCCATACTATCATTTTAATTTGATCGTATTTTTGAGAACAAAAATAAATATGCGTTCATCGTCAAAAAGTTTGAAACATTACTTATTTTATAATTAAATTGGTAAAAAATATATATAATTAAAAAACTCATTTTGTAATACGTATTGTTAAAATTGACTATTTTATCGAACTATCTAGAGAGAGATTTGCATCGGAGTTTCGTCGCTTACCTTTGTAAAATTTTGACTAGCTAGTGTCACTCTGTGTCAAAGTCAATCTGTCAAAGCAAAGATTGTTATTAAAAAATTGTTTGACGTCTAATAGTCGGCGGGATAAACGAAAACATTCGTTAAATTAAATAAAAATAAACAAACTATCACGTTTATATTAAAAAGTTTCTTAAAATCTATAATTCTAGTCATAAGTGCTTACTTAGTTAAGTTATTAAAAACTTTCTACGCTTGTTAACTTGAAATCTCTGTGTTGTGTTAAAGTGCAGTACTTTTAGACAGAGACATGGATAAAACTGAGTCCATCGGAAGAAGTAGTATAGAAGGGTGCATGAACATCGATTTGATGCGGTCGCTGGTCAAACAGTATTCTGAATTGGTAAATATAAACATATTTTTTCTAATTTATGTAAATCTACATAGTTGAGTAGGTTATATTAATACCTTAGTCATTTGTAAACTATTATAAAGTCGTACTTGCACTGTATGCTGTATATGTTTAATAACGCTAAGTATGAAACTCTGCGAAACGTACATTATTTGTCATAGCTATATATTTGAGTAGTATTTTAGTATTTCAAGGAAATTGGGACTTTTCTGCTGTCATACTTTTGCCAATTACCAAATTAACATACTAATAACATTTATAACTCTGTAGTATATTCATTATACACCAATTAATTTAATAGTCTAATCACTCTAGGATTAAAATAATATAAAGTTACATTTCCATGTAATGTTGTGAGACAATGAAAATTACATTTAATCTAAATACAACAACTTTTGTAAGTGGTAGTAAAATATACACAAATTAAATTGGTATCTAAATATAATATCTAATTCAACAGAAAAATGTGATCAATGTAAAGATCTCAGTTTGATTAATTTTCAAAAACAGTATTATCAAATTTTATTTATTTTAGTCTATAACCTTATTATGCAGATCTTTATCGAATTATTTTAGGGTCAATGGACCAGTGCCCTGTTTTGGGCAGATGCAGCAGCGGCTGCAGCAGGTGGGGGCCTGGACTCGGCAAGTGGCGATGATGTCTGGCTCCTGGCTAGTGCTATGCTTGCTAGAGGTGAACTTCACAGAGCTGCACATGCAGTCACTTCAAGAGGCCTCCATAGGTATTAATATCCTCATTAACTAGCAGTGAACCTTCTATAAATAAGAGAAGGCCTCTCTATGTCTAATTTTATCATCTCTTATTGAAGAGTATCTGAAGATCTTTATGTACTCTCTTGCGGTTTCACCCGCTGCTGGGCTCCTGCAGATTGTAGCATGATATATTTTAGCGTACAGCCTTCCTCGATAAATGGACTAAAAAACACCAACAGATTTGATCATTTGGAACCAGTAGTTCCGGGCCATTCAAACATACAAACTCTACACCTTTATAATATCAGTATAGATGGAAGGATAATAACTAAATACTAATAGAATGTGTTTGAAACCACAACTAATTTTATTAGAATATGTTACACACATGTGTACACCTCCATTGACAATGTTCCATAATATACTTCTGTGTACCCCCAGACGTCACTTGCTATGCCTGGGCGTGGCGATGCGTGCATACCTTGCAGCGCGGGAGCCGGCCACTGCACTCAACTTGATGGACGAGTGTGACCCTATGCTGCTTGAGGCCAGGAACACAGACCAGACACATAATGTAAGGAACTCAATTCTTTGTAGCCTTGATAATCCCAAAATCTTTACTTCTCCATGCAAAATTATCAATCAGCTGTTGTAATTTGTATGGGGAAATAAATTTATTTTTGGGATTCCGATATTGGTCCCATGGAAAAGTTTGTTGGAATTGAGCACCAAAATCAGCTCCTAGCACCCTGTATATGATCGTTTTTAAGAAGTCTAATCTATGGGCCATTGTCGCCTGAATTTGGAATATTAAACTAAATGTTGAAGTCGCATGTGGTTGTATCAGTGTGAATGATTCACCAAATTAAAGTAGCGCAACGAGCTATGGAGAGGCGAAACAAGGTCATCCGAGAACTAAAGTTATCGACATAGCCCAAAGGATTAGGTCCTTTCCTAAAAAAACATAAGCTGAAGTGGCAGTGGGCAGGTCATATTTATCGAAGAACCGGTGACCGTTAGAGTAGACGTGTTCTAGAGTGGCGACCTCATCTAGGCAGACGTAGTGTAGGCTGCCCTCCAATTAGGGGGACTGAGAAGAGCTGAACATCGAACTCAGTCGCGTGTAACTGGGGAGGCCTATGTCCAGCTGTGGATGAAATCAGGCTGGTGTTGTTGTTGTTGCAGCGCGCCCTGGCGGGGGTGTTAGTATGGCAGGCGCGCGCGCTGGTGTCGCTGGAGCGGCGCGAGGCGGCGGCCGACGCGCTGGCGGCCGCGCTGCGCGCCGACTGTGCGCACTACGAGGCGCTCGACTTGTTGCTCGAGCAACATGCGCTCACTCCGCACCAGGGTAGGTGGCTTTATATACGTTACTAGCAGACCCAGCCACGCGTTGCTGTGCCTAACGTAAATAATGTTGTGACTATAAATTAAGATGTAAGCTATCCTATCACGGAATGCAAATCAAATTTAAAATCGGTTTAGTAGTTTAGGAGTCCGAGTTCATCGCGAACAAACACGTGACACGAAATTTTTATATATGAAGATGGTCGTGGGACGCGGGAAAGTAGCTTACTTCTAGTTATTTGTAGTAGTACAAACATGTTTTTGTGAAAATTAAAAATCAACTGCACAGTTGACGCGTTGTCTGGGCAAACGGCTGTTGCGACATATCGTGCAACATGCTACGGGTTTGACTCCCGCACGGAACATTACCTTGTGCGATCTACAAATTAGTGTTTCCGTTCTGGGTGTAATGTGTATGTAACCACAACACAGGAGAAAATCAAAAGTGTGGAACAATGTTTTTAAAAGAAATTGTTATTGTTGACTGTTGGTAATGTAATATGATTTAAATCATTGCTCGCTGGTCATTTCAGAGAGCGAGTTGATAGAGTCGCTCCCGATCAGCTCGCAGCTGAGCGCGGCGGAGGGCGCGCTGGTCCGCGCGGCGTACCGGCAGCGCCTGCACCGGTACTCGCCCGCCCCCGCCGCGCTGCCGCCGCCCGACACCGACTGCCCTGTATGCCTATTTTACTTTATTTCCAAAACACTTCCTCATAAAGTGGCTCTAATGTCACGGAAATTAGGTACACAAGGCTCAAATGCTAACAGCGAAAAGTTCAAAAAGTAACTTCATTCTTTAATCTATGGCCGATGCGCGCATAGGAAAACGTTAAGTATTACCGCCGTTACCAAAAGTTTTCACAACTCTTCTCGTTTTCTCTTTTGAAGTTATTTAATTATTACTTTATTCAGAAGTGTGTTGAAAAATGTCATATGATACACGCGTGTTTATTGATGATTACCGTCCTCGGCTCCTTAAGACCTTCGCCTGTCGGCTCGAGCCTCAATGCACCATAATGTACTATTATATCATCATATTAGCTTATGAGCCAGCCTTATTACGCTTAAACTCAAATAATTGTAATAGAATAAAAAAAAAGAAAATTAATCATACTATCATTAATTAATTTAACAATTCAAACATACTAACTTCATTTTATTTTAAGAAATAAGTATGGCATATTATTCTTGAATATCATTCTGTATGTGTCTCCTATTAATCCATACAAATTATTATTATTTCTGCTATTTACATATGAGTAATAAATTTGACTACTACTTTTTGTGGTCAAATACTGTAAATCATCAGTCATTCATATTCGACTAATACCTACAAACAATATTGATTCTCTAGATAACAGCAGAAGCAGAGGCTGTTGGCGGTCGTATGATGGAGGCGGCGCAGAGTCGGGCGCGCCGCCTGGCGGCCGCCTGTCGCTGGACCGAAGCCCTGCGCGCTTTGGATACCGTCGACCCATGGTGCTGCGTTGAGGTAACTTATTCAAATGTCACCTAGGACCAAAAGCCTCGTACTCAAATTTCTTGGTCAACACAAGTACCGTTAAAAAAATATATCTTTTTATTAAAATAGCTGATTCGGTAAACTTTGTACCGCCTCAAATATAACTGTTATCTGACCTTTAAACAGATGTATCCAGGAATATTTCAAGACCTACATATAGTTCATTCCATAATTAGAGACACCAATTTGACAACTGCAAATGTCAAACTACAAAATAATGTGGCCAGATTTTTTAACATAGTGATGGACCCGAGGACGGTATTTTAAAATACCGATACCGTTTTTTTTTTTTTATAAATTACCCTGAGGAAACAAAAAAGAGTTAGGGAGGTTTTTAAAGTATAATAACTGTACCTAGTTGTTAATATGTGAAGCTAAAAAAGGACTTAAAGATTATCACAAATAAATGAACTCGGAGCAATATGAAGAGATCAGAGATCGGATGGGAGCGATATTACAATCTGACTGACAGACATTATTTTTATAATTATAGAAACGAATACCAACGTATTTCTAGGCTTAAATTATTAATTATCAACTTGATATTCCATCTGTCAAATTGCTGTGAGGAAATGCCAAAGCTGACCATAGTTTCTTGTAAAATAATTATATCATATCAATGCTAATAGTTAATAGTTTTACAAATGATTTTCGGTCTTTCTGTTAATACTGGTCGCGGGACTTCACTGTTTATGAAATGGAAAAAACACGCAACACTCGAAATAACAAATCGTTGTCTCTAATTGGGTAGTTTCCTAGGTCAAAAATAAATTACGTTGACGTTTTAATACGATAAAATATTGAAAAATAACTATACTTTTATTCATCGATCGATCGATACACTAAGTTTTAGATATTTTTTATCTAATTTTTTAAAAATAAGTAAGATATTTGACGCAAAAATGCTATGACGTCATAATTCAATGTTTCATACAATTTTCATAGAAAAGTATCGTTTTTGACATTTGGATAAAAGTATTGAATTTGACTAGTTGGAAACCACCGTATTATGGAACGAACTACAGTGTGTTTCGTATTGTGGTCCCGCCTTTCTCGAGTTTTAGCTAGACTAACGAACAGCAAATCTATATAATAATAATATATACTATTAGGGCCAGCTTAAGACAAAAACGTGAATATTTCCCAATTTTACCTCGCTAATTTTGCTTTTATGAGAACGTCTCCAGAAAATTCGCAAACACAATAAATATTTTATATATTAACATTTATGCGCATAGGTAATTATGAGTATTTAGTATAATTTGATATTAAGAATATTTTACTTCATCTATTATTCAATAATCCTTCCGTACATGGTCTTCGTAAGTAATTAACGTGTGTTGAAAAATTGCCACTGTGCTCGATAGATGGCGTTGTACAATTCCCTCGTTTCGCTGAATCGCGCTATGGTTTCGTTACCGCCGCTTGGTTAGATCCCGGTCCGTACTGAACATCTTCACATGTATGAAAATTATAAGTTATACTTATAATATTTTTTTATACAAACTCTTAGTCGAAAGACTATTGAGTTTTATGAGACGAGAAAATGTATTGCATGTGTCCTTAGTAGAATAGAATTCTAGAATTACGCCACCCGTGGGATTGGTGACATTAGTGGAGGGTTATAAGGGTATCCCACACCCACCCGGTCTTCTTAGCATAATAAATGGGGAATGCTCACTAATTATTTCTCCGTAGAAAATTAATAGTGTGCAATAATTATTTCGATACGTCAATTAGTTTTCAACTTAGAGCATTTTAGACATAACGCGTAACGTGAGCGTTGACGGGCACGGCGCTCGATCCGTGTAACGTCATCGTAAGACAAAAATCGCGACGTACGTTGCGCGCTTTGGAGATATGCCCATGAAAATGTCATTTGATGAAAAGTCTTGTTTTCTATTAAGTAGATGTAAAAGCACAACCACCAGTGTACTGAATAAGTTAGTTTTCGTCGCATAACACAAAAGAAATACATAATATGTATAAATATAGCAGATAAAAGCTGCTACAGCATCAAACTTTAACAATTTTTATACTGTTACATGCGTAAGTGCAACAATACCCTTTTTTTTGTTTTTTTTTTTTTTTTGTGAGGAGAAAATCATCAAATGACTTCTCCCGCCCAGGGCAGGGCGCGAGGGAGTGTCAGACTCTTACTGACTAAAAACCCCCCTGTTCCTTCTCCTGCTCTGTGCCGAGGTCGCGGTGCTTCATTGCCCTTACCCAGCAACCCCGGCTGAACATCAGCCCTTTAGGGCCCCGTCTGTGGTGGTCTATTGGCTCTTAGAGGCGCGCGCGGAACGCTACGCGCCATATTCCCTGTCAAGTAAATGTGTACCTTCCTCAATTCCACCACCATCCATTGGAAACACAATGGGGCTACTGTCTTTCTGCTCGCCAGATGGCGATAATTTCAGTATGTCCAATTACTGTCATCATCATCATCATGTAACCACTGCTGAGCAAAGGCCTCTTCTGATATGGAGAAGGTTAGAGCATTAATCACCACGCTTGCTCAATGCGGGTTGGCGATTTCAAACTTATAATTAGAAATTATAAGTCCAGGTTTCCTCCCGATGTTTACCTTCACCGTATGTCAGTGGTGTCTAAATAATCATAGGAAGTACATATAACTCAGAAAATGTCGCAATGGTACTTGCCAGGTTTCGAACTCACACCCTCATGCATAAAAGGCCCTTAACCTCCGGGCCACCACGACATGTGCCAATTACTGTAGCTGCCACAAAGGATTTGTTACGCACTTGGATGTTGCTGAGGGCGCTGTTCTCTTACATTCCATAAAAATACTCTAGTTACTCTTAGGCAAAACTACTTAAATAATAAAAATACGTCGCGTTTGGAGGCCGCTCTAAATTTTTTAATAAGTATCCTCTATTTTTATGGTCGTCCAATGCCATGTATTTTTGTTATTTTTTTACAGCACCCCTCTTTTTTCGCCGGGGTTAAAAATTATAGAGTACGTGATTAAATCGGGTTTGTGACGTCATCAGTGATTTTTACCTTGCAATTTTCTATGTGTGCCGCTTCGCTCTTATTGTACTGATTGTATGTTTGTCACAGGTCCGCGCGGCGTGCCTGGTTGAGCTGAAGCGTAGTTCAGAACTGTTCGCGTTCGCGCACTCCCTGGTGGACGCCTACCCTCATGCGTGGACCTCCTGGTACGCCGTGGGCTGCTATTATTATCTTATAGGTGAGATTTTTTCATTTTTTATTTATTTGTAAGTACACTAGTTGACCTCTATCGAACTCCGTACCGCCTCGGAATTAAATAATTCCTTCTGACCTTGTAAACATTCCCTGGACTTCTACAAATACTTCAAGATCAAAATTAGCCAAATCGAACCAACCGTTCTCGAGTTTTAGCGAGACTAACAAACAGTAATTCAATTGTATATAGAATAGCGCTTGATATCTATGCCTTCAGTCACTATGTTAGTGAAGAATAATAAATGCTCTAATATATCCCGGTATTTTAAAAACAGCAGCATTTTAAGCGATAGCTCGACTAACAAACGTAAATCAAGTATAATTTATAGCCTATAGCACTCTGATGTCTGTCTGTTAGTGAATGAATTTTGGAAATCCTACCAGTGGTTCCAATGATTATCCCCTACATACAAACATACAAGTTACAAATTTTACCTCTTTATAATATTAGTAGGTATAAATAGAATGTTATTGTGTCCCAGGTAAGAGTGAGTTAGCGCGTCGCTACCTGAGCAAGGCGAAGAGCTTGGAGCCGAGCGCGGGCTGTGTATGGCTCGCCTACGGACACAGCTTCGCCGCAGACAACGAGCACGACCAGGCCATGGCCGCCTACTTCAAGGTAACTATCAACCTTATTGTCTTAGTATTAAAATTCAAATTCTATTTACGTAGTTTTAATTGTTTTTGGTAGCTTCATGATGCTGGTCTATGAAAGGACACTCGATCATTACTATAAGATAGGCTCAATAGGTTCCGTAGGTCCAATAGTCACAAAAGGTGGTACCATTTGCTTTACCATATACTTAAAACTTTCAACCAGAGCAAGCTACCTATAACTTATCATACGATTATACAGACAAACAGGATCATCCATTTGTATGTCTGCTTTTTGTCATTCTATGTCCCATAAAACACAAAATATTTTCCATTTTGTAGCCTGAATATGCGCTTAAACTTTAACCTAAGGTAATACCGTTTACCTGATGGTAAGCAATCAGCGCTGCCAACGGACACCTTTAAAAACAGAGGAGTTACGAGCGCGTTGCGACCTTTTGTGATTGGATTAGGATTACGGAGATTGAGTGATTGGGGGGGGGGGGAGAATGGGGAAGTAACTTCACTCACACAGCGAATCACAACGCTGTGGTTGTTTCACGCCTGTTTTCTGTGAGGCCGTGGTATCACTCTGGTCTAACCAACCCATTTGTGCCGAAGCATGGCTTTCCCATACTTCATAGTATCTGGATCAGGCCTAATGTTTTATGAACCTTGAATTTTAAAAGTACTGGAGGCCCAGTTCTTACGCTTTCCTCATCCCTTCCCAATCTCTTTATCCCTTAAACCCTAATCCTCGAAAGGTTAGCAAGGCATTCGTAACTCCATGGGTGGGTTGGTTGCTTACCATCAGGTAACCCGCCTTCTCGTTTACAGACCCATCACTTAAAAAAGCACCCGTCGTTACTGAGTTTCAAAAATATCTTCACGTATTTTTCTATTGTGTATGAAGAATATTTTCTTTGAACCTTTATGTAGTTTAATATAAGGTGTAATATTATTTTGAAGGCGAGCCAGTTGATGTCGGGTTGCCACCTGCCCCCCCTGTACGTGGGGGTGGAGTGCTCCCTGCTGAACAACTTTACGATGTGCGAGCGGTTCCTCACCAGGGCCGCCACGCTGCACAGCAATGCAAAGGTCAAGGTCAGTTTTATATACCTACACTTGAACTAGGATTATGGGTTTATTGTCGAGCTAGCCGGGGATAAGGCGCCAGCTGGCCAAGGGTTCTTCTGGCAACTACCAATGTGTCAAATTATTCCAACTAAACTATAAATAGGTACTTTTGAAACGTCAAAATAGAATAGTAGTCTGTCAGTCTGTTCGTCAGTGAAGCTAGGTGCTCGTTCCAAATTGTAGATTCGAATGGAGAAGAACGAGCAAGAAACTCCATGTGTCTTTTTCTGAGTTACATGTACTTTCTGTAATTATTAAGACACCACTGACATATGGTGAAAGAAAACATCGAGAGGAAACCTGGAAATTAATTGTCAATAATAAGTTTGAATCGCCAATCCGCCTTGAGCAAGCGTGGTAATGAATGGTCAAACCTTCTCCGTGTGAGGAAGGTCTTTGCTCAGCAGTGGGCACTTAAAGGCTGATGATAGGATGTGTTATGAAATAAAACTTCAAACAAAGGTGACTTTTCAAAATTTCGAAAAAGTCAAATATCTATCGCTTTTATCGTGATAGCCAATTTCACTATGTATAAGTTAATAAAACTATAATAAACATAATAAATAAATGCTGAAGCCGATGGGATGGTAAATCAACTGGAATGTAGAGCAGTCTCAGAACCATCGGCTAACTTACACTTACTTACTTTTATTGTTTAAACTTAACTATAAGTTTTGGTTTTTTTTAACCCGTTCGTGCATGGTTGCGCTTTCATCTGCTGAACATTAGTCTATTAGGTTCCATCTGTGATGACCTGTTTGCTCTTTGATACGCGTGATAGAAATGTTTTAGAATGAATAAATTAATAAGTAAGTATGTTTTCAGGCGGCGGAAGAGAGTGAGGGGGGCGAGAAGGCGAAGTGGTCCCGCGTGGTGGCCGTGGCGCGGGACGGACACGTCGCGCACGAGGCGGGCGCCGCCGCCTTCGCCAGCGGGGACTACCGCGCCGCCCGGGCACTCTTCCTGCTTGCGCTCGATGCCGTCAGCCCCGCCAGCGACCAGGAGGTCTCTATACATCTATACCTTCATGCTTTCCATTCATAGATTTAGAAGCTTTAATTATTTATTAGCATTCCTGCATCATCGTATTCATATATTATAAAAGTTTATGAAACAAAATAACCGATGCGCAACTTTGCGCCAATCTTTTGCGCAATATAAATATAAATGCGCAAGTTCAGAGTAATATATTTTACACTATAATTTTCTCATGTGTCGTGACTGCGTTTAAAAATATTCGATTTATACATGATGTACTCTCGGAGTAACAATTTGCGGGTGACACACAGAGTTGTATCTTACGAGAATAAAACGTGCTACAAGTTACAACGCCTCTACATTTGCAATTCGTAATCACATCTTTTGCAGCATGCAGCCGGTTTCACATTAATCACATTTACATTTATAATTTAAACAATATTGTTTTGACGCAATGAAGTATGTAATCATAAAACATCGAATAAATGTGGATCTATATAACATTGCGACAATGTTTATATGCGAAGTCTGTATGACTAGGTAAGTCCCCGGTGGGCGGCGACCCTGGACGCGCTGGGGCACGCATGCCGCGCGCTGGGCCGGCCGCGCGAGGCGCTGGGCTGGCACGGGCGCGCGCTGGCGCTGCGGCCGGCGCGGGCGGGCACGCTGTGCGCGATGGGGCTGTGCCAGGCGCTGCTGGGCCGCGAGCGGGACGCCGCCGCGCTGCTGCACGCCGCGCTCGCGCACGACCCCGACGATGTCGTCGCGTTGGCACTACTCGATGCCATCGTCGACAGACTTGATGCCCAACTCACTGGTATGTATTATTTCTCATTGTTTATTTACGTGAAATGTTTGTGTTGATGGTATAAACAAAGCCCATATAGGTTGTTATTGTATTTAATGTAATATACAGGGTGTAAAAAGACACTTAACGAAGCCGTTAACTACGCATATTGCAGTTCTAAGTAGCTTTACGCTAAAATTATCACTGGGAAACGACTTTTATTTTTAGGTATCAAAAATAATAATAATTTTATTGCGCGCAATGTACGTATGTGTGTGTCATTGTGTGCGTGGGTTCACAGCTTAGCACGAAAACGCTATGATAAGTACGTAGGTCGACGTTTTACTTCGCAACAACAACAAAACAATTCTGTAAAATAAAAATCCTACTGAGATGCACGATGTTTTTTGTGCGGGTCTGCATTTATTTATTACGTACATTACTGTTCGTAACTTCAAATGCGTAATTTATTTAGAAAAATCGAAAATTCAGATAATGTTTGTTTGGAAAAAAGTTTTGTAATAATACTTAGAATTCGATTGCGCAAAAAAAACATAATTTAAAAATGCATCTTTGACCTTCAATATCTCGAGAACCCGTGGAGTCCCAGCTATGGTCTTCAAGATAAAAATGATCCAAATAATGGGTAGAATACGTGGCTTTCGGCTTCTTTAAGTGTCTTTTTACACCCTGTATACATATATCTCATCAAACCTCATAGATATATTAAACATATAGGTACCTAACAGATTACTGCAGTTGTATTATGTTCATGCAGCAAACTGACATCATTGATCAAAGTATATACTAAAATTTCATGATGATAGGCTCCGTTTGAACTCGAAACTAGACGAACATCCTCGTAATGTAAAGACGAAGTCAATTCTCTTTCAGAACGAGTACTTAAATATAATCGATTTGACAAAACTAACCTTTTTAAATCCTAGTCTAAATTAATATGTTATTCAAGTATTTCTTACACCGATATCTTGTTTTATATTTTTGCAGAAGAAGAAATCCCTCAGTTCCCGTTCCCAGCCGTGAACATCTCCCCTCCAGCCGTGCCTGTAACGCCACCTGCCGACGCTACCAACACTTCCGACATGAGCATGAGCTTCGACTAGTCAACAAAAGCTACTTACAATCCATTATATACCTTATTTAAATTGAATAAGATTGTTTTATTTTTCGCGTATCCTGACTGGAGTAATCTACGCACTCCAAAAATAAACACAAAGAAAGAAATACAAATGAAAGGCACATCACTTTAACAGAAATAAAAAGTGAAAGGCACTTTAACCATTCAGAAATAGACATGAAAGCCAACTCAACCATTCAGAAATAGAAATTTAAAGCACTTGAACAATTTACAAACAGAAATAAAGGCACCTTAATCACCCAGAAATAAAAATGCAAGGCACCTCAACCACTCAGAAATTAAAGTTATAATTTCTATGATTTCGCTAATTCTTTTTTCGTTTTTAGTATATCCCCAACGTCCTCAATCCTCTAAGCTCCTAACATAACGCAACGTACTTATCAAACTCTCTGGAGTTGCGATTGGCTATAAAGACAGTGATTGCGTACCAACAGATTATCGCTCTGCTCTTGAATAACTATCGCAAAGCATAATAAATGTATTGAAATAACGACTTACTCACGTGGGTCAACTCAGTAAAGCTTTACGAGTTTTAAGTGACAAAAGGGACTTTTATTCATAAGCATCGTGCGTTTCGCCGCTAACTAGTAGAGCTTTTCTCAAATTCGTTATTTTCAATAAAAAAAATCATCACGTAAAAATCGAGGTTTTATAAATAGGGTTCATTTCATGTCACGGCCATATTCCGACTTCAACTAGCAAATTTCTCTAGATAAAGAAGATTTACTAGGTATACACATAGGAAGAGCATGATAGATGTTAGCTTTACAAGCCCCGTAAGTTGACATTAGTACTCTGTGCAATAACTCCAACGGGCAAAAGGAAGTAAACCACGTGAAAGGGCTTGAAGAGGAATATTGACTCAAATATAGAATAACTGACGAGCTATTTATCATCAAAAACATGACAGAGTGGAATTGAAGAAATAGGCAAAGATTTTAATTAAGCATAGATTTTTACATATTAACCATTACACGTCAACAACATAATTGTTATGTATCTACTTATGGGTGTAATCATTGTTTTTTACATAAGCTATAATACAAAACCAATCTTATAAGGTGCCGATTTTTTTTGAAATATACATGTTTACATACCAATCATGATTCAAATCCTTACTTATTTACGAATGTAAAATACCATGTTTTTTAAGGCGCTAATCATGTAAGTACTTTTGCCGCCCTACGTTGGGCGAGAGGGAGCGTTACTCTTAGGGTGCAGTTCCATTGAGGCGGACCGGAGAAGAACTGTGCCGCGATTCACCAATCACATGGCTTGAAATCCACATCTCTAATATGGATCTATCTCGAGTGTGGATTTCAAGCCCTGTGATTGGTGAATCGCGGCACAGTGCACTGCACCCTTACTGACTTAAAACCAACCCGTTACTTCTCCTGGTCCGAGTCTGGACCGCGGTACATAATTACGCAACCCCAGCAGGCGGCAAATGTTAGTGCTGTGCTCATTGTTTTAAACTGTTTAATGGAATTGTTGTAAATTGACTGCTCTACATACTACAAAGAGCCTTTTGCGTGACACGACCCGTCTATGTGGCTTCATATCTATCTAGGACCAGATAAAAGTGACCTTTACATGCATCACATTGTGATCGAAATGTTACCATCTTTATGCCTCTGATTGGTTAAAGAATATTTTGAAAATGTACTTAATTTAGACCTTGTTGCGTTACTTATTTTGAAAGTTTTATATAAAAACCTGTACGGTGTAAACGCCTTTAAATGTTGCAAAATACTGATTTATTTTCAATTCTTAGTGAAAGTAATGAGCTTGTTGCGAATTCAAACTAGGTTCTTAATAAGGTAAGAAACAGGTAGACATACCTACGGAGTGCTGTCATTTTGCGAGTTTTTGTGATTTTTGTGTAAAGTAATCATTTTCAAGTAAATGTAATGCATAAATAAACGTAGGTATGTCTAATGTATAGTAAATAATTCAAGTCTGGACAATTCGGTATTAATATATTCCCAGAAAAATTAAGTCCCATCAATCCCATGTGTGTAATAAAAGGGTTTAGAGGGGGCTACGAAATAATACAAAGTAATTTGCAATAATAAGTATATTTTGTATAGTTAAAAATCAAACAAGCGATTCACATAAAATCAACATATCGTATTAAACATCCTAGTATATTAAAACCATGATTATACATTTTAAAAGCCCATTTTAAAAAGTTTAAAATCGCTACTACAGGGCTTACTAGGAGGCACGTTAAAAATTGATTAAAATCACCTAATTCTAATAGGCACATACGTAAAATTTTTCTAAGGAACATTTCTACGCTGTTAGCGTATTACAACAATATATCAAATTGTTTGATAAAATTATCATCTAGTTGTAACGGCATACCGTTACTTGTATAATGGAAAAATAATCAGTACGTGATAAATGGTAAACTAAATCCGACACGGTGGGGTTTAACTGACAAATTAGGAGTTTTATTCGATAGTTCATATCGACAAAAACTTATTTGTTGGTTATACCCCACCGTGGCGTTCAAAGGGATACAATAATATCCAAATAATTAAGCATTAAGTTTAGACTTAGTCTAAACAAATAAACCAGTCTATGTAACAAAAAGTAAATATAAAAAATAAACAATTAACAATCAAATGCAACAATTGAGATCAATAATTGAGCTGTCGATAAGAACTCGAATGTAAAATAACGCTCACAATGGAGTTCAAATTTAGTCAAATTTATCAAGTTATTATAAATTTAATGTAACACGAAATTAAGTTCATTTTTGTATAACGATATTAACATTTTTAAAAGGTATTTGAATTAAAATACTGTAATAAAAATGGAGGTTATCGAAGCATTCGAGTATCTTACCGTAAAGAATCAACAAACAAGCAAGAATGTTGGCGAAGCGCCGAACTTAATAGCGGGTCGACAACAGCTGGGGCCCGGCAGCTACTGCAGGTCGGTGGCGTAGTGCGGGTACTGCAGGGCTGCGGCGCGAGGACTAGTTGAGCCACGTGGAGACTGCGCCCCCGGGCGCGTCGTCCCCGCCGCCCTCGGCCTCCTCGCTCAGCCCACTGCCGCCGCTGCCCGGCTCCTCGCTCGTACCGCTCGTGCCGCTCGTACCGCTCGTCGCGGGAGACGGTGTGCCTGCAAATAATATTCATGTTAAACATATTACAAAACAAGATTTGACTTTAGTCTAGGTCTAAACTAAAATAATTAAATTAGATAAACCATTGAGCCAGTTTTTTATTTCAAATTATATTATATTCATTGTATTATGCATTTTAATTAATTACTTTTATTTTAAGTTAACTCTTGTACTTTTTTGCACCGACCATATTCTTACTGCATCACCCAAAGGTTGGCTAGCAAGAATGCTTGTTGGCATTAAGCCCACCTATGTACGTTGTGCATAAAGGTTAAATAAATAAATAAGGTAGGCGAGAATAAAATTCATAACAAAACCTGACTCAATGGTTTAAACCTAGACTAGACAAATCTTATTTTGTAATAATTGGGATTGTATACAAGTAAAATAATGGGATTTAAATAATCACAAAACAAACACAAAAGGACCATAATGATTTCGGAAAAATCTAATCAATAATTTTGATCAAGAAAAACTGGACTAAAAACCTGAGCTAAAACTAATGCATTGTTAGTAACTACCGACGGCTAGATAAATATTTTCAGGAGTCAGGAGGTCGGCAAAAAAAATCATTTTAGCGAAAAATTAGAACATATTATAGACTTCATATACACCTTGTATGAACTACACGAATAATGTAATAAATGAAGTACTCACTTTCGTTAGCATGGCCAAAGATGCCATTGTAGTTGTGATGATCGTTGCTATTGTCCTGCGAGGGCGGGACGGCGCGAGGGCTGGCACTCTTGGAGTTACGCATCAACGGCTTATGGTCGTCCGTGGAGTGCTGCCATGACCAACAAGATCGGCAGAAGTAACTAGAAAGAAATAGGCAATATTCAGTCATGTAGTAAAACATCCCCTGTATTGTACCCATATTTAGGAATAAATTTATCTTTATCTTAAAAGTTCTAGTTGTCCAATCTTTTAAGTTAAAAACTTTTCATCGGAATAAAATAAAGAAGTTTTCTATTTAAAAAAAACTAAGTATATCATTGTTGAAGTGAAGGTCCCAAACAAAGAATAACACTGGCCTTTACAAAAAACAGGGGTTCAAACTTTCTTGTATATTTGCAATTTCGATGTATATTTGCCAACAAATAAGTGAACATAAATTCTACATTATGAGGTCATCGTCACTTAATCAATTGCCTCAACACGTCTCTACAATTTGGAACAAGCACCTAGCTTCACTGACGTACAGACAAACTACTACTTATTCTATTTTGTAGTTTTAAAATTACCTATTTATGGTTTAGTTGGAATAAGGGAACCGTTTGTCTTGGTATGGCCATGTGAAAAGGAGGGATGAAAAGCATGTTACAAAAAAGTCATGAGTATAAATGTGGATGGATGGAGAGGGAGAGGGAGACCAAAGAAAATATGGATGGATTGTGTGAGAAGTAATATGGAAGACAGAGGAGTTAGCGATAGCGTGACGAGTGACAGGACAGAATGGAAGAAAAAAACATATTGCGCCGACCCCAAATAAAACGGGACAAGGGCAGGAAGATGATGATGATGATGATGGTTTAGTTGGAATAACTGATTTTGAGTTTGTCTACATACCCGAAGCAAGTTGGCTCGCGACAGAAGTAGGGCCCCTGCTGCAGATTGCACACAGAACACATGGAATCCTCCAAGTATGGGTTTACTTGTACCTGCAACAACATTTACACATAGAAAACGGTCATATACTGGGTACAAAATTATCTTGTTATATTCTTGATACAAAATAAAAGCAGATTAAACGACACGGATATTCCTAATGTGGAAGTGGTCTAAAAGTTCGCGATCGCGATCCAAATATTACCGTTGAGTTAGGACTTCTGTAGGCCTACCATTACGTGTTAAAAATCAATCTTCCGGGCGAGAAAGAGGGATGGAGCTATACACCATCGTCATGGTAGGCCCTCTGATTGGTTGATTAACTCATAGCTCATTGGTCGATTGCCTTAACGCAAAGCAAACTCCATTAGGCACTCAATAGTACCATAGAAACAAAATTGTAAATACATTTATCGTATTTCTTCAATTTCCGGATAAAAACACTGATACAGACATATGTACACTAGCATAGACGGACGGCCATTTTGGATTTTATCTACGAAATGTAACAAAATAAACCAAAAGCCATAAACCTATACTGCCTTATTACAGAGCAAGGTTTTACTTTAGTCTAGATCTAAGCTATTGAACCAGTTTTTGTATTTCAAATTGAAGGTGGGCGAGAATAAGATTCAAAATACAAAACCTGACAACGATGGAAATAAGATAAATCGTATTTTATAATAAGGGGTATAAGGTTCAAAATAGCACAACACGCAAGCGTTCTCATCTTAATAGAACATGATACATACCTTCTTGGTGAACTTGTCGGTGTGTATTTGCACATACGCGGCGGAGATCGCGCGAACGTAGGAGCGCACGTTGTTGAAGGTAACACGACCCGAGCCGATCGGGTACTTGTACTTGTCTGTGTCTATTCCTGTAATCACGACATTGAAATTTAATAAAAACAGTAATCGTTTCTTTTAACATTTTTTGTATCGGGACAACCCCGCCGCAACTCCTGTAAGTCAGGATCTGCAGTAGATACAACCATGAAAACACAGGAACACTGAAGTCCGGCGCGTCCCAGGGACATGAATGACTGTCTTGGATACCGCAACGAAAAGAAAAAAACGAAATTTCTTCTTCCCTCGGTAAATTTAATGCACGAGACAGAATGACTTAAGCTTTAAAGGCACAGAAAAGACTGTACAACTGAAAGAAGCCCAGTCACCAAAAACCACGGAATATTTTGTATTGTTATTGTAATGGGACCTATGTGGTAGCTGCTATAGTTGTTTCCAGTAATAGGTATGGTAAAAACGCCGAAACGCACGGAAATCGTAGGTACATAAAAGTGTTGAATTTCACTTATCTAAAACCTATTTTTCTCCCCTCAGATGAAAAGTTATTGAAGTAACATTATTAAATCTGTCTTCTGTATTTTAGATTCTACAAGGTCCGTATAATAAACTACACCTGATGAGGTATTTTAATAATTTAACATATTGTTACGTCATAAAGGCATCGTAATAACTTCCAAGTTACCTGCGTAAACAACTCCGGAGAAGAGATCGTTCATGATGGTAGCGAGCGCGGAGGCGGACAGCATCCCATGCAGCGCGCCCACGAACACCGTCCGCGCCGGCTCCAGCCGGACCGAGCCCCCGGACACCCAGTTCGAGTCCGACAGCGCCCACGGGATCACTTGCACCTGCACCCATTGATAATACTTTACAAATCGCATGTTAAACAAGAACAGAACTCGGTATTTTTAAATCGAACCTTATTGAAGCATAATTTTTAAAATTCTGGCACCTTTTTTGAGTTAAGCCTCTTTTCTATTAAGCTTACGAAATGTCAACACAAAGTTTATGTTTAGTTTATTATGAACTATTAGGTACTGTTCGGAACAAACAGTGTCAAATCCATGGACAAAAACACCCAAAATAAAAGTTTCTTCGCAGATGCAAATTGAAGATGAGACAAATTTTTGTATAACGAAGTAAAATTTAATGATAAAAACTTGTGTTTCAGATATACTTTATAATATTCAGAACTTATGTTTTTGTCACCAAGTTGGTTTTTTAATCCAACTGGACAATATGCTACTCAAATTTTCAATTAGAGATGTAACAGCACTTAGGTAAAGATCAATAGGAAATGTTTATTTAACCATACAATAACCTAAGGACTCCATTTCCGCAAAATTTTATTTTTCGGAACGCCTTCAAATTTTTTCTATAAATCCTCAAAAGATATCTAAAATTTTACACTATAAACCCTCAGAAGAAATGGGAATGAATTAATTACCTCCTTGCTACGAGTCTTGCGAGATCCGATGCGGTAGTACCAGTCATTCCCATCCCGACGGCTAGCGGCCAACAGCGCCCTCACGCGGCGCTCGCTCTCGAATATAACGTACGCAAACCCGCGCGGGCAACCGTTGCCCGGGGCATTGCCTGACCCACCCGGGGCTGGGGGTCCATCGCGACCTGGCCATTCCACACTGCAAAATAAAGGAATTATTGAAACTAGAACTAGCTAACACGGCAAATTCCGCACCGCCTCAATATAACTATGTGTTCTGATCTTTTAAACTTTCCCTGGACTTACGAATATTATAAGGCCAAAACTATCCAAAAAAGACCAGCCGTTCTCAAAACTAACGAACAGCAATTCATTTTATATTGAAACTATAATGTAAGTATCCGAGTAAACTTTTAATTCTCTATTAGTTAATAACCTGTACAATCCTACAATAGCAAAATGGCCATTTACCGTATTGGTTGAAAGTGCTTCAACGTTTGCATGAGCGAGGCTTCATTAATATCCCATGGGAGACCCCCTAGGAACACCTTGGAGCTGAACCCTCCGCTGGGGTCGACACAGCGCGGGGGTAGCTTGCCCCCCCAACGCAACACCTCGCTCCCATTGCGGGACCACACCACTCCACCTGGGAACAAAGTTCTGGATGATATTGCTATTGTCTTCTAGAAAGGCAGATACCAGGAATAGTAATGGAGAAAATAAGCGGAGATGGATATTAAATACGACTGACATTCTTACCGGACTGTTAGGAAAGTACGCAACGAATCCAACGTTAGGTTTTCTGAAGAAAATTATCTAAGTGCGCCTGTTAAACATTTTAATGTCAGAAATTCAGGTTTCCGAAACAGACTTTCTGGTCTAAAAACCTAATTCGGAAAACTAGTCCGCGGCTAGTCTAATATAGAGATGATTAAAATCTATTGTCTTCGACCGAGCATATAGCCACAAGTATACTTTGGCTATAAGCTCGCCAAGCAAATATAGATAGGGATGAAGACCATCAATACAACTAGATTTGATCCCTATTAACCCTATTCTGAAATTTGGTATCCTAGTGTTGCCACTCTGTGCTGGGCGAGAAGGAGTCACTTTTACAGGGTTAAAACTACTTAAAACCCGGGGTGGTTTTTCTGTGCTCCGACGGCACGGTTTCGGCGATCCTGAAAATACAAAACTGCGCATTTTCTGCCACAACCACTGCAGTTCTATGGTATACAAGGACAAAAAGAACACCCTAATATACAGACTACAGAATAAACTAGATACTTACAAAAGGAAGCTCGCCTCGGCAGCATGGAAGCGCGGTGTTCCCTCGAGTTTTGCTCGTTCCAAGTTTCGTCTCTGTCGATGCCTTCCAATCTGTCCAAACGGTCCAGTCGATCACAGCCGAACTGCGCCGGCGGCAGCGACACCGACGCGGAGGGCATCGCCAGGGCCTTCTGAAACATGCACTTACAGTACCACTGGAAATATACTTATCTAGAAGTCTGTTAAACATTACAGTAATTAACCATTTTTGCAAAAAATATTACGTATTATTTTGTACTACTATGTTTTTTGTAGTTCCAATAAATTTTTTACTCTGATAACCCTCTTTTATGTCTCACGAAAGTTAAGATGTGCGCATTTCCCAGAAGAAAAGTTTAAAACAATTCTAGATTTCCAGACTATTTCTATTTTAAGTGATGCAAAATTGGTAGTTAAAATTATTCTTAAATACCTGAACATCGAAAATAGCCTATCTTACTTAAAAGTGCAAGACGCTACTAGACCAAAGTACAAACGAAAAGAGTACTTACTAAGGAGGCAACTAGATCAGTAATGCCTTTTTCGGAGGCGCACTCCTCGGACCAAAGACTGCCAGGCTGCGCGCTTTCACTGAAACAAGCGTACTTAGTTCTAATTACTTCATTAAAGTACACTCGGGCTACTTAGAACGTTCACCCACGCGACGCATTAAGGTACGCAAGTTTTTAATTAGTATTAATGCACGCCGCTACCCGTAACATTGTTACCAAAGAAAAATTGCGCTTTTAACGCGGACGTGTGCGGCTGTTTAGTGTTACATTATAAAATTGTTTTTTTTTGAAGCTACCACCTCCGAGTTTGTCATTTCGGAATTTTTTGAAACTTATTCTGAGAAGAATATTTTTGCTACGAAATCTGTAAGCACAAAATATCTTAACAACACCTCACAATAACTTAAGGATTAATTTGTTTTTATTTTTAGATTATTTGAAGAAAAATTTGGTCTTTACTTACCTGTAACTAGTAAATGCAGTGGGATGTCTTGGAGGGAAGCAGGCGGGCGGTACGAGCGCTCGCGGCGTCTGCGCAGCCTCCGGGCTGCTAGGCTCCTCCTCCCAACGCCAACCATTGTCACCTCCACACTCCTGCGCAAGTACAAAATTTCACTAATGGCCCTGTAGCGAACTTCTTGAACTTAGTTGTCAGAAGCGATATAATTTCGAAGGCTATTACATAATATTGTCAAAATTATTTTTTCTCTCGCAAACTTTACCGCTACATAGGTAATAGTAATGAATCTACGGATGAAGTGTTCTACACTAAGCACACAATGACTAGAGGCACTTCAAAGCACTCAACTTGGGCAAGGCTCACGCACTCGTCGAAAATTATTTTATTTCGAATGCGACTGCGTGCTTAAATTATATTCGTATACTATAAATGCCATTTACATACATAGTTTCAATTTGTAACGAACGTAACAAATACTCAGAGGGCCGGCAAAATTTACTCAAGTACTTTGCTGTCTAGTCATTAATGAAGCAAGCACACGAATCTATTTGTTCAACCCAATTCAGTGCTCTAGAGCCACTTCAGAGCACTAAACTTAGGCAGAAAACTCAAAGGATTATTCCAACCTTTTTGCTTAAACTATAGAAAACAAACGTCCGGGTTATGATATAAATTATTAAATACAATCCCCGAAACACCCAATGCTGCGTAACCGTATAATATACGAGGACCGCAGCATCGGATATCCCATAAAATAAGATTTGTTTCCGATGTGTTCCCAACAAGTTTCCATGTTTTACTACCAACTTATTCAATAGACCAACTAAAAGCTTTGCTTTATTCGTAAGTGAATCGTAACTTTACGTGGACAATTTTATCTGCGACTTCACTTAAAGGTATCGATATAGGATCAAAATAGAATCGTTTGGTTATTGCAACGATAACCGCGATAGGTAATATCAAAGTCTGTAAGAATATTAGATAACTTGGAAGCAGTCAAAAGCAGCAAGTGGGCAAAGCTAATAAGCATGAAAGAGCGGGTATCTGTATCCAAGATAGTTTTCCGGATCGCGAGCGCGAGCCGATTAAACGCCTTGGCATGAGCCTACACAAATAATATTATATTGCCAGATGCATGCCAATAGCCGGCGATACCCGCCAGACGCCTGCCAAGTGCGCGATTGCTAACTTGCTCCACAATGTTGGAGGGTATGTTGTGACGCGCGCCTCTTGCCAGGAAACAATGTCACGAGACGATTACTTTAAGCCTTGCCTAAGAATTAAAACTAAACAAAACTGAATTGCATATTTTTGTTACCGCTTATCCGCATAAAAACTTTTTGAACATTGATTTCAAAAGTACTTCAAACTTTACGATCATAGTTCTAGTAAACGGAATACCGTACGTAAATAATATGGTCAATTACAACTGAAATGCTCGGAAAAGAAATGACCATTTCCCAAATACATATCTGCTCTAATCACAATAATGCATTTGACCAGAATCGATAAAATAATAGAGGTGGAAATATTCAATACTCGAGTCCGTTATCCCCCGCACAGCCCCGAATAGTACATTACTAAATGGAGAAGATTCAGCATGTATTCACGTCGCAACCAATAAATAACGGGAAGTGAAAATAGTTTTAAACTTCTCAAAATTTCGCTTAAAGTGGGTAATGAAATATTCATGGAGAAATCGATAGTCTATAGGGGAGAACCTAAACATTAATATAGACGTTGGCTTGCAAATAGTTCATGAATCTGGAAGAGTAAGGTCAAATAAGACTGCAGACAAATGGGGATGTAAATCAGTTCTAAATTGTGTATAGTTCATAGAAGCGATTAAGCAAGCCATAAAATGTACGCATCTCATATAGACGGGGTGAGATAGGGAATCCTCGGATGCCGGCTAATGCAAGTGCAGTAACCCAAGCGATCCGGGCCGCATTATTTGGCACGGCCGGCCCATTAATACGGGCCACTGTTGGCACCAATCTCGGCTAACATTAACTGGCATCAAACCGGATGTCGTACGGTACATTATGAACAGACAATAAAACCTACGGAGTGCTCTGTACTTAATATTTGATTTAAGCTTTTGGCGCTGCATGAATATAACAATGTGATGCATGTTGCGATACTAGCATACAAGCGTCTTGGCGCCCAACGTGGGGCCGCTGCGCTCTTGTTCCATTCTTAAAAATTGGCAGTTATGCGCGTTCATAAAACATTAAGCATATAAAAACTAATGTCGGGTTCAATTGTGTGGGTAGAAGTAATTCCCAAACATTGGCCTTGAATTTGGGAAGAGTCATACGGATGAGGGTAGTTGCAAAATATGTTATCTTTGATTTGTTACGTCTATATTCCTATATACTCTGCCTACAAAAATCAAAAGCGTAAGCGGTAGATACTTTTACTCACATAGTCAAAATAACGCTGTCGAAACTGTCGGTACTGAGGAGCACAGCATGCAACAAAAGTGAGGGTACATAAAAATAACTTAAACAATAGAAGAAAACTCCCTAAGGATTCCCAATGACCAAATTCCCGCGCTAAATTATGAAAATGACCCTAATAAAATATGAATACGAATTGTAGAAGTATCGGTTTCTTTAAAATCCCTGTGTTAAGTTTCAAAAGGAGAAAAAATCCTTGAAATAAAACTAAAAACCATATTCGAAAGTAATAAAAAATATTGCACTTAACATTAAAAACACAAAAGTTGCATAAAATCCTCAATTTCGTTTTTTAAACAATTAACAGATATGAAGGAATATAAAGATGTACTCACACTATTGCGATGGACGACTGGCGTTGATGCGGGCTCAGAAAGTGACGTGGGGTCGAGACCCAGGAAGTCAGCCAGGGTACGGTGCTCCTCAGAGCCGCCACCGCCCCGGCTTGTGTCCTAAGGCAAAAAAACTTGTGCAAAAATGTAGGTAGGCGGTGCATACAAATACTCTTATCAGTCATAAGGTCAGAATGCAGACCGCAAAAAAATTAGGCTTAAGGTCGGGCTCTTTGGATCGAAATGTACCTAAAAATTATCGCCTAGTAATTCTTTGCCAGTTACAGAACTGTATTAACGGTAGCAAGAATCAAAATCAGAAAAGCACATTCTTAGATCCTTGATTTACAAAATTGCTAGCCGATTGATGCGACAAAAAAAATAAAATGAGGGTAGTTGTCACATCGACTCCAACGTAAAATTTTAAATACAACGGATTTTATTTTATTTCATTTCATTGACGAGGGTAGAACTAATATTTGGGCAATAAAGTAAATGACCCCAATTGGCAGCTAGTACATTATTATATTGTACATGGCGAAGAAAGTTCAGGATCGAGAACTGAAGTGGGTGACCCAGGCTAAATAAAATACGAAACCGACCAGGCCGGGTCAAATATTTTTAGAAACGTTCAATAATTTCATCAAAGCGTACAAAGAAAAATTTAAAAAAAGAACAGAATTATACCTTGAGAATAAAAAAACTTACCTGGTGTAGAAGCGGCATATGTGCCGCTAAAAAGTTTCAAAGTTCCGATGTAGTCTAGGGCGCGTCGAACAGAGTTCCAGGCCAGGTTGTTTGCGCGACGACGGCGCACAGACGACTGATTCCGAGATCGCGCGCCTCGAAGCAGGAAGCCGTACCCACCCCACCTCTGCCCCTACCACCCACTCTCTGACATCACAAGCCACGCCCACAATACTTATACTTTTTATTCAATTCCGATCCAAAAAATTCTAAATTTAATTTTAAATTATACTCAAATTTATTCCTCTTACTTAATTCTACAAGAAAATATAAAAATAATTTTCTGTATTGTTGTTAGGACTGTTTGTATCTGGAACCGATTTGCGCGCGCAATATGGCGCCCGGTGCACGTGGTTTACTACGTCATGCGCATGTCTGGTGAAGTCAAATGTAATACAATTAATTATTTATGCAAGTTTATTTTTAAAACAATAACATGATCGTTACATGGATAATTAATTATTCTTCTATCATGTGGAATTTATTTAAGTTTGTAGCAGTTTTAAAACGAGTCAATCACAGGAAATTGGGTTTAGGTTAATTTTTAAATAAAAATAAGTATGCATATACTTTAATTAAATGTTCTTATCCCTAATATTTTTAACTCTTTATATTTTTTCAGTTTAAAATTAATTTAGGTTTTTTTTGAATTAGTACAAATTACCTTACGTAAATAAAATTAGCTTATATAATGTAGATGGAATAAAACTACAATTTCCGAGACAAAAATATTTATTTCAAATATAAATTCTGGCAAAAAATAACATTATTATCATCAGTTTTTTTTTTTGTATTTTAAATGCAGAACAATGTTTTACTAAGTGGAATACTTAAATAATATTTAGGACTATTCTATAAAAATAGTCACGTCATCAATTCACAATATTAGCTTAAGGCCCGCTGCTTTAAACACAAAAAAGAGCGGGATTAAAAAATAATATAATAATTCGAAATTCAATTATATATATTTCAGTCATTCCTTTTCATCGCATACATGTAAAGCTAATAATAGTTCACCATCTAAAACGATAGATGGCGTTGTTATATATTTCTTTATTTGATGTAATCTTCCCGAATCATAGTAATTTTATAATCCTGGCGCAACCATTACATTCTTTCGCAACGACACTCAAAAAAGCTTGTTAGGATAAACACATTTAAAATTAAAATTATATTGTTTTTGATTTATTTAATATAATACTAGACACTTTTACATATATTTAAATAAAAAATAAGATTCTTCCGTTTTATGACTAGTTTAATATAAATAAGGTTTTATACATTCGATATTGGTTCTCATTCTGACGGTATAATGAAAGACGTGGTCGTTTTGTGTAATTTAGACCGTAGAGTGATTTTTATAAGGTTTATTTAGCACTGGCATTGTGACATTTATACTGTTCTTCAATTTTTGTGTTCATATGTAAAATTTATGAAATAAAGTACTTTATTTAAATGTTTGTTTTTTTTCCTCATTTTATGGCTGTGTCTTATACACATAGCCAGGAATAACATAGACAACGACTTATGATCAAATTACAATTGGATTTTCATATTTTTTTTATTCATTTATTTTCTAACTGTAGACATCTAATCATTGGGTAAAGAGAATTATTTATATGATCATTGTTATTAATATTACAAACATTTAAACATAATTTAATTGGTTTTAGAAAGACACAGAACTCACAACACTTAAACAGACATGTCCTGTTTTAGTTTATCTAACAAAAATACACGGGAAAAGTGACTTTATTTCTTCGTTGAAAAGAGCCATATTAGAAAATCAGAGTCACCCCATTGTATTCAAAAGTATGAGTTATAGTAGTAATCTGAAGTGCATCACAAGTCTTTTATCACTATCTTTGTCATACACCATTATCTTGTATATGTTTATCCCTCTCTTTCTGTGAAACGGCTAATAAAGACAGGTCAAGATATGTTAGTCTGATTCTAATTTTTATTTGAATCACAAAACTATTGAAGACACACAGCTACATTATCACACAGATTGACTCTATTATTTAATTTAATTACTTTTTTTTGAGAATATTAGTTTTTTTTTTTGAAAATTTAAGATTTTTAATAATTTTAGACAACATTTATCTCTCGCTGAATGGTACGTCAACAACTAGTAAATTGGATTTGAATTTCTTTGATTTTTCTCTATCAACTAACACTGATCGATATGTCATAAACGCACTAGCGTAACATAAATGCCACTATGAACTCTATTAAAAAGTCTTAAGGTCCAAAATTGATTTTACAAGCCTTTTTTGGTGTCGTTCTGTTGGTTTGCTTGTCTCATACGTTGCGCTCTTCGTTTGGCTGTCTTGGAGAGTTTTTTCGGGGTCTTCTGGGCCCAGGGGATTTGTTAGTCCTGTAGGCCGAAGAGTGGGGTGATGATGGTGCCCGATTGGTGGGGGACTCCGGGCCTAGGCCGCGGGAGGCAGCCCCTCTCGTCCGAGTACATGTATGGGAACCGCAGCACCCAGTATGCTGAGGCTGACAGTTTGATGGGCGGAGAGCCCACTGGTTGCGGCACGAAGATCGGTCCTCCTGGTACTGGTTGGACCTGGAATTTGTTATATATTTATACTATTACGTTTTTTATTTCACTTACAAAGTCAGATGCATATATTCAAAATGTAACAATTCGTCCATTCGTCGTGCATCTCTCATAATAAATTAATGTTGAAATCTAAGACCAATGCTTGATGCGCCGCCTTTTCTTAATGCAGGTTTTAGAATTACAGCAAAAGAGATGAGGCTAAAGTTACCTCATTTTTGTATGCTTAAGGAAACGTAGCTTTATTTCACCATTCTTAAAGAATTATCCGATAAATAACTGACAGATAATTCATACAAATGTCAATTTATTGATTGTAATGTGGAGCGCAGTGAGTACCTTGGGGTGTAGTGTGACGTGTACGGGCGCCTTAGGCGTGACGACGTGCAGGCGCATGAGCTGCGCGTGCGCAGGCGCGGCGGGCGCGGGCGCGGGCGCGGCGCGGCACACGCAGGCCGCGTACACCGGCATGGCCGCGCCCGCCAGCCGCGCCCCCGCCGCGCCCGCCTCGCGCCCCAGCGCGCCCCCGCCGCCCGACACCATCGTCTCCGGGGATGACATCATGAACCTGTCACCGACCATACATTGTGCTCATTATTTTTTGCTCGATCAGTGTCGCCATAGACATCCGCACCACAGAGAAGTTACGAGTGAGCTACCTTTTGGAGATTTAGAGATTTAGGGGTTGACTTGACTTCGTGACAGCTGAAAACTCTTCATACATATTCTTAAACCAAGCTAACGACACTGTGTATTATCATCAAACAATCTACGAAGGAAAGAAGTACATGTAAAAACACCAGCACATTAACATTCTCTAAACTGTTAAATTATTAACTAGATAAGTGATTTTATGACAGTTTTTCATAAAAATCTTTTAAAGAAACTTCTCATTCAAGATTAGGTAAACATGCTGGTAAACTATTCAATAACAAATGGCGCCACTATCGATTATGGTCGAACCGAAAATCAAAATGACCAAAAAGAAAACAATCATAAACAAAATATATTAAATTGAACGAGAAAAGCTTCAAAGATTAATTATTTACACATTTTATTTGGGAAACGAACAGATATATAAAAAAATAATTAAATACAATCACCTAATCAACACTTAATCCAAAACAGAGTCCACACTTAAACTATACATTCGCGCCAAGAACAATGTTCAAACAGGTATAAGAAGAGATGAATAAAAGAAAAATGTTCAAAGTATACCTGTGACCCCTAGGGCACTCGTACTCGAATCCGATGAATATCTTGACCGTGAGGTGATGGTGCGGTGCAATCTTTCCGCGGCCACGAGACGGGCCTGATACCCGCCACCCACTCATTGACTCCAACCTGCAGCGCATCGCAAAACCATTATTTTATGGAATAGGAGACAAACAGGCATATGGATTACCTGATGGTAAGTATAAGACACCCGCAACACCAGAGAGGTCACAGGCGTGTTGCCGGTCTTTAAGCAATTACTAAAATTAAGTATACATCTTGTAATGTTTGTTAATAATTTGTTAATCTGGCAGCAGATTATTCCTGCTAGTCAAATGTGGCTTTTTCTTTTATATTCCCTACAATAGTTTTTATTCCTGTGTCCTAGGTACGTTTATAAATGAAAAATATCACCAACGGCTGCGTATATCATATCGTAAAATAGACCAGAATAACGGACTACTGTGCAGTCAAAGCCTTTGAGACTTAAGTCATTCTTCCTAAAATAAATCAATGTTTAGTTTTTCTTATCAAATATTAACAACATAACAAATTGCGGACCACATTAAGTATCTTTAAATAATAATTATTATTTGTTGTGGATTTCGCCAGTTGTGCTAGTAAGAAATACTAGTATAATAGATGAATGGTTAAGAGCAGAGGGTAGAGTACCGCACGGCGCAGTCCCAGGGCAGCAGATAGTTGGTGTGTGGCAGGAAGCCGGGCTGTAGATGCTCGGGCAGCCCCAGCGCGTGCGAGTACAGGCTGGACGCGCCCAGGCACACCAGCGACCAGCTCGCGAACGCAGGCAGCAGCCCCGCCGGGCTCTGCGAGTGCAGCATGCCTGGCAGGTACTCCGTCGTCGATGGCTGCCGACTCATTGTCTTCTCTGACAATTACCAAATACCCTCTTTACTATACGTGGCAACATCCTTGATATCTTAAGTACGCAATATATTATATAATATACAGGGTGTTATTTTCAACGGGGGACATATACAAGGATCCGATTTTGGTGCTCAAATAAAACAATGTTTTCCATAAAACCAATATGGCAATCTAGAGAAAAATTTCAAATGTAATTTCTCGTTCGGAGTCATTGAAATTGTTACAGAAGGCTAACGGTGGATCGACTTTATCAAAAACATATGCTTATCACTTACACAAAGCATTTAAAATCGGTCAAGCTGTGATGGCTATCAAACTATGGAACTGAAGTTAACATAGCACAGGTATAACTCGTGCGCGATAACATGGCACCTGGGTCAAAAACAGTTGGAACATTGAATCCACAAAAATTGTTTGTTTGGTTGCATTCAAAATATCGTAAAGCACATTACGAGAAACTCAATAGCGTAAAATAAGTATTAACATTCACAAAACTAAAATAAAATTAAAAACAAAAAAATTAAACTCAGTTCTTTAAACGTGATTGATTCACGCCAGGTGCCATGTTATCGCGCACGAGTAATAAAGAATATAGTAGCTGATTATTCCCATTCAAGTTTAAGAGAGATAGCCACCGAATCTTCTATAACTTACGAGTCTACGAGACTATTTTAACTAATCATTTGGGTATGAAACATGTAGCACGCATAGTCCCAAAAGACCAGAATTTTTTTCAAAAACATAATCGCATGAGAGTTGCTGAGTACATGATAGAACAAATCAGTTTCGTACCAACATTCATGAAACGCATTGTAACTGGCGACGAATTTGACATGTAAATAAGTCCACAAACTTTTGAGTAGTAGGAAAAACAAAACCGAAAAAGCCACCCCAAAGTCGATCAAAAGTCGCGATGTTGTACAGTCGGAATTCTATGTTAAATATTATTTGATCGGCGTGTGTAATTTAGGACATCAAATTCGGTATAGACCAGATTTGTGGAAAGAAAGTTCTTAGTTTCGGTACTTTTACAGGTACATTCCATCCATATAAATACAACTCTGTTAAAAAGCAGATTAATATTTACTGATAGATGGGTTGCGTAATTTATTCACACAAACAATTTAGCGCAAAAACCTTTTTTTGCGCAAGATCACAATACAAATTAAGTTTGAGATAAACAGTAGGAATGAGTTTGAGTAGTAATTACCAGTCGCAGCATCGCCTCTAACGGGCACGACGTATCGGTCCGAGTCGTGCGACTTGTCGTCGTCGTCGTCGTCGCGCGCGGAGCCGGGCGACAGCGCGTCGGGCGCGGACCAGTTGTTGTCGGCCGACGCCGCGGACGCGGGCGACACGCCCGACCCCGCCGGCGAACGCCGCGACAACGCGCGCTCCGCCGCTTCCTCCGCTTCCTTCAACGCCGCCGCTCTGCAGATAACGAAACGAAATGTACTTTTTAATACTAGAATGATTAGTATTTTAACTCTATTTCAGATCTTTTTTTTATACTATTGAAGAAAAAATTTGAATACGTTATTTATCGCATTTCTGTCAGGTATTCGTTATTCTTTTCTAGCTGTTTTCCATAAACGACTCTAACAAATAGTAGTTACATTTAGAAAAGCTAACTAGCTAACTACAACTATGTCATTTCAATTACAAAAAAAGACGCGTTGAAGCTTATGACTTCGTTAAATCAGAGTTTGTGGGGCCTCTGCCTCGAGCAAAAGAAAGAACAGGGAGGCGTTTAGTTAGTAAGAGTCCGACGCTCGAGAGAAGTAATTTGATGATTTTCCTCTCACAAATAAATGAACTTAGTTGTGTGTTACTTACTTGTAGGAGGGTGTGGAAGGTTGGAAAACGGGGAATTCGATGGTCTGCAGAGTGGGGCAGACCCCGCACTCTTCGGCGGCCTCGGCGTAGAAGGTGCAGTTGGCGCGGCGCAGCGAGTACGGGTCCTCGCGGGACCACTTGCAGCGCCCGCAGTTACACGCTGATATGTAGCGCACGCCCGACGAGTGCTCCTTGCTACTGTCACTGATACACCAACCGGGGGCAACTTACTATGGTGGTACTACATAGGCTGCGCGTGCGCAGGTGATATACTACTTAGATATATTATAAACGTCAAAGTTTGTCAGCATATGTGGATGCTAATTGTGTAGAAATCTATTGTAACGATAATACATGCTGTGTAATACAGCTATAAATCAACTGAAAATTAATTTTGTAAGCGCTTTGGATGTCATATCTACAATAATAAAATTATAGCTTCCGAACGCGGCTTCGCCCGCGTAGTATGTTGATAAAAGGCAAGCTACGTGTTAATCCACTTATCTACAAACCAAGCAGAACCAAACACACAGAAACAAACCAGTCTAGCCGTTTTTGCGGAAAAAAATTACAAACATACATCTATACATTTATACATTCTCACAAACATTCACATTTATAATGTTAGTAGGATATGACATCCAAAACTTCTAAGATCCATCAATCTGCTTTTTAAGACAAAATAAATAAATAAACATTGGTAGACTCACTGCTCGGGCTCGATGCAGACGTGTCCGGTAAGAGAGAGTGCCTCGCACAGACTGCGCGTGCGCCAGATGGCGGCGCAGGCGGCGCTGAGACGCGCGCGGGCCCCGCGGGACAGCGGGCCCCGCGCCATGCTGTCTAACACGCCCAGCGCTACACTTACCTATACAATACCACTGTTAATACGGTAGTTATCAACATAAGTGAAAACGATACTTTCCTATCACAGACGACTCCACCGAAAGATCACGCGTAAACAGTACTTCACTATTAAAACAAAATCGCTAAAAGGTAGCGGGTTGCGGCGAGAGGTAGTCTAGTTTTCATTGGCTCGTTTAATGACACGTCAAAATTGACAATGTTGTTGTTTCGCTTTGATTCTCGGCGGCAGAGTGAGAAACAGAAAGGGGCGGGGCCGGCTCTTATGCAGTATCACTGCCTAACCTTGAGTTGAGTCGTCTGTGTTTTCTATGAAAATCCGAATTATAACGATTGTATTAATAGAACAAATAACTTACTTTTCTTAAAAAAAAATTGGGTATCGATGAAGAAAAGTATTGATAAATAAATTTATTGTTGACTTAGGAAACTAACCAATTATAAGAGGTTTCGGAAAATGACCTTTTACATCACATCATCAGCCTATAAATGCTAACACACGGAGGTTTGAGCAGCACCCTTGCTCAAGGCGGATTGGCAATATCAAACTTATAATTAGAAATTATATATCCCAGGTTTCCTCACGATGTTTTCCAATTAATAGTAATGTCTCTAAATAATCACAGAGATGACGTATAACTAAAAAAAAAACACATTGGTGTTTGGCGGGCTTCGAACCTGCACCATCATTCATGAAAAGCGGGCTTAACCTCTTACCACAACGACAACTTGCCTGAAATGACCTTGAATGAATAGAATCAAAATGTTTAGTTTAATAGATTGACAACCTTATGTGCATGATGTTGGCTGGAGTAATGTGCAGGTAATCCTTCCGCGTATGACGCCTGTGCTATAGGTAGCACCTGGAAATTAAAAAAGAAATGTTGGCTTATCTAAATAATATCGAGAAGATTTATACAAAGCACTCGGTTTTCAAGAAATGTATGGTGTGTGCATTCTAGGCTGAAAATTGATAGGTTTGATTCCCCAGCCACACAGAAAACCGGCGTGAAACAACATTAGTGTTATCTTTCGTCATGATTGAGATTAAAGTGTGGGAGAGCCAAGCTTCGGCATACCACGGCCTCACAGAAAACCGGCCGAAAGCAACTACAGCATTTTGTTTCGCCGTGTGAGTGAGGTTACTGGAGGTCTAATCCTCCCTATTCCCCAATCCCTAAATCCCCAAAACCGTAATACCCTAAAGCCCAACCGACTCGTGACTCATGCGACGTTGCTGGTGTCCATGGGCGGTGCTGATTGCTTCCATCAACAACCATCAGGTAATTAGATAGCTCGTTTGCCGTAGGTACTAGTAAATAAAAAAAAATTCAAAAATCACAATATTTACTGTAATGAACAACAGTATTAAGAGTTAATAGCGCCGTTTGCTGAAATTCAGGTCCTAACCTAGTTCGGCACAGCAGGGGTTGCGGGTTAAGCGCAATGAGTCACCGCGGCCTCGGCCCAGAGCAGGAGAGGGGAGTTTAAGTCTGACTATCTCTCTCGCCTTACCGGAAAAGCCATTTGATGATTTTCTCCTGACAAAAATAAACCTAGTTCGGCAGCGGATGCTATTGTTATCTGAACCATTGTTATCTACTAGCTAGTAATTAAGGCAAACTTAGTAATATTTTTTGGGAAATAAATTATTTTATTTATTTACCTTAGCACAGCGTGCCTGTGAGAATCGTACGTCAGTAGCGAGTGCGTCGTACAGCGCTGACGAGGCGGGCTCGTCCTGCGCGCGCGCAACCGGGGCCAGGTACACCCCGCACAGCGCCTGCGCAGCTTCACGCCACGCTGGCGCACTCGGCAACTGGAACACACAATGTTGTTTATCTTTTTGCTTTATGCGAAATGACTGTAATCATTTTGCTTGTCACTGCTTAGAACCTATAAAACAAATTTGCTATCTGGTCCTATATGAATCTTTAAGAGTTTAAAACCACGGTTAACTGTTTTTTAAAACATTCCGCTCTTTCCTCAATTTAATAGTGAAGAATTTAAGTATCAGTTTTTCACCCATATGAATCTGGGACGGGTTTCAAATACTACTCTGTCAAGAAAGTACCGGGAAAAAGTCAATAATACACAAAATGTTTGTTATTCATCTAAATTTATTTTATCACCTTCAAAGTATGCTCCTTCAGAAACGATACACTTACGCCAACGAATAATCCAATCATCGAAACTTTTTTTAAACGCTGTTTCCGGAATTGAGTTCAGTGCTCGCCGCGAATTCTCCTTTATGTCTTCTAACGATTGAAAACGGGTGCCACGAAGGGGTAATTTGAGTGTGGGAAAAAGAAAGAAGTCGGCTGGAGCCATATCTGGTGAATATGGTGGCTGCTCGATGGTGTTTGTTGAGTGTTTGGACAAAAAATCGTTTACAATGATGGCCTTGTGCGAAGGCGCATTATCGTGATGCAAAATCCAAGAATTTTCTTTCCACATTTCTGGCCTTTTTCGTTGAATTTGTTCTCTTAAACGCCGCATAACGCTCAAATAATATTCTTTATTTACCGTTTGACCTTCGGGCAAGAATTCTGAATGCACAACACCGCGATAGTCAAAGAAAACAGTCAACATGACTTTGACTTTTGATAGACTTTGACGTGGTTTTTTCGGTTTTGGTTCAGTTGGAAGGCGCCATTCCGAAGCTTGTTGACTAGTTTGCATGTCAAACTCGTAAACCCACGTCTCGTCACCAGTAACAATGCGTTTCATGAATGTTGGGTCGGTATTGACTCGTTCTAGCATGTCCTCAGCGACTTTCATGCGATTTAGTTTTTGAAGAAAATTCAGGTCTTTTGGGACTAGCCGAGCGGCAACACGTTTCATACCCAAATTATTTGTTAAAATGGTACGGATCGACTCGTGAGATACAGAAAGTTCGGCGGCCATCTCTCTCAAACTTGAATGAGAATTTTCAGTCACTATTTCCTTCACTTTTGCGATGTTAACTTCAGTTGCAGACGTTGATGGCCTACCAGAACGAGGCAAATCTTCCATCACATCTCGACCGCTTTTGAACGCTTTGTACCACTCATAAGCACGTGTTTTTGATAAAGTCGATTCACCGTAAGCCTTCTATAACATTTTGAGTGCTTCCGAATACGAAATTTCATCGGCGATGCAAAATTTAAGACAAACTCTTTGTTCGATGTTTTTGTCCATTATGAAATAAAACTAAAAACAGCACTGTTTTTAATATAAATAACAGGTGCAACTCAAATTCCGCGCCAAAATGGAAAACAGTTATGCCAATCTAACAACAACAAAAAAAATTAAAATTCGAATTTGGAACCATAAAAAAAACATTTATTCCCGATACTTTGTTGACTGAATGTATTATCTCAATTAATAAGTGAATAGTTTTAGTATTAGTATGGCACCCGTGTGGAGCTGGGACGGGTCGCTAATATTATCTAATTTTGAAAAAACAACATACCTCGAAGAAGGACGTACTCATAGCATATTTTCCGACGTTATCATCGAAACCGTCTCCAAAGGCCATGTCTATATGTGTCTGTAGGAACTGGCGGAAGGATCGGCGTGGTGTCGGAGTATCTGGCACTGAATTGCATCGCGCCACCAAACCACGGACTAATGCGCTCACGTCTCGAGCGCTGTGACTCTCTTCGTCACCGATAATGTATACAAACTCTTCGTTCTTTGGTATTGCGAACAGGGATTTGGCACTGAAAATATATAGTGGATGATTACTATTCGGTTGCTTCATTTGGTTAAGGAAATGCCTTGTACTTAATATAAAACCAATAAAATTATTTTTATTTCGAAAAAATTATGATGCCCCACACTAGGCTGTATCGTGGGTGCATTTACTAACATACAATTACACACACACATCACACAGAGACCTCGAACAACAATTTGTGGCTCACACAAAGAGTTGTTCCGTGCGGGAATCGAACCCGTTGCGTGGTAGCCAGTTGCGCAGCCTGGCTTGGCATTTAAGCGTTTGTTTCGGCATCATACATCGTAAAGCTTCACACATGGAATAAGTCAATAACAAACAAGTAAGAGCTCACCAAACATTTGTAATAATCCGCGCCTTCCTAAGTATAAAGTACAATTGATCCTCAACAGCATGTTCTAATCTCTTCAGTGCTGCCGGTACCTTCTTCAGAGGATTCGGGGCGCGACGGAAGTGGAACAGTAGGCGAGGGCAACAACATCGCCCATGTGACTTCCATGCACCCGTCGCTTTTATATTGAGTAGGGCTTCTGTACTGCGGCCAATTTGTTCTGTTCTGCAAGTAAGTTAGAAAAGTTTTTAAAAAGGTATAGACTATTTCTCTAACTTTGGGATCCTCGTAAGCTGTCTCATTGGATTTTGCTCTCATTGCCACCCTTTATTTATATCACTGCATTTAAAACATTCCATTCAAGAGAAAATATGTAATTGTATACCAATGTAGCTAAATTATAAAGTGACTAGGAATAGTGTAAATTTCATTTTGACTAAGTATAAATTTATTTTTATTCTAAATGTGCACATCTTATATCTATACTAATATTATAAAGACGTAAAATATGGAAGTTTGTATGTTTGTAAATTTGAGAATGATATCTATTAAAAATCTATGCACAAACATGGCACAAATGGTACTTTAAAAAATTTGGTACAGCATGTGAAAAAGAATAATGTTCATTTAAATCTTACCTGTAAGCATCAATAGCCTTAAACAGCTGCAGATATCCAAGGTCAAACACTGATGTTGGGGAAGATAACACAACTATATGACACAAGTGGAACAGCAGAGCTATAGCTTTGCAGGACTCCACAGCCAGCTCTCCTGAGGCCACCAACCAGTTTGCAGAATCAGCCTCCTGATCTGCACTTTCAGACTCTTCTTCATTCAGAGAAGCTGCAAGGGTTGTCAGTCTTTTCGTGTCAAGGTATGTCACAGCGTGTAGGTAGAGAATGGAGCGACGTTCATCCCAGTGACATTCTATTCCATTCTGGTGACAATGTTTTACAAAAATGTTATATGGTTAGCACGCAATTTTGTTGGTCAGTGTTTTAAGAGTATTTACTACCACTTCAATTACATAAACAGATTTTTTTATATTAATTGGTAAGTGGGTATTCTTAAATCTTTGAACAAACCAACTAGTTTTCTCATTCTCAATGCCTCTAAAATAAAGATTAAATTTGGAATGTCTTGGATATTATTAAAAATGTTTTTGGTTAATAAAACTTACCTCTGCAGTTTGTACGTTGGGTATAAGTGGGGTTGCTTTGTTTGGGTACCGATACGGCGATTTGCCAATAATGCCTACCACTACAATGCGCCGCTTCTTCGAGAACTCCGGGATATCGGTTATTGGAAATACGTTCATCGTGCTTGTTGTGCTAGTTTCATTACAATTCACAAGTTAAATGCAATATTTTCACAATGTTTACCAAATAACATACTCTGCAGCTGCACTACTCTGAGTGATGTTTTGACTTTGACATTTGACTCTTGTTTGACATTGACACTCGATATTATTTTACTTACATAGTTATTGCTTGAACACACCATTATTTATTATATTCCTTCCTAACATCCTTGCTCTTAGTCCTAGAAGTAGGAATTATACACCACTGTAAAATTGGATTTTAACTACAAAAACAATCAATAACATTCACACAATCGATTATTAAAGTGTATAACTAAACGTCACGATAAAATGTCCGGACTATAAGTCACAAATGTCATCGTCAGCTGTACTTGACAGACTATTGGACAGTTGGACACTTTCGAAAACGTAGTGGAACCGGAGTCTCAAGGTTGCGAAACGCTAACAATCTAATAGATTGGAGAAATGTAATAGTTATCAAGTGTAAATCTACTTAGGCGCACGCTTCCGCAAGTTTTGCGATAGTGCGCGAAGTCGGACTGTCCATTCCATCAAGATAATTGATCAGTTTCGTATAACTTGAAATTTTGATAAAAAATTGTGCGGTTTTAGTGAAATGTCTTCGATGGTGGACGATGTTTGCGATCTTTTGGACAGTTACAATGGGAGAGACAAGGTACGGTATGCGGAAACATGACGGCCTTGGTATTTACTTGGTACTTACACTGGTCATACTAGCACAAGATAGACAGACTCTTACAACTTTTATTAACTTCTCTCAATTTGTATAATTAGCGGTAAAGAGCTGACCTCTGACTCGAATTATCAGCCTAATTACATTGTAATTTTATGATCTTTTTATTTCATAATAAAGATATTTTTTATCTACATTCCATTTTAAAATTCGTGTCATTTATTGTTTTGTGAATGTGGTATTTAAAATATTTTTGGGTTATATTTGTATTTCTTACCAAACACATGAAAGGGGGCTTATTTTTTTCCAAATAAAAAAAACTGTTTAATTAATATAACAATATATTCAGGTATTAATAGTTTCCAATCTTCAATCTCACACTGGACTTACAAAATCATATATCCATTCAACATACAACAGTAGTTTATTACTTTTATACAAACTGCTCAAGCATGTTACTATTAAATATTCAAATGGCAAATAATATGTAAATAACATTATAAGGAAGCAAACATGAATTTAAATTTGAAGTTCATTAATAATTTAATTCTAATACTAGGAATTCAAAACTGACAAATCTTCTAATTCTAAAATTATTTCATACATTTTTAAATTAAAATTTTTCCAACATGCCATTTCATTCTCCTCCTTGTTGGAGAGTGATGCTTTCTTACTTATGGGTCGGTGTGACCGGAGTGATTTCATATCACTTGAGCCTCACAGAAAACTCATGTGAAACAACTTTTGTATTATTCACTGTGTGACTGTGTGAGTGCGGTTACTGGAGGCCAAGTCTTTTCCTTGTTTAATCCTGAATCAGCATTCCTCAAATCTCAATCTGCTATAGGTACTCAATTTAAAACATCATTCTGCAATCCTCAATCCTCTATTTGCAATGTTTAATCCTTTTACTTCAATCTTTAATCTTCATTATTGTATCTCTATTCCTTAATCAAGATAAGGATTATAATAACCTTAATCTGCAATGCACCTCTTCTGATCTTAATCTTCATTCCTCAATCTGTAATTAGCAATTGGCAACCCTTAATGAGAAGCTAAACATCAAGCTCAGTGGCATGCAATTGGGGAGGCCTATGCTCAGCCGTGTACTACATCAGGCTGATGATGATGATGAACCCTCAATTATCAATCCTGAACCTTCAATCTGCCATTCTTAATTTTCTGCATCTGCATTTTATCTTTCCCCTATCCCCTATCCCCTATTGCCTGTCCCCTATCCCCTATCCCCTATCCCCTATCCCCTATCCCCTATCCCCTATCCCATATACCTATCCCCTATCCCATATACATATCCTCTATCCTTTATCCTCTATCCCCTATCCCTTATCTCCAGTCCCCTATTCCCTATCCCCTATCCCCATCCCCTATCCCCTATCCATTATACACTATCCACTATCCTCTATACTATCTGTCCTTAATCCTCAATACTGTATCCTCAATTCCCCAACAACCTTAAGAGGGTGTCTTGGGCGTCCATGGCAGTGCTGGTTGTTAACCACCAGGTGATCTGCTGCTTGTTTCAAGGCTCATATCAATACAAAGCTCCCTCCTCGCTTCGGTTTCCTCAGTGCTGAGGGTCAATTAAAAGCTATACTAATCTAAATACTCATGAAATATCCATAACCAACTACCATTTTATTTTAAAACTACATGAAATGTTTTCTTAAGTTAAAATGTACTAATCCATAACTGGCTTTTCATTTAATTAATGTCGCATTATATTGTTTGTTTAGGTGGTCCGTCTAGCTTGTTATGCATGCAAACTATATGGATGTGTTCAAGACGAGAAGCCATGGCAGTCAGCTGGCTCTCGACTGTCCAACGCCAGGATGATGCTGCGACTCTTCGATGATATCCCCATGATCAGGCACACATACAACTATGGTTTAGGTAAACATGTAGGTATCAACCGTTTATTATTTCGCATATCCTATAAAATCAGAAATAAAAAATAAAATGATATTCAAACTGAAAAATTCTTATCTGCCCCATATTCAACCATAAACAAAAGACTTAGAAAAATGTAGATAATTCATAACATACTTCCTCCTCACAGGAAACTACAAGAGCAGCAGCTATACTAGGAGTTGTAGCCAATATGGTAGACCAGGCATTCTTACCCGTGGAGAAGGCGTGCTGGCTGTATGAAGTGGGGGTTCTCAAACTATCAGACAAAACTGCTTACAAACTGGAAACTTTCAGCACAATGCTGTGGGCTGCTAGTCTGCTTATATCACTAATACAGTAAGTATTCAATGCTAGTTAGGTTATCGTCATTCCTAAATTCACTGTACCTCCCAAAATTATCTTTTTCGGAAATCCTTTGGTTTTGCGGCAACTAGCGGCTCTAGTGTTAGGGTGATTCTTCACATCAATTAAAAAAAAAATTAATAATGTCATTATCCTCAGCCGAAAATTAACGAGTCTGCTGATTAAAACACAGATAATTATTTTATTAAATTAAATCTCACCACTGCTTACAAGCAACCGATTAAAAATTTTGTATAAAATAAATTACTAAGATGCTTAAAAACCTGGGAGGATAATGACTTGTTAAATAAAAGTTAAGGTTTTTTGGAGAATCACCCTTACCAACAGATTCGAAATTCGAATTTTTATTTGTTGAACTATGCCATAAAAAACAATTATCGAGTGGCCATGATGCTGGCATTTGCCCCTATAAGTCACTGACAATGAATCCAATTGTGACAATCGTATTCTCTCCGGAGGATAAGGTGTTTGAGGATTGGGGGATGGATCGGGGGTAAGGAAAGGAATCTCACTTGGCGAACACACAAGTCGTTTATCGCAGGTTATCTGTGAGGCCGTAGTATCATTTCTTAGGGTCTCTTACAATTCCTGATTTAATTTTTTTTTATATGTCACTCACAAACTTTGATTGTAAATTGTACATACAAAGGTATTACTATCTTTTACTAAAGATAGATACATTTATTGCAATCATTACACCCAATCGTATCACTCACACACATCGATAAAAGTGCACATTTTTCGAAATCAGAAATAGATAAGCAACAAGAATTGATATATAATAAATCGTCCGGATGCAATACCTTTAGTTTTCTTGTCTCTGTATAATCTCGGCTAGCGTTTCGATTTTTAAAAAGGAGATACTGTGTATGTTCAGTTTCTTTTTTTTTTTCGTGGGAGTGCTGTGCACTGCACTAATGAGCCGACTCGACGGAAGTGATTATACGCACCTTATAGAATACTGGCGTGATGCGACACTTACTAGGTCTCTTACCGTGTGGCCAAATTCTTACCCCATGCAATCTTAAATCCCTAATAACCCACAAAAGGTGGGCAACGCACTTGTAACTGCCCAGGTTCAACGAGTGTCCATGGGCGGTACCGATTGCTAACCATAAGGTGATGCGTCGGCTCGTTTGCTGGCCAATCCATAAAATAAAATCTTTTTTAAATGCAAATCGTCCTTCCTTTTTGCAATCGTATATACATTTTTAATTTGCTGATTTTTAGCACTCGGCTAAGAAAACAAATGAACAGAAATACCATTCAAATTATTTTTTTCTTTTTAGAACATCAAGCTCCATAAGAAGATTATGGTGGAGTCGGGATTGTTTACAAAAAGCGTCAGAAAATGGCGGTGCTGATGCCAAAAAGCACTTAGATGTTAGACTCATTCTAGAAAGCATAGTAGCAGGAAAATTATGCCTGGACATCACTCATGCTATCAGCTGTCTACCAGAAGGCTGGCTTTGGGGAGAAAAGATTGGATCAACGAAAGTGGCAGCCATAGCAACCACATCATCCGTCATAGGTATCGCCATGTACTTCGCGAAGAAACGGCTATTGAAATAATTATAGATTTTTACATCGAAATTGTGAATATACTCCCGGTTGCTGGTAACGTTTTTATTACGTCATTAATAAAGACGGTTTTCAGTGTTACCAATAAGAAGTTACAACATTTGGTACATGAAACTTGAATTATAATTATTTATGGTTGGCAGGTACAACCTAGTTGTGAATACTGTATATTATGCTTTTATATTAATTTTATTTAGTTTACAAAATACTGTTGTGAAGAAACCTAAATGTTTAGGTACAATGTGAGTTAACAAAAATATGTGCATAAAATACTAACAAATGTTCATGTAAATATTAAATATATAATTAAATGATTGAACTCTCAATTTATTCACGTCAGCTCATTGTATAAAGAATTCATTGATATTATTTATCGAAAATTCCCAAATTAAAGGCTTTATTATTATATGGCAACAATAAATAAGACTTGCCGATGTTTGCAACACTTGCCAATAAAAGTGGGTAAAACTTTAGTAAAATGTGATATCTAACGCAACAAGGTTGCGTGGGATATTAATAAAATGATTTAAAAAAATCCACAATTTGATTTTTATATCACAATATAAATACCTAAGTGCCAAAAATGTGGTATGAAATTATATATTTTATATTTGAAATACGCTTCTTGGGATTTTCACGCTAAATATGTTGAGAAACTTGAGCAGGAAAATAACAAGAGCATATCAGACGTTCTGGTCAGCATTCCGTCAAACGTTCCGACGGCAGTGGTTGCCAATGTGACTTTTCCGAGTTATATGTACCTACTTTCTATGATTATTTAGACACCACTGAGATAAGAAGAAGGAAAACATCGTGAGGAAACGTGGACTTAATATTTCTAACCATAAAGTTTGCTAATCCGCCTTGAACAAGCGTGGTGCTCAAACCTACTCCGTGGAGAACAGGCCTTAAAAACCTAAAAACCATAATCTTATCTGCCAGATCTGGCAGGTGCTAGAGGAAAAGACGTAGAAAAGTAAAGTCATGAAAATGTTAATTGTATTGTTGTAACAATGTTAAAACTTATTTGATTAGAATTGTTTATCTATAGCTTAACATCTAGCTATGAAACATAAGAATGGAGTAGGTAGACAATGTTTATTCAGTTGTAAATAGAATTACACACAGTTGCATTTTTCGAAAAATATTTTAGAATGAGAAACAGAGGAAGAAACAATTTTAAGTTCCCATACAAACATAAAATCGCTAAAGACAAATATATTAAAAAATATAATTCAAAAATGTACTTAATTAAGTAAACTATATCTGCACAAAATTATCACACTGCCTTTCTGCAGCTGTGTAAACTAGCATAGGTACCTATGTTTCTATAGTCTATACCTAATGTTAAATAAATATAAAAATATATAATATATTATACAACTTTGAAACTAGTATTCTGTTTTATTTGACAAATTATTTATGACCAATTCATTATCATATTTATCTCCTCATATAATGAAGTTTTCCAATCTAGTTTGTAGATAAGATGTGGTTAAAGAACTTGTGATAGCTAACCATTGAAGTAAATAAATTACAGAAAAAGTATGTTAATTTTTTATGTCAATATTTTGTGATAACTAGATCAATTAAAATGCGATTGATAACAATTGATATAACAGTTATGCTAAATGTAATAATCTTATATGATAATCTTATTTTCCAGCACTATTAACCCTTAGAAAATACTCTTCATTATGTCTGAAAGCCTGGTATTACTTACTTCAACTTAGTTATGTGCGAGTACTGCCTTATAGCAATTGAAAAAAGTTAATAGTAGAACTCTGATTATCGTAAGACCGAGGTCGATCCCGAAAATTATGATAATCGGACAATACATTTTAATTTATTGTATGAATATTTTGTAGATTACCTATAGGTAGGTATATAAAATTTGTTATAATGACAATATTAGTGGGTATCTTAACTTGGACTTTTTTTTCTATGGAATAGGAGGCAAGCGAGCAGACGGATCACCTGATGGTAAGCGATCAGCGCCGCCCATGGACATCCGCACCACCAGAGGAGGTGCGTTGCCGGCATTTTAAGAAGGAGTAGGTAGGTACGCTCGTTTCTTGAAGGTTTGAAGGTCGTATCGGTTCGGGAATACCGCCGCCGGAAGATCATTCCAAAGTTTTGCTTGGCGGGGCAGAAAGTTACGGGTGAATCGCACAGTTGTTGACTGCCAACCATCTATGTGATGGGGATGAAAAAGTTTTTGTGTGGGATGATGGCGAAAAGATGCGGTGGGGATCAAACCAAACAATTCCTCAGAACGCTCCCCGTGATAAACGCGATAGAGAATACATATCGAGGCTACATCCCTACGCAGTGCCAAAGAGTCAAAGAGAATACACAAAGAGTCCAGCCGGTACGAGATAACAGGGCAACATTAACTTAATAAAAAAACGAACTGTTATATACATAATAAAACTTTATTAAGTTTAACAAACACTGTGTAGCGACATCTAGCGCACTACATAAACAACAGCACCAATCACGAGCAAGATTCTACAGGGCAGTAGCCCACCAGGCACGAACACCTCGCCTGGTCGGAGGATCCTCCCTTTTCAATGGAGGATGAGGAACTTACCACCCTGTTCCTCATACCTCCAAACTGGTGACCCCGAGCATGAACATCAACGCAGCCTTCGTGCAACTACTTCATAGCCATGACGTCATCACTTCCTCGAGCTTTCAAGCAGCGAGTCTACTGTCAGCCAGCTTCCACGGCTACAACGGGTTCCCTGACCAACAGCATGCAGCCAACGCGCATCCCTGGTCAGCACCTACAGCCTCATCAGCAACTTCGGCACAGCATACTGCACCGGCCGGTCAGCAAGCAGAGACGTACTCCCTCTCCTGGTCGACGCAGCAGCTAGCCACTCTTCAGCACCTACAGCCTCATCAGAATCTTCGGCACAGCGTACTGCACCGGCCGGTCAGCTAGCAGAGACGTACTCCCTCTCCTGGTCGACGCAGCAGCTAGCCACTCTTCAGCACTGCACCACCCGACTCACTGGGGCATCTTCGCAGACAGATTCGACGCACTGAAACCATCAACTGGCTCGACAAGCATCTCACAGACGTCTCAACCAGATAACGACCTCCGGTCTCGGAGGGGAGTGATGTAGCGACATCTAGCGCACTACATAAACAACAGCACCAATCACGAGCAAGATTCTACAGGGCAGTAGCCCACCAGGCACGAACACCTCGCCTGGTTGGAGGATCCTCCCTTTTCAATGGAGGATGAGGGACTTTCCACCCTGTTCTTCATACCTCCAAAACTGTTTATATAATAAATAATAAAACTCATTACCTACCTATAGAAATAAAAGTGTAGATACACTCAACTACGCTCATCGAGATGTACCTACATCTCGATCAAAATTGGAAAGGATATATTGGATAAGGATATATTGGGATAGTCGGTGAATAATACTTAAGCGTCAAACTGTATACATTTCAGACTTTACTTGCACAAGGATCATAGTAGGTAGCTCACAGTACCTAGTTTCTGCCTTTTCTCGTAGGACAAAGGCATCCATTAATATTGTTTTAACAGAGGGAATAGATACCATTATTATAAAATTAATACCATTGTAATACATCATGTGTTTATTTTACTAATCATAGATAAGTCTAGTTCATAAAGGCCCAGTAATCATACACACAACCATACACTTCGTACCTGTTCTATTCAGTTAAGGTAGAGTAAATATCTGTTTTCATATCTAATTCACAAAGATTACAATGTCATGTGCAGATAGCCACGTTTGGCTATCGAATTGATTGCTTACATAACAGTAGTAGACGTTTTTTGGGAAAAACATTGAGGTTCATTACATCAGTGTTATCGTGGATTATCGGAGAGCTGTAGTTATTGAGGTGGTAATTAGAGTGTCATGGCTGTGAACGAACTGGCAGATCTGTTGCAGGCGCACGCCAACAGGGATAAGGTAAGTGAACTTTAAAACATATAATAATTTAATTTTACCTATAGGTAGGTATCTACCTGTTTACTAGTAAAGATAAGCATACTTAATTTATCAATATCACGTGTTTACTTTTTTATAATATTGGTAAATAAATTAATCTATGATTGCACTTAGGTTTGCAGTTTATGAATGACTTATATTTATTTATATATGTTGTCATATTTATTTTAAAGTAAGATATTTTTTTTTTTTTTTTTTGTTTATTTCATGTTTTATTAGTCTGTGTGATTCCATTGAATCAGTTATGGATAAGACTGGTACATTTTATTCCAGAATTTGTACCTTTAAGAAACAAAAAATAAGTGATTTTTAGAACCTATTGCGATTGCGAGATCCACTGCAAATATTCAAACTGCGAGCTATTATACGAGTGTGTTTGTTCTTCACATTACCACATCTTCACCCATCGACTTTGACACTTTTGGAACGTTTTTTTTTATTTATCGTTTTGTAAATCACTAGAAGTATCTTCATACAGTCATCAAATAGTTTACAGCGTATTTATTGGTAAATATCTATCTGTCAGTAGGTACATAAGTTCCTAGCTACATGCGTTGATAAATTTACTTACCGACCTACTTTTAAAGAACTTCCATATACAATTTGTAAACAAATAAAATAAAAATTGAATAAAATCGATCAATATCTTATGTATGAATAATGAGGATAGCAATGTTTAATTAGTACTAGTCATTGTTTATTTGTTCTACTCTCTAGGTAGTAAATCTAGCGTGCTACGCTCTCAAGCTATGGGGATCTACAGCCAAGCGCCAGGACCTGCTGTCGGCGAGCGCTCGCCTGGCTGCCGCTCGCGCCTGCCTGCGACTCTTCGACGACGCTTTAGCTCTCAAAACAGCACTCGCTTACGGATTAGGAAAGAAAGTAAGTCATTTATACCTACATAGACCATTAGCCTTTAAGTGCCCAGTGATGAGCAAAGGCCTCTTCTCTCACGGAGAAGGTTTGTCGATTTCAAATTTATAATTAAGTCTAAATAATCATAGAAAGCACATACTCGTAAGTAGGCAAAATTCACATACATGCCAGGTTTCGAACCAAACATCAAATTGAATTAATTCAATAATTCAACACCCTCATTCATGAAAAACGGACGCGAATGTCATTTTTTGAAAACTTTTAGATCACTCGAAGTTCTTTTAAAATTAAATAATTGTACTCGCCTGACATTAACTGCCAATCGAGTCTGTTGAAGCGTAATTTTTAAACCAAATTCGTTAGAAAAAAGAGTAGGTACCTAAAACTAATTAGGTACTCTTTGAACAGAAGCTGCGAGGAGTAACAAAATGTTTTTGCCCCTGTAAGGACCAAATCTCAAAAGATTTTGTTTTTCAGGACGGTTCATTTTGGGGTACCTTGGGCGTAGCGGGCAGTGCGTTTACCCTGGCTTACCTACAGGCTGAGAAGCTATCGTTCCTCATAGACACAGGCATGCTCCACGTGTCCAAAGACACGGAGTTCAAGATTCGGACGGCACACAAACTGTTCTGGTCTCTGTCGGCATTTGTCGGCTTCCTCAGGTTCGTTAGAGCAAGATTTAAAAAGTTGCAAAAGAACTTACTTGTTCTGTACCTAATTTGATACTATTTTTCTTATGGTTAAGGCACTAAGAACTATCTATTTTTGTATGACACATTTTATTACCCCATACCTATAGATAGTTGTTCTGCCGGAGAAGTAAAGCTAGGTGATTAAGTATAATTTGTCTCAGTGAGCCTTTACAATGACAGTAATTTTATACACTTCGAGCAGATCATGACAATTCAATAAAGAGTTTAGCTTCCACATTTTTGCTTTTATTGTTTACTACCTACGCTATGTATTTATTCATTGAAGGTTTAGGAGTGAGAGCAGGGTTTCTTCTTGTAATTAACTCGAGGCTGTCGTGGTTTGGAATGATTTATTCGGCACAATGTCTCTACTAATATTTACATGTCTTATGGCTATCTTACACGCTATCACACATAGGTATATGTCATCTACCAATAGCAGCGCGCGTTCGTCGCAAGGCTCGACAGAGCGGCTGCGCGCATGCGCCGTCGCGGTCGCCGTTCGTCGTGATGTCGCGAGCACAGCGCGAGGCTATAATAGGGCGCGTGCCGCGAGACGCGTCCTTTCGCTCCGGTGCCGCCGACGACGACAGACGTGTCCGTGCCGTGGACCGCAACTTCGTGCCTCCGTGTTCTTCGGGCTTCGCTTCTGCTTGCTTGCCTGCTTATTTGCTTGCTCATTATATTTCGTTTCTGAGCAGAAGTCAAAAACGTTTTAAAACGTCTTTTTCAAGACGAGTTTCTGTCAGCAGAAGTCTAAAACGTTACAAGCGTCTTTTTCAAGACGAGTTTCTGTCAGAAGTCTAAAACGTTTGCAACGCCTTTTTCAAGGCGGCCTGTTTCACTGTTTCTGATCACAGAAAGTCAAAAACGTTGGTATTGGTTTGTTGTTCACGGAGGTATGGTAAAGGTAATCTGGTTCTTCAAGGAGGTACGGTAAAGGTAATCTGGTAATAGGTATGAGGTGTGGTGGTTATGCCATAGAATGTAGGTAGGTATGTATGTATGCCGCTATATCACTCCCCCCTAAGCGAAGCGTACGTTTGGTTTCACTGTACGGCCGGTGCGGGTGACGTAGGCGTCGCGGGGTGGGGTGAAGGACACTGTCCGTGCGTCGTTACTTGTAGTTGTAGGTAGATAGATCGATGTTTGTTCGCGCGCAGATGCAGTAGGTACATAGTCTTGCTGTTGGCGCGAAGTCGTTGTAGGTATCTTGTCTTGTTGTTGGCGCGTAACTGATGTTGATATGGTGTCGTCTTCGTTGAGTAGATATGCTGGTTTGAGTCTGTCTATTGAAATAACTGCAGTACGTGGATACATTTGAATGGTGAAATGTTTGCTGTCGCGCCGAAGTACTTTGTAGGGGCCGTCGTAGGGAGGTACCAGTGGGCTGCGCACGGTGTCATTGCGCACGAAAACATGTGTACACGTAGCAAGGTCTTTGTGTACAAATGACCTTGTGGAGTTTGAGTGTGGCTTGCTGTTCGGCGATATTGTTGACATCGTTTCGGTCAGCTGACGGACAAATTCGGCGTCATCGATGTTCGGCTGAGTAGGCACGAAGAAATCAGATGGTACGCGGAGTGTTGAACCGTAGGTCATGAGTGCCGGGCTGACTTCGTTGTCTTGTCGTAATGCTGTACGTAGGCCGAGTAGCACAGTTGATAACTCGTCGCTCCAGTTTGTGCGCGCGCATCTCGCCATGAGTGCTGACTTTAGAGTACGGTGCCAGCGCTCGACTTGTCCGTTTGCTTGAGGGTGGAAAGCAGTAGTGCGTATTCTGTTTATTCCACATTTCTTCATCAGCGCCTTAAACAGTGACGACTCGAACTGTCTCCCTTGGTCGGTCGTAAGTCGTAGCGGGCAACCAAATCTCGATATCCAACCGTCGTAGATAGCCTTGGCGATCGTGTCCGCGGTGATGTCGCGTACGGGTATAGCTTCAGGCCATTTTGTGCAGCGGTCAATCATGGTGACTAGATATCGGTAGTCATTTGATGGCGGCAGTGGTCCCACGATGTCGACGTGAATATGTTCGAAACGCTGGGATTTTCCGAACTCGCCGAGCGGGCTGATAGTGTGCCGCTGTACTTTCGCTCGCTGACAACCGATGCATGTTCGTGCCCATGTTCCGACTTCTTTGTTCATGTTCGGCCAGAAGAACTTCGTAGATATTATTTTTCTAGTAGTACGGACGCCTGGGTGACTTAAGTCGTGTTGCGCTTTGAATGCGACAAAACGATATTTCGCGGGTAAATATGGACGAATGTTGCCTGTCGATGTTTCACAGATAAGCGGACGTTGACCTCCGGGTAGCGAAATACTGGTGAACTGTAGGTTTGGATGTGACATGTATCTCTGTAGTTCTGAGTCGTTTTCCTGGTCTTGAGCGAGTTGATTGTAGTCGATGGAAGTTTGAGATAGGTCGATCTCTTCTATGCGTGATAAGGCGTCGGCCGCTTCGTTGTTATCACCGTGTACGTACTTAATATTTGAACAAAACTGGCTAATGAAGTGAAGTTGTCGTTCTCTTCGTGATGTGTCGCTGGTACTCGGTGATCTTGTTAGTGCATAGGTGAGAGGTTTGTGGTCGGTATATATCGTAAGGTCGTTGCCTTCTATTAACCTACGAAGGTGTTTGACAGAAATGTACATCGCTAATAATTCGCGATCGTACACACTGTAACGTCGCTGAGTCTCGCTCATTGTTTTTGAGAAAAATGCTAGAGGTTTCCACACGTTGTCTACTTGTTGTTGCAGTACGGCGCCGATGCTTGAGTTTGAGGCGTCGGTATATAAGCGTAGCGGCGCGTTATGTATCGGGTGCGTGAGAGTAGTAGCGTCGAGGATGCTTTGTCGACATTTCTCGAAGGCTAGCTCTGCTTCTGGCGTCCACGTTATCGGAGTCTTGTCTTTCTTCTTGGTGTTATGTAGGTATTTATTTAATTCATGTTGGTATTCGGCTTGATGGGGTAAGCAGCTGCGGTAAAAGTTAATCATGCCGAGGAATCTTCTTAGGTCTTGAATAGTTTGTGGTTTTGGGTAGTTGACTATTGCTTGTATTCGGTCTTGAGTGGGTTTGATTCCTTCTGGTGAGACTTCGTACCCAAGAAATTCGATGTTTTGTTTGTCGAACTCGCACTTATCGATGTTGAGACTGACGCCGTAGGTATTTAAGCGCTCGAGTACCATTTCGATGTGGCGTCGATGTTCGTCTTGATTTCTCGAGTGCACAAGTAGATCGTCGACGAAACAAAACACTATGTCGTCGAGTCCTCGTAGTACTTCGTGCATAAATCTTTGGAAGGTTTGTCCTGAGTTTCTTAGGCCGAATGTCATGCAGTTGAATTCGAAGAGGCCAAACGGAGTATGATTGCTGTTTTCTGTGCGTCTTCTTTAGCGATGGGAATCCAGAAGTATGCCATCTTGAGGTCGAGTTTAGAGAATATTTTCTTACCGTGAAGTTGGTAGGTAAAATCTTGTATTCGAGGTATAGGGTAGCGATCAGGTACTGTAACAGCGTTTAGTCTTCTGTAGTCGCCGCAGACTCGAAGTGAACCGTCTTTCTTCTTGACGACGTGCAGTGGACTCGCCCAAGGACTGTTAGAGGGTCGGCAGATACCCATCTCGATCATGCGCTCGAATTCAAGTTTTGCTGCCTTGTATCTGTCGGGCGGTAGGGGTCGCGCTCGTGAGTATATAGGCGGTCCGGTTGTCTCGATATGGTGAGTGACGTCATGTTTCACAGGCGTCTTCAATGACATAGGTCGCAGAACATCGGGATATTTCTTCAGTAGGTCGTGGTAAGCGTGATCGCGGTTGACCATGTAGACGGTTTCTTGCTCGGTGCCGTTGATCTTGATCGCGTTAACACTAAGTTCTGTGATGCGGTCTATGAGTTTTCTTTGATGCAGGTCGACTAGTAGTTGGTGATGTACTAGGAAGTCTGCGCCCAGTATAGACGTGTTCACGTCGGCCACGACGAATGTCCACCTGAATCGTCTTCGTAGGCCTAGGTTGAGCTCGAGTGTGCGCTCTCCGTAGGTACGAATCTCGGTGCCGTTGGCCGCGAACAGTTTGTATGAGGTCTTCGCCGGCTTGATATGTTTTTTGTTTCTTGCTGATAGGACTGATATGTCTGCTCCCGTGTCTACAAGAAATTTTTCTCGAAGGTTGATGTCTATGATACAAAGTCGGCGGCTGGTTTGGTTTACATCGACGCCCGCCAACGTCGATGTACTTTCTAGTTTTCCCGCTTTTTTGAACACGGCGATTCGCATTTGCGTGCTTGGTCGCCGAATCGGTAATGGTAGCGACACACCCAATCTGGGTCGCCAGGCTTGATGTTATTATGCGCGTGCTGTCTGGATCTTGAATGGGAGCGTGATCGGTTGCGGTGTGAAAAGCGCGGGGAATGACGGTGGTTTTGCTGGTTGGTACGGAGTTCGGCGATTTCAAGGGACAGCTTTTCTATTTGTTTTGACAGTAAGGCGATGTGTAAGTTGTCTTGACACGCTGTTGTTGTGGAGACTGCGTTGATGGAAGCTGGCTCGAAGTGCTCCATCATTTTGTCAGCCATAGCGGCTAGCATCTCGAGTGATGACTCTGTGTTGACGGAGAGTACGGCGCGTATTTGAGCTGGTAGTTGATTCAGCCACATTACTTTAAGTGCCTCGTCGGACAGGAGTTTGCCGCTGAGGTCACGCATCTTGCGGAGTAGCTGGCTCGGTTTTTGGTCGCCGAGCTCGAGACCACTCAGCAGTTTCTGTAGCTGGCGATGGTCAGACTCTTGATACGTGGAGATCAGCCGTTCTTTCAGTGTGCTGTACTTGCCGGTTGCTGGGGGGCTTAAGATGATGTCGGCGATCTGTTCAAGGTCGTTGTTGCCGAGCAATGGTACGACGAGGTTGAATTTCTGCTCTTCTCCTATTTTGCTGGCGGCGACAGCTGCCTCGAATTGCGCAAACCATAGGCGCGGATTTTGGCGCCAAAATGGTGGCAATCTTGCGGGCAGGGATATTGTCGCCACGTCGGTCTTCACTGTCGTCACGCTGTGGGCGTCGCTGAATTCTTCGCTGTTTGCCATGATTCTTCTGACTTGCAGGGATTTGCCGTCTTGATATTATTGTGTGTTCTTTTTCTTCAGGAGGGTCACCAATTTTGGAGTGAGAGCAGGGTTTCTTCTTGTAATTAACTCGAGGCTGTCGTGGTTTGGAATGATTTATTCGGCACAATGTCTCTACTAATATTTACATGTCTTATGGCTATCTTACACGCTATCACACATAGGTATATGTCATCTACCAATAGCAGCGCGCGTTCGTCGCAAGGCTCGACAGAGCGGCTGCGCGCATGCGCCGTCGCGGTCGCCGTTCGTCGTGATGTCGCGAGCACAGCGCGAGGCTATAATAGGGCGCGTGCCGCGAGACGCGTCCTTTCGCTCCGGTGCCGCCGACGACGACAGACGTGTCCGTGCCGTGGACCGCAACTTCGTGCCTCCGTGTTCTTCGGGCTTCGCTTCTGCTTGCTTGCCTGCTTATTTGCTTGCTCATTATATTTCGTTTCTGAGCAGAAGTCAAAAACGTTTTAAAACGTCTTTTTCAAGACGAGTTTCTGTCAGCAGAAGTCTAAAACGTTACAAGCGTCTTTTTCAAGACGAGTTTCTGTCAGAAGTCTAAAACGTTTGCAACGCCTTTTTCAAGGCGGCCTGTTTCACTGTTTCTGATCACAGAAAGTCAAAAACGTTGGTATTGGTTTGTTGTTCACGGAGGTATGGTAAAGGTAATCTGGTTCTTCAAGGAGGTACGGTAAAGGTAATCTGGTAATAGGTATGAGGTGTGGTGGTTATGCCATAGAATGTAGGTAGGTATGTATGTATGCCGCTATAAAGGCATTCAGAAACGTTATAGACATTCCGGATTTCTATTTATGTTATTCAGTAGCGCTATGTACTTATCTAACATTCAATTGTTTCTTTTCTATTAAACACTTCAAAACTGTTATTATTAAATATCTAGACACCCAATTATAGGAGTAGGTAATTAACATAAAATCAATATTACTCTATTTAAAATCCTGCCATTTTATCCAAAAACCTTCAGTAGAGTTTTAATTTCAAAACTTATTTAAATTTGTAAACCAAAAAAACGTTAGTACACCAAAACAGTCTAAAAAAGAACGAAATTAAATTTAAAACATTTACACATCCCAGGTCAATCCGTGCTCTCAACGCGTCTTCAGAAGCTTTAAGATCACCGGACCGAACGAAATGTGCACCTGCGAGGTTCACGCAAGCTTCCCTGACCACGACGAAGTTCCTCCTGGACACCATACATGCTGTGAGCTGGTTGCCACCTGGCTGGTTATGGGGAAGCAAGCTCAGCGTGCCGCAAGCCAGCGGCATTGCCACCGCGTCCGCCATTCTAGGACTGGTCATACATTACCATGGAAAAAGGTTCTAAAAGAAGACTATTATTTAGGTAGGATGCAATTTAAGCTGTCAAATATTACCTGTAATTGATTTTCGACTCTATGAATTTCCAAAAAGGTTAATTATTAAGAAAGAAAGTTGAGGATAGCTTGATATAGGTACTGTGAATTACGAAAGAGATAAAGTCGAATTTTCATTAAGTCTAGTGTAAATAAAATAATTGTTTAGATAAGTGAAATACTGCTCAAAGAATGTTTAATTTATTTTATTCTAAATAATAAAAAAGTATACGAAAGTTTTGTGTAACAAATTGCTTAGTTTGTGCAAGATGGCCGCCTACTGAATTTATTTTTACTGTAAAGCGTTCTTATAATTAGACGTTGTGTATCGCCGTCTGAGTGAGGTTACCGTAGGCCCAATCCATCTGCTCCTGCTCCAATCCCTAAATCTCCAAAACTCTTGTGGTGTTGCGGGTGTACATTCGGAGGCGCCGATTGCTTACCATCAGGGAATTAGTCTGCTCCATAGAGGATATAACCATATCGGCATTGGTCCGCGCATTTACCGGCTTATCACATAAAAATGCATAACCTTGCAATTATTACCACATTTCGCAATAGTCCTGCATCAACCGGGGATTATCCTTGGGTGCACTTTTATAGTGCATACAGGGATAATTGCCGGCTGATGTCCCATCACATTTAGATTAAAATTGTTCAACGGGCCTCTGCGAGTTGGCTTCGGCTCCTCGTATGCCTTCCAAAGGTCCGGGACCCTGTGGTCCCGTGAAAGGAAAGAACAAACATAAATGTGAAAATTACCTACCATTTATCTTTTTCAAAAGTCTTGTTAAGAATCCAGTCACAAGTCACATATTATAATTCCAAGATTGGAACAGATGTTCCAACAAATAGTACTTAAGAATGTACTTGTGAACACGTGTAATAGTCAACGTTATCAATAAATGAAGGATAACATCTGTCACGAGTGGACATTGATCTTTATACTATTGATATCACGATATAAATGATAATCAGTAAAATTTGCTGAATTATTTCTGAAAATAGTGTTAAGTAAAATATTTAAAGAACTGAAAAGTTATTTATTTTATTAAGTTTTCATTTTGACCTTTCAATCTTGGTAACTCGAGAAACAATAGAAGGACAATAACTGCATGAACGCCGGCGTTCGCTTGGGATTTGATGAATTAATTCAAAAATCAATTTGAATAGATTTTAGCTATGATCAATTAATAAAATCGGATAGAGTTGGTTTTTTATTTATAAAAATATATGAATTATAACGAAAATGGTGCTGTTCAAGCTCCTAAGCTAGGCTTGAGAATTAAAATTAGGTACCTTCTTTTGTAACAACCGACCTGTTTTACAACAATATAATTATATATGTAATTTATTATTTATTACATACGATTTTAGCACTTAATCTATTTAGTATTGTAATAAAACACCTAATTTATTTGAAAATTATATTTATTTTAAGCTAACGTATATATGGTTTCATTTGAAAACATAGTTTTTGAGCAATGAATCCGCCACAAGCTTTATTATGAAAAATATTGCGTTTTTAAATTGATTTTACGATATATATTTACTAACTTGACCAGGATTAATTTTACAATGAGGTATTGTCGAAATATTAAAATGACGAAACCATATAAGTTTATTTTTTTATGTTTATTTTTTATATGTAATAGGTCGGCAAACGAGCAGACGGATTACCTGATGGTAAGCAATCAGCGCCGCCCAGGGACACTCGCAACGGAGGAGCTACGAGTGCGTTGCCGACCTTTAAGAGATTAGGGATTTGGAGATTTAGGGATTGAGGAGGGAATGGGGAAGGGGAAGTATTGGGCCTCCGGTAACCTCACTCACACGGCGAAACACAACGCAGTGGTTATTTCACGCCGGTTTTCTGTGAGGCCGTGGTATCACTCCGGTCGAGCCGACCCATTCGTGCCGAAGCATGGCTCTCCCACACTTAAATATATTTAAATATTCAACAAGAATGATTAAATCTGTCATGAACAACAACTGCATATCATATAGGATAAGTCGTAGCCGTATGGGAGAAATGACCAACATGAAAAAAACAATTGTTGAAAGCGATACTACAAGTATTTTCTTAATGAAAGCCGAAACAGAAGACACTCATAAAAACTATGGAGAACATTCTTAAAAGTACACACAAGGGTGGCCACAGAATGAATATACTCCCAGAAAATGTGATAAAAGCGTTGACAATTAATTATTTTAAAAATATTTATTAAATCTCCAAAACGTACGTATACATACGCATCACCTTTCAAAACAGCTAGTGCTTTTAAATATAATCATTATAATAATGCCTTATTGCTTCGCGACTATAGACGCGAGTATTTATTTAGTCCGTTAGTTCAGACAATGTCAAAAGTGTAGAGAGACAATGACAAAATATTAAACATCATTTTTTGATATTTGCTTTTTTTGTTTGACGTTCAGAAGCGCATTAATTTGGTGGTCTATTTGAATTAAATGATTTGATTTTCCCTTTTTTATTTTATCCTAATATGAAAACAATACTCACTAAACAATAAAAAGAATACTTTTGAAAAATCATAATATATGGTACATATGTCTATTCTGCCAGTCTGTTCATCGGTGAAGCTCGTTCCAAAATGCAGATTTGAATGAAGAAGAACGAGAAAGAAACCTTCACGAACAACTCTTTCAAGAGCACAAAACTCCTTTCTAAAACTAGCTACTAGCTCTAGAATAATCGTAAAATGTTTATAATGTTCTAATTTTTTCGTGTGTTCACCATCTCTTCCATACGGCCAACCCATTTTAATTACCTGAGATAGATATTTATTAAAATAATATACTAAACCTAAATTCATACGGGTAACGATAAAAAATCAATTACAATATTATAAAATTTATTATTTATTATTAATATAAAAAAAACATTTGGTGGCTCATCAATATTTTTGTCATTACATTTGACTAGTACACATGCAAGAAACAATCAACAAGCAATATAACATATACATTTTTGAAACAGTTTTATAAACAATGAAAACAATAAGGATTGAATGTAAAAATCAAATAGGTACATACTTTTACGTTAATACATTAATTAAGGAATGGATACTCACTACTAACTATTATTTTAAAAAACGAACACAAGTCTTTCTAACAAATTAAAATCTAATAAAATTCTAAAATTATTTTTATCAGTCATATGCTATGATGCGTTTCATTTCATTTCTATTCATCTAACGACACCATAGAGGTTTTCACTTTTTAACACATTCAGTCACAAAAATGATAAACATTGCAATATACCTAACTATTATAATACCAATTTCGAACTAGATCGACTTAGGAGTATTATTTAAAATATTCTAAAGGTGTACCTGTTAATCTTAAGCGATGCGCATTGAGCTACGACTGTGCGCAATTTAGCGCAAGTTCACGAGACTTGCGCAACATTTATTATATAAAAAAATTATATCCTAAATTTTGGCAAGGCTTAGCAAAATTATACTATAAATTACATACAGTTTTATGGTAAGAATTCGATGTAATAAAAATCGGATTAATTTACATATAAAACATTTTAGGAAATAAGCATTTTTCGTAATACTTATTACAACCCCTTACAACTATTTTTTTTTCTTTACTTGCACTTACTTGGAAGAAAAACAATTGAACTATCGCATTAGAATTTAGCGCTTAAGTCGAATTCATACGGTACAAATTCCTAAGACAAATTCATTAATACGATTTTAGTAATTTGATTGGCTGGCTCTATTCAGGCGCTATTTACCGTTTACATTCATAGTGGAACCGTATATACGCAACAAGATCGCGGTGTAATCTTTTAAAATCATTTCTTATAACAATCGATATGTTTTATCAAAACTTCAAAGTTTATTTTTAATACATAACAAACAGACTTGTTGCGCAAACTACTTCGTTCCATATTTAAACGACATTATATTATACACCTTATTTCAAGTGCCATAAAGAGCAAACTCAACTGCCCAGCATACACGACGGCTCATAAATTTTTATTTTTAATATGTACACTACTTATAAAAAAAACAGTCTTTTTAAACACTTACTATATTTTCTTTGGCCGCCAATTCCATTTCGTGTTGAAAGTACTTTTCATACTTGGGCCACAGTCTGATGGCGAGTCTTACTAACTTGGTTAGTTGAGGGGTGGACGCCCATGTGATGACGTCACTGTTGGCGCCCAACGTGGTACTGCAGGCGGTTTCAAAGTTGCGACGGGTATTTTCGTCTGGGGTCAGCACGCATAGAGCGTAGCGACAAAGTACGCGGTGGCTGAAATAGAAAGAAATTCTAAGTTCACTGTCGAACAATTCGATGTTTTATAGATGTTAAATGTCAATGTCAAATATTCAGCGAGTGCTATATCTCGCCAAGCTTCCCACATGGTAAGCCAATGATATCTTCTGAGGAGTCAATGGACGTCTACCGGCTAACAATGATAATTATTGTAATATGCACTTTTAATCTAAGATATTTTAGAAATGTGTTTACAAGCATTAGAAATTAACATCTAGCCTATTTTATTTAAATTTATTGTTTGCTATTTCGGGTTCTTATTTCCGAACGGCCAAAATATTATTAACATAATCGATTCTTTCAATAACAGCATGAATTCTGATCCTAATTGCTGACTCCATCCAAAGTTTGTCTGTAAGAAATCGCATTTAGCGATAAGTTTCATTGTACATTGTATCCCAAGCATTCCTGTATATTTTTATGTTGTAAAATAAAGAGAAAATAAGCTAATTAAAGTAATTAATGTCGACACAAAGTTAGAATCATTGAGGTAGTAAATATAATACTCACAGTGCAGTAGGTTTATCAGTATCAGCATGCATAGTGACGACCCTGAGTATAGACCGGCGCGGCGCCTCGGCCCAGCGCGCTAGGAGGGAGCGTGCGCACGCGCAGCTTTCGCGCTCCTCGTCGCTCTGCTGCGGGAGCGAGACAGCTATACGGCACGCGTAGCATATCCACACTGCTATTATTGGTTCGTTGTCTACGCTGTTTAAAAAAAAACAGTTTTTAATTAAAGTATGGGTGCGTCTTGTGATCACTCAAACACATGTTTAAATTACACCCACTGGGTGAATGCCAAGCTCCAGGGGCGCTAGTGTTCTAGACTAGGTCGATTTCAATAAAATACTTGATTGTTAAGATTTTAATAGGCTTTGGTATAATTTTAAGCGCGTGTTACGAACGGCGGCGGCGGGCACGGTCCGAACCAATATGGCCGGCGACCCACTGTTGACGTCACATAAAGCGGTGTAACTGCTCCGGCGATAAATCGATTGTTGTGAACACCTATATCCAAAAAAATACTATATGGATGTAGATTCCAAAATACAAAAACATCATCAGCCTGAATTCGTCCTCTGCTGGACATAGGCCTCTCCAGTTGCACGCCACTAAGCTCAATGTTCATTCGATTGGTCTCATCCAAATATTATCCTACAAAAAAACACCAATCAAAATCTATAAACTTACAAGTGTATGTCGGCGGTGAGTAATGCAGTAAGCAAGGCGTGCAGTGCGCGCGGCGCGTGCGCATGTGTGAGTGCGCATGCGTACGCGGCGTGCAGGCGCGCGCGCTGCGCCAGCGCCGCCCCCTCGCGCCATGGGGACGACTGCCAGCGGGACCGTATCTCATCCCAGCCTTCTGGCTCTGAGGATGATTCAATTACACCACACTATTATTACCGTAAAACGGGGTGAATAGAATACGGTAGTTTCCAACTAGTCAAATTCAATACTTTTATCCAAACGTCAAAAACTACACTTTTCTATGAAATTTGTATGAAAAACTGAGTTATGACGTCATAAAATGTTTGCGTCAAATAGCTTACTTATTCCTAATAATTAGTGTATCTATCGATCGATGAATAAAAATATAGTTATTTTTACCGACTTCTTCAATATTTTATTATATTGAAACGTCGAATTAATTTATTTTTGACCTACGAAACTACCCAATTTGAGATGTGAATAGATATTGGCGAATTTTCCTAGTATCTATTCACACCTCTTCTGTGTATGTTCACCCCTCGAATTCTAGTAACCCAGATTCACCGTTACCCTTTTTGAACTCCTCTCAAGAGGGGGGAGGGATCATCAAATGACCCTGGGTGGGATGAGAGGGAGTATCAGACTCTTACAGACTAAAATCCGCGCGGTTTCTTTTCCTGCTCCGAGCTGAGCTGTGGTACGTTATTACGCATACGGCCATAAACGGTTCTCTATGGTGTGAGAAGGGCAACCCTCTTATTTTAATGTATAACAGGAAATTACTTATGTCAATTTAACCCTTTTATATTACTATTTCTTGAGTTCCACTAAAAAAAATAATTACTACACAAAAGAGTTCTTAACCAATGATGGCAAAATAAAACTTTAATACTAATAATAAATATGTTTTTAACACAGTTCCTCATGCAGTGGCTTCGAATCCCACGGCAATTAGGCACGTAATGACACCTATTATTAAACTGTGACTTTTTTATAACTCACATACAGAGAAATATAATGTATTTTTTAAAATGATTGCTTGAGTTACGCTTACACTTGCACTTAAATGCTATCCGTGAAAAGCCCAAGAAAAGAAACATCATTTTTAGTGTATGGCCGATACGCGCGCATAGGACTGTTAATTTTTCCCGCCATTACGAAATATTTTTAACAACTCGTCTCGCTTTCTCTTTCGAAGTTTTTTATTTAGGAATTATTATTATTGAGAAGTGTCTTGAATTGTGTTGTGTGTATTGATGTTTACCGTTCTCGGCTTGTAAAGACTGCGATCATACGACATATCTCACCAGTACAGAGTAACATGGCCCGTACGGCGGCGTCGGCGAGCACGGCGAAGTATTCGAAGGCAGTCAGCGTCGCCGTCGCCGATATACTCGCGCGGACACTGCGGGGGGACGCCGTGCCCAGCCACGATACCCACACCTAGAGAAACCCAACTATAAATTAGACTACCATATGTAGGTGCTAGGATCAATCTTAAATACTAAACAGTGTGGGAGAGACAAACTTCGGCACGTTTTTTTTTATGTAATAGGTCGACAAACGAGCTGACGGATTACCTGATGGTAAGCAATCAGCGCCGCCCATGGACACTCGCAAAGGAAGAGTTACGAGTGCGTTGCCGAACTTTTAGGGATTAGGGATTTGGAGATTTATGGATTGAGGAGGGATTGGGGGAGGGGAAGGATTGGGCCTCCGGTAACCTCACTCACACGGCGAAACACAACGCTGTGGTTATTTCACGCCGGTTTTCTGTGAGGCCGTAGTATCACTCCGGTCGAGCCGACCCATTCGTGCCGAAGCATGGCTCTCCCACACTCCCACACGAATCGGCTTCCCTAATTCTAAAATCTCCAAATTCCTAATCCCTTAAGTTTGGCAACACACTCGGAACCTCTCCGTTGTTGCGGCTATCCATAGACGGCACTTATTGCTTAACATTAGGTAAGAGGCCCGCTCATTTCCCGTCCTATCACATAAAAAAACTAATGTGTCGGCTCGACCGGAGTTATACCACGGCCTTATAGAAAACCCTCATGAAACAACCACAGCGTTGTGCGTCACCGTGTGAGTGAGGTTATTCTTCTCCGTGTGAGAAAAAGCCTTTGCTCAGTAGCGGGCACTTATAGGCTGATGATGATGCATTTTTTTTTTTGGAACCTTGTAGTCGACTGCTTCTGTAGGTACTAAATCAATCATTTGTTCCATACCATACCAATCTACCTATGATAATAACTAAGCAGATTATTCGTAGTATATGCTTTATAATGTTTACAATACTATAGTTAAATGATTTACCGGTAATGCAGAAGTAGCGGCGGGCTCTATGCACATGATGACGACGGCACGAGACATCAAATCCTCCAGTTCACCGTCCGACTCTTCTAAATGTGGCGCTGGAATCGAAAGATATTTTACTTGTATTTTATACTAGCTACTCTCGCGCGGTTTCACCCGCTGCTCGGCTCTATTTAATCGAAGCGTGATGTTTTATAGCCTATAGCACTCAGGAATATTGTAGCTATCTATCAGTGAAAGAATTTTGGCAATCCGATCAGCGGTTCCAATGATTACCCCCTACATACAAAGTTACAAACATACAAAGTTACAAACATACAAAGTTACAAACATACAAAGTTACAAACATACAAACATACAAAGTTACAAACATACAAAGTTACAAACATACAAAGTTACAAACATACAAACTTACAAACATACAAAGTAACAAACATACAAACTTACAAACATACAAAGTTACAAACATACAAACTTACGAACATACAAAGTTACAAACATACAAACTTACAAACATACAAAGTTACAAACATACAAAGTTACAAACATACAAAGTTACAAACATACAAACTTACAAACATACAAACTTACAAACATACAAACTTACAAACATACAAACTTACAAACATACAAACTTACAAACATACAAACTTACAAACATACAAACTCTTTATAATATTAGTATAGACTAGCTTCCGCCCGTGGCAATGTGTTAATCCAATTGTCAACCTATCTACATACCAAATTTCAAACCAAATCGACCCATTCGTTTTTGCGTGAAATATAACAAACATACATCCATACATTCTCACAAACTTTCACATTCATAATATTTGTAGGATATAAGAGCCGAGTTGAAGCGAGTGTGTAAGCTTCTTGTGTGAACAATATCTTAGAGATCAGTTGTGGAACTTGTTTTAAAATTTGGATATAAACATTACATAACGAACTCTTTTCCATAAAGCAAGGACCTAAAAAAGTTAGAAGTGCATTGCTGGGTAGCTCGATTAAAGATATGTACCAAATGATCCCAGGTAAAATTTCGTCGGAACCCCTAGAGATTAGTACCGGTAGCATATTAATGTTTGTATTTACAACGTACCTAACATCTCAATGATGCACAGTAGTTGCGCAGATTGCGCAGTGACATGCGCAGCTAGCGTAGGTGCGCAAGCGGCGCGCACCCACTGCGACACGCCGCGAGCTCGCTTCTGTCGGGAGAGGGTGTCTACTGCCGCGGGCTGCAGGGGGGATAGCTCGCAGGATACCAGGATCAATCTAATATAAGTATAATTATAATTATGTATGTTAACTTTAAGGTATAACCATGTATGGACATTGTTCCATAATCAAAAAACTATTTTTCTTATTGGAGCTTTTCTTCTACCAAGAAAATAGAATCATTACTTGGAAGTCTATTCTGAACGACGGGTCAAGAGCAATATTTATTAAGTGTACAAAATTAATAACATACATTGTAAGGGGCGCTCCAAGTTGGATATTTTCTTTAGTTTGTTAAATAACACAATTAAGAAAATATTTAACGCTGTTTATAGAAAATAATTCGAACATTTACACAATATGAAACGCAAAGGTCACAAACAAAACATAATAATAAAAGAGATTACTTACTTGAATTGAGGCAGGTCGTGGTAGGGAAGCGCAGGGTTATGATGTACCATGAAGAAGCGGTCCAACGCCTCGTCGAGGGCCGGCTCCGGGAGCCGACTCCAAGGTAACTTGCACGCTTCTTCTAAAATCTGACGATACAAATTCATAGTAAAAAAGCAAGAGGAAGTAAGATTCAGAAAAACCAATTTTCATAATAAATTATACATAGTTATGTAGACATCTGTGATCAAACCGATTCATAGAATCGACGTGTCTACAAAGCATGACCATATCAGCTTCATCTGAAATATTAATTCTAGTATAATATATAATTTTTGTGAAGAGATAATCATCAAATGACTTCTCCCGTCCTCGGTGGGGCGAAGGGAGTAACGCTCTTATTGACTAAACCCCCCATCCGTTCCTTCTCCTGCTTAAGGCCGAGGCCGCGGTGACTTGTTTCAAACATCAGCCCTATAGGGCCTCATCTGTGGTGGTCTTAGCGTCTATTGGCTAAAATATGAATCCCTGAGCGGACAACGTTGTCCACGCATGACGTCAGAGCTTCTTTACTTCGCCATCGGTATACCCTATATGGGAAAGGGAATCCTCTCTTACACAAATTTATTTTTGAATGGGCAATATGTTGATGTAATTAGTTACCTGTGGCGGGTGTGGCAGTACCGTCCCCGTGAAGAGGTACAGTAGTTGCGCTAGATGGGGCGCCAGTAGCGCGGGCTCGCAGCCGCGCAGCAGCGTGTCTGCGCGCGCGCCGCCCCATGTACTGCAGCACCACGACGTCAGTTCCCGCTCTGTACTTCTTGATATCTGGGTACAATTTATATAAAAAAGGTATATGCTATGGTGAACAATACTACGTCGTTTTTTGATATTTACTATTATTTTCAGTATTAATATGGAAAATAGTACCTACAGTCCATAATGTAATAGCAAAGGACTAATCTAATTTACTTTTTATACCCGAATTTATTATATACTAAAAAGTACAAGTAAGCTGTTTAATATCAGATGTGGATAAATTCAATGAGATTTACAATTGACATTCCCGCCCTGCGAGAGGAAGTGTCAGATGTTACTGACTAAAAAACCCACACCGTTTCTTCTCCTGCTCCGAGCCAGGGCCGCGGTATCTTATGGCAACTTTATTCGCAACCCTATCTGTATTGTTTCAAAGAACCAAAAAGGCCGATGTTCAAACATGGTTGCGAGTGCAAGCGCAACATTGTACCTCGTCCTAAGCTCGGAGCAAAAGGAGGATCGAGGTAGATTTCGTCAGTAGGAGTCCGGTACTCTCTCTCTCGCTTCAAACTTAGAAACAATTATTACACGATAGACGACGACGAAACGTAAGGTTTATTGTAGAAGTTTATTTTTTGCTGAATAAATATTATTATTATTATTTAAAAAAACTGGCTGAGAGAATCCTATAAAGAGAGAGAGAAGTATTTTTCCTGTTTGCCTTATTTTGCTGTGTATGCCCTACAGGGTCCATAATTAATCTCACACAAATTGTTACCAACTTTAAATGTACTTATGATTTCCTCATAAAAAAACCTGTAAAGCTTGCTGCAGACATTTCCCATAGAACCACTGGTGCTCCATCCAGGGTAGCTTGGCCATCTCGGCGAGTAGGGCGGAGGCCTGCACGCGACTTTCCTGCGAGACAGGCCCCGGGGCGCCCGAGGAGCCCTGTACCGCCACGTAAGACTGCACGCACCACTCGAATATTTGCTGCAGAAGGTGGATCTCCGTGCCTGGACAAAAGTTAATTAGGTACTAATAATGAGCTATACTGACTGATGAAACTGAAAAACTAATTTAAAGTATTTATTATAGTTTTCTTTTTAATTAAGTTATTTTGTTCAACCTTCTTTTTAATAGGATAGATAGAAACCAAGCAGATGAATTAAGTACTTTTATGTTGATTGAAAGCCATTACTTTTGTTCAAGGTCATCCGCAATGGAGCAGTTACAAGTCAAGTACATGGAGCTTATGAATTTGCGAATTGAGGGTTGGAGATTGGTATATTGGGATATATGGAGCATTTGCTGACCAAGCGGGACTTGAATTCTTACGAATATAATTGCCACAGAATAGATGAGAGAGAGACATAGAGAGAGAGAGAGAGAAAAGAGAAGAGAAGAGAAGACATAATATTACATCACTGACCAGGACAGTCCAGCATGATCTGATGCACACAGTCCACGAAGTGTCTCAGCATGGGCGTGTAGGCCTCCAGGTCCGATGTCGAGGGCAGCAGGGGCGGAGCGCCCTGGTGTGGGGTTACCCACGCCCCCCACGACTCTTGCAGCGCCGACCATGCGTACCACGCCACTGTGCGTAAAACATCACCATTTTAATCAGGCTACAAAAAGAGGCGTTCTTACATCGAGTTTCCTGTTTCTTTTGTTGAAAAATACATACAGGGACATACATATTGAGGACATATATATACACATACATATTGAGAAGCAGAAAAATATGATTTATACATACATAACTATATAGGGGAGCAAATTTTTTTTAATGTATATTTCTAATTAATAAAAGTGATAATGCAATTAAGGTGTTCCAAAGTTTAATTTGACTTTTTTCATAGATCAGAAAGTTTAAAATTGAATAAGTACTATAGAGATTTATTTTTTTGTAAGCTGGTAGTAGCATTGTTAAAAGAGATTTAAAAAATTAAAGTTGAAAATAGACAAGAGAAGTAATGCATTGATTGGATCGTGGTCACGTATTCTCGATTGAACTTGGCTTGGGTGTGTTTACGAAAATACAATTTCACATACACATCACACCCAGACCCGCAACAAATTGTAGATCACACCAAGAGTTGTTACTTGCGGCAATCGAATTCACGACACGTTGTATTGCAGCCAGTTGCCCAAACATCGCGACAGCCTTGTATTGAAAAGTCAGTGTATGTGAGGAATGCGTTAGTAAAATGTGTAGGGAGGTAGTAACCTCTGTCGGGGTCGTAGCTGAGTGTCCGTGCAGCGTGTACAAAGGCCCGCAGTAGTGCGTGCAGGAGGCGCGCTACGTGTGCCGCATGCGTCTGTAGGGAGGGGGGCGCTGCCTGCGCCGCAGTACGCGTGCGCGTGCGTGCCTCCCACCAAACCACGCCTAACTCGCGGAGCACGTGACCCAACTGTTTAAAACGAACATTTTATCATAATATTGCCACCTTCGATACTAAATCCACGATTTTAAAAGTTATTTCTTTCATCAAACCACAGTGAAACAAGTAATCGTATATGACGCTAAATGGTATCACTAAAGAATAAGATCCAACAAATTTATTTTTTAACATAATGTATAAACATTAGAGCATTGATTTTAAAATATACTAAGACTCAAATGGAACTTTTAATCAACGAAACACAAATATGTATAAGTCTTACATACAATTATAAGAATAATCAATAAACAATATATACCTGATCAAAAGGCACGGTGGAGGCCTTAGCATCGACAGCCCGGATGAGATGCACCCAGTGTCCAGCCGGTAGTTTGTTGGCAACGGCTGCGCCTGCGCAGGTGACGAGATGCTGGCCCAGTTCCCGCGCGTCCAGCAACACCGCGCTGTGCAGCCCCAGCAGGTCCACCAGCATGCAGTGCTCCGCCGCAGGCGTGGGGCCCCAGCGCTGGACGGCCCGGAGTAGAGCCTCCAGCATCTCTCTACGTTGGGTAGCGTCCGCAGTTTCCGACCAGCGACTCATTTCGAACTTTAAGGTTTAACAAAACTAGTTACTTCAGAAAATAATACTTTGTCCTTTTTCTTCCATTATTAAAAAAAATAAGAATAACAGTTTGTGATTCAATACTTTCTACTATACCAAAGGTGAACTTTATTTATAATAGGTACCTTCTCGTATGTTATTTGTAACCTCAATTACCATTTTAGTAAAATTACTAAAACCTCTGGTCACTATAAGTTATTTTTATTTATTAAGTACTCATGGTAGGAAGTAATAAGGTAAAAAGACAGGAAATTAAAAAATAGCCTTTGCTCGAAATGGAGAACTAGAAAAGGTAGCGTGTCTTTTAAATATCTCAAACAAATAATTTAACTCAGCATACAGACTACTTCAGAGGGGGTCCTTTAGGGCTGATATTCAGTTAGGATTGCAGGGAAAATGGAATTAGGCACCGTAGTCTCGGCCCAGATCGGGAGAAGGAATGGGGGGTTTTAAGTCAGCAAAAGTCCGACAATACTAGGCGAGAGAATAATTAGATGATTTTTCATTGACAAAAAAAATATACAGACTACTCCTAAAGTACTTACCCTGGAGAGATAACTGAACAGTGTATGCGAAGGCAGCTGTGTGCCCAATAGCTGCGTATAGACAAGGGGCCAGGCCTCCGGGGGCAGTCGCCTGGGGGCCAGTAGGGCTCCGCATAAGGACTGTTGAAGGGAACCATTGGCGCGCTTGCCCCAGGAAGACAATAGGTCCGCGCATATACGCCCGTCGTGACATATCCAGCGCTGGAATTAAATAATTAGGTATTTTAGGACTTCATAATAAAAAAATATAGTTCTAATGGAGAGTATTGTGTTATTGTTCACCAGATGGCACTAATGTAGTAAATGGTCAGATTTTCGAATCGCTTAAGCCGTTAAAATTGAATGTTTGTTTGATATTTAAACGTGCCTGTAAAGGTCTCAGTGAAATAAATGAACTTGATGTTTTGACTTTTCAATGTTCATTAATAAACTGCACGTGAATAAGTGCTTTTTAACCGACTTCAAAAAAGGAGGAGGTTCTCCATTCGTCGGGATATTTTTTTTGGGGTTCTAGTTTTTTCTTTACTGAACGACGTCAGTGTATCGAGATTCCATTAATGATCAGTATAAAGTTTTTAAATAATAGGTGTAGTAAGTGTAGGTAGGTATAATATGTGTGTAGTTGAGTGTGGGAGAGCCATGCTTCGACACGATTGGGTCGGTTCGACTTTAGTGATACCACGGCCTTACTGAAAACTGGCGTGAAACAACCATACCCTCACTGACACGACGAAATAACGGAGGCCCAATCCTTCCCCTCCCCCAATATTTATCCAATCCCAAATTCCTTATCTCCAAAAGTTCAGCAACGCTCTCGTAAGTTCTTCGTTGTTGCAGGTGTCTATGAGCGTCGCTGATTGCTTACCATCAGATAATCCGTCTGCTCGTTTGGCGACCTTTGACATAAAAAAATAGTGCTTACGTCAGCCAGTAGCTGTACGAAGGAGTGTAGTAGCGCGGCGGCGGGCGCGCATGCGGCGCAGGACGGTGCGCCCGCGCAGCGCCACGCACGATCCACCGCGCGCACGCACGCCTCGCTACTGCGCGTGCGTCTGTACGGAGATACACAATATTTACTTATTACTCATTTTACATTTCATTTCACGAAAACTTACAGTTATATAATATTAAACACACACACACACACACACACACACTCCCGAATATGATCATCGCCTATACTACGGGGAATACTGCCGAGATATTGCACGGTATCAAACCGATCACTTAACGTAAGGTGAATGGCTGCTCGTTTAAAAAAAACTATAAGATAAATATTACTAACACAAAGATTAAAGTTGGTTCATTTTTTTATCTGATATTCCAAGCAGAAATATTTAAAGTAAATGAATGATCTGTAGAAATAGCTACCTAGCGATAGTATGAAGCGCGGCGGCGGTACGCGCGGCGTGGGGGCGGGCGCGCGCCAATCGGCGCAGGGCTGCGCGTGCGCTGACTCTGTTGTCTCTCACACCACGCTCTGCGTCCACTGAGATACACCACTCTTGTTCCTATATAAGATACATTTATAAAAAACTGAAATTTCTATGTTTCTATAAAAAAGAAAGATATTTGTACGCCAGGTAGTAGTATCTGCTCAAAATGTAGTAATAATGAGTGTGGAAGAGCCAAACTTCGGCACGAATGTGTCTGCTCGACCGAAGTTATATACCACGAGGTCACAGAAAACCGGCGTGAAACAACCACAGCGTCGTGTTTCGTAGTGTGAGTAAGGTTACTGGAGCCTCAATCCTTTCCCCTCCCCCCACCCCTTCCAATCCTTAAGTATCCACTTGTAACTTCTTTGGCATTGCTGGTGTCCATGGGCGGCGCCGATTGCTTACCATCAGGTAATCTGTCTGCTGGTTTGCCAACCCAGTCTATAACGAAAATATATAAAAAGAAACAGGTACATACCGGTATATAAATAGTGATATGCTTGCATTTGTTAGCGCACTGTTTGCGCACTGGCGGTAACGCGCGGCGCACGCGCAGCGCACTCGTCAGCTCCCACAGCCGACTGTCCAATGACGATACACGACCCACCTCCGTACACCACTCTCTGTTTCAGAACAAAATGGGACATACTGCCTTGAAAGCAAGCATTTTGAACTTTATAACATTGCAATAAAGTTGAAAATGTATTGAAGAAATTCAAAGGATGGTTAATTACTTCATATCCTGACGGCAGTACACAAGTCTAAGGCAATATTCAGGGATTTGAAAAAGATTTTCTCATCTTCTCATTTTAATAGGAAAGCTATGCTTCGGCACGAATGGGTCTGCTCGATCGGAGTGATACCACAGCCTCACAGGAAATCGGCGTGATACAACCATAGCGTTGTGTCTCACCATGTGGGTGAGGTTCCCGGAAGGCCCTCCTCCCCATCCCATAATCTCCAATCCCTAAAACTCCAAATCCGTAATCCCCAGAAGGACGGCTTCTGTTACTGTAGGCGTCCATGGGCGGCGCTGATTGCTTACCATCAGGTAATCCGTCTGCTAGTTTGCCGCGGTATAATATAAGAAAAATACAATCTACAATCCAAATTCATGAAAAGAAGTAAATCTGCTGACCCATATCTTTCATACAGTTATATAAAATGGAGTCTAGTAGTACACTTGCATATTGAAAAGGAGATACATAATGTGGTTCAATACTTACTGGGCAAGTCTCTCGATGTCTTGCAAATGTTTGTCTATTAAAGACAGCAGCGTACGCGCATCTTTGAAGTCCACGTCTTCTACTGGCGACTTGATCAGTTTACGCTTCCGTCTACAAATTTATAAAAGTGGATTAAGTGTGAGAGAGCCAAGCTTTCGGGTGAGGGTACCGGAGGCCCAATCCTTCCCCTTTCCCCATTCATTCCCAATCCCTAAATATCGAAAACCCCTATCTTATCCCTAAAAGGCCGGCAACGCTCTCGTCAGTCCTTTGGTATTGTGGATGTCCATGGGTGGCGCTGATTGCTTACCATCAGGTTATCCGATCGCTAGTTTGCCGGCCTATACCATAAAAAATGGAGGGTAAAAACAGGCATCCTGAAAAGATGATCAGATTCTTTTCCAACATACCTTCTTCTAGAATTGTCTTTAATCTTGAGTATAGTATTGACAGCGACATGAAACGGTGTCTGTGGAGGGGCGGAGTCCTGCGCTGGTGGTGCCGTGGGTAGGGGGAAGCTGTCCACTTCTATGCAGGGTATTGGCCGGGCCACTGCGCGCTTCCACGCTGCTTCTAAAGCCTGGAAATTTTAATTACTTTATAATATTCTGATGGAAGTAGGTATGTGAGTTTTTATAGAGGATGTGTTGAATAGAATATAACAGAATTTTTTATGATATAAAGTAGGTAAGGCTCTTATTATTGTATGTAACTTTGGTGCTTAGACTTTTTTCAGGGGACACTTATCAAATGACTTTCCACCTAGTCATGAAATCCCGCCCAGGATAAATGACGAAGGAGAGTGTCACACTCTAACTGACTATCTCTCCTCACCCGCTGAACATGAGCCCTGTAGGGGCCCGTCTATGGAAACGCATTAGACTTACATGTTCTGGTATGAACCTGGCTAGATCAGCAAAGTGTGGCGGTGCTCGAACTTTTTCTCCTTCCTCCAGCCAAGACAGGTATTCGTTGAGCATCCTAATGACAGACAAAGAAATGAAACGCAAGAAATAACTTGTATTCGTATTTACTACGTACATTTCCACAGTCAATTTGTTTTTAAAGTTTTGTGGGTAATTATAACTGTCTAGTATTGTAATAAGTTTACATTGTATTTTAATAATAATAAATTAATAAAAATACTGTCAGGTTGGAAGTGAGTGCCACAAGTTCTAAAATGCATTAAAATCGGTTCGGAGAGTCGCGAGAGAATCGCGGACAAAATATGAATGAAACTCAGAACTTCTTATACTACTGAATAGTCGATTAACATATTTAAACCGGCTCCTAAGTGTGACAAATACTTTTCTGAAACCGAATAAAAAATCGATTCAGCCATTAGAAGACAATCGCGAACAAACATATATGTCAATCTGAGGATATCCTTTTTTGAAGTTGGTTATTAATTTCGCAAACCTTCCAGATTAAGGATAAAAACTTAAGAACTTTAAGATCTTTTAGAAATATACCCTATTAAACATTTTCATAGACGTATTTCATATCGATCAGAAGTAAGGAAAAAAAACTTACTTTTCAGCCCCAGCATGATAAACGATCAGATTATAAATATTTCTCTTCGCATCAACCGCTTCACTATTCGGACTCGATTCCTTCTCGCTTCGACTCTCATCTTCAGTATCGCTGGACTCACTCGATTCTCCCGTTAAATCGATTATCGATAAAGCTGGTAGCAGTCCATCTTCTAATTTAGACGGACTAGCTTTCTCTGCTCGAGATATCGATTGTGTGTCACTAGTATCGATGGATTGGTGCTCGACTTTGAATGTTTCGCCTTCATTGTGGTGGTAGGTGATCGTTTCTTGGAGTTTTCGCTTCAATTGGGCAAGCGTGCGGGATTTGATTAGGCCGCTGAAGAATAGTGGTCCTACTGCTGGTACTGACCTGGGTTAAATATACAGTAATGCTATAATGTCAAAATGAGACGTATAATAATTTTTGTTTTTTATTATTTATTTATTTATCTTATATCACAAAGGTAGCCATCTTATGTGCTAAGCCCCACAAAACCGTTGTAATGGTTTGACTGTGGGGTCAGTGAATATCTTTAATAACAATTAAATTTACTTGTAACTAAATACTATATATAATGACAAAGAACTTGACATTGACATCATCAGTCTATAAGTGCCTAATACTGAGAAAGAAAGTCTCTCTGAAAAAGTCACATTCGTACTTGCCAGGTTAAGTACCCTCATACACGAGAATCCAGCGTTCTTACCTCCGGGCCACCAAGATGCACTCCTTTTAACTTGAATCTTATAAATCTGCCCAAACGTGGAGTACATATCAAACCCCTATTTTTTGGGTCTTTCATTTTGAAATAAATAGACTCACCCATAGTCAGGTGGAGTTTGCAGATAGAGATGCATGAGTAGCCGCCACAGAGTGAGATGCGCGGGGTGGGAGACAGGCGCCGCTAGTACTGCCGTCGCCGCGCGGTATATCACCAGCTCCTCCGATGTTAGCTTGGCACCAAGTTTCTGAAGCAACAATTTTATAGGATCACCTTTAACATCTTACAAGCCTTCTCTTTCTCCTTCTCTTATCTCCTTCTCTATCTCTTTATCTATCTGTCTCTATCTCTATCTCTCTCTCTGTCTCTATCTCTCTCTCTTTACCATGCGAATGTAATTCCCCATACCTGCAGAGCATTATCAACATGTATCTTGAGGTTAGCAGTGCGCTGCAGGTGTAGCTGGGTGCAGAGTGCCCCGTAGAGCCTCGCCTCGGCCGCGTGTGTCCCCCGCAGTATACACTCGCACAGTAGCGGCGCAGTACCAGCGTTGCGGACTGCTTGGTTCACGTGCTCTTTCGCGTTTTCCTCCTGTGTACAAATTACTATATTTCGTTAAAAAAAAGTTGCCCCACACTAGGACTTTGTCCTGTTTCGAGGGTGCGTTTACAAACATACAATTACATATACACATGACACCCAGACCCGGAACAAACATTTGTAGATCACTCGAAGAGTGGTTCCGTAATAAAATTGTCAATAAAACAATGAAACAATGAATTTTTTTTTTGCAAGTAGGCCATAAAACGGCACTTTTACACGTCAAATTATATGTTAAAAACTAGATGAAGCCGGCATTTCCTATCTGACTACTCTGAGAAGAAATGCCGAAACAAACTCAGAGGTCAGTCTCTTTTCAAGTCCAGACAATGTAAAATAACATAATGTGAGAGAACCGTGCAAGTTCATTCTGTAGTGGTCTTTTGAGGAAAGAACCACACCAGTTTAAGTGAACCCGTTCTGAAGACAGGCACGCAAGTGTCAGTTTGTAACCAGTATAGCTAGCGCTGCTAAGTTGTCCGACGAACGCGCAAGTACAAGTGTCAAAACTTATTATTATTATTTATCTCACTTGATTATTACTTTATATTATTATAATAGCTGCTAGGCTTGTATTAATCGTAACTTGATGTTTTTGCCTATATTATTATCTATATTGAACAATACAAGACAAAATCCATTTTACAAACCTTCAGCTGTTTATTGTTATAATCTTATAAATGTTATATAATACATAGCATTACTACATTACTAAATTTTACCGTAACTTTTCACCGTGTGTTGAGACGAGTCTTTCATTAATCAAAATAACTCTTATATAAATTAAAACAACGTATGGACCTGCAACAAGCCGGCGGCGTACGCATCGAGCAGTGGCCAGTCCCTGGTGGCGGCGGCGGCCGCGTCGGCCAGTGCGCATGCGCCGGCCGGGCCCCGCCCCCACAGTATCTGCAGCCACGCGCATACCACGCCTGCGACGGGCCCGCCGCTACTGGGGGGAGAAGAGATAATGCTACAATTATACTCTACAATAAATGAAACAAGGGAGAATAGACCACCACAGACTGGACCCTATAAGGCGACAAGGATGACACTCCCTGTCAGACTATTACTGACTAAAAATCTCCTCATTCCTTCTCCTGGCAGGGCCGCGATATCTTATTACTGCTGTATATAGTAGCTTCAGTTACGTCTACTCGGTCTACTCGAGTCTTTTCGTGTCATTTTAATAAAAAACACTGATTTTTGACTGGTCGTCTACTACGGCACTCTACCAACCATTTGTAGCGGCACTATCACGTCGCTACATTACTTAGATACGATAGAGATAAGACATACATGTTAATTGTTGCACGTTTGTTAGGATAGCTAAATCTGAAAATCTCACGCATCTTCTTAGTATATAAGCACCAGCAATTAAAGTAATAAACAGACCTTAACCATCTACAGTCTCATTATTTACCTTGCCACGAAGTCTGGCAAATTGGTGACCCGACGAAGAACAATCAACATGACTCATTCACCCTGCAAATCAAGCAGCAGCCAACAAGAAGCCTTGGAGATATCAGCCGGAATTTTGGAGGGACCAACCCAGATTATGGTTTAAGCAACTAGAAGCCATAGTAGCACCACAGAAGCAAGGAGACGATTACAAGTACTATACGGTCATTGCAAAACTGCCAAAAGGAGAAATAATACAGGTTAGTGACCTCATTACTTGCCCACCGCCAATAGAAAAGTACAAGGCTATCAAAGAACGCCTAATCAGTTGCTATGAGGAATCAGACCAACGTCAGCTCCAAAAATTATTGTCTGAAATGGATCTCGGCGACCAGAAACCATCACATCTTCTGCGCAAGATGCGGACCCTGAGTAACGGAAATATCAGCGACGAAACCATCAAACTTCTATGGTTGAGGCTTCTGCCACCATCAGTGACTTCGGTTCTAGCAGTCACAGAAGACATAGATGTGAACAAGATGAGCCAGATCGCGGACAAGATATTAATAAATTCAACACGTACAGAGGTGTCAGCTGTAAACGGAAACAAATCTGGCGACGATACAATGTCATGCATACTAGCACAGTTAGCAGAAATGCAATTGGAACTAAATGCAATTCAGCAAGGTCAAAAAAACTATCGACGCAGCACTCAAAGTTATTCCAATCGTCGGCATTTCCTACCACAGTCAAGTTCAAGAGAAAGAAGGCACTTTTATTTTTACCATGGAAGATTTAAAAAATATGCACAAAAGTGTGTTCAACCTTGTGATTGGAAACAGGATCTCAACTCAAGGAAACAGGGAAACTAATTGAAGCACGGACAACGGCGGAACTCTGTGCTATTCACCCGTCCAACCGCCTCACTATTACCGACCGAAAAAGTGGTATGAGATTTTTGATTGACACGGGAGCAAATATTTCAGTTATTAGCAAGCCACAGAGACATTCACTAATACAAGATGAACAATGTATACTTTATGCCGCCAATGGTACAAAAATTAAGACATATGGTGAAAAAACACTCTCTTTTCGGGCTACGAAGAAACTTTGTATGGAACTTTGTCATCGCCGATGTAACACAACCGATTATTGGAGCAGATTTTTTAGAGCATTATAAGCTATTAGTCGATATAGCTGGTCGAAAACTCATAGATAGGGTAACTGAGCTGACAACGCCCGCAACCCTGATCAAATCGACGCAGCAAACAATCCGCACTATTAACATTGAGACGAATCCACGCATTACTCAACTATTAAATGAATACGGGGATATTACGAAACCAGCCTCCCTCCACACTACTCCAAAACACAAGATTAAGCATCATATTATCACTAAAGGACCATTTCTAGTGACAAAGAGGATAGATAAGACGTTTATCATTAAAATTGGGGACAATGAAAAAGCAATATCTATAGACCGATTAAAACCTGCATTTGTCTTCAATAGTGGAACGAACGTGCCAAATTCAGAAAATAATCACAACGGGCGGAACACGTACATCACGAAGTCAGGACGGGCGGTTAAGCCGACAGTACGATTCGTCACTTGCTGACACAAGTAATCAGTCCATTTAAATACTCACCGTATTTTGAAAATACCATCATATACCGTCAGTATCTACGAGAGAACAATGGGCAACCAAAGCTCCAAAGATCAAATCGTATATAACTCCGACAGTTGCCTTAATCAAAATGAAGCCGACCATCTCAAAAGTCTTGTCCTGGAAGAGCTACGGTGGACGAGAAACATTGCAATTGGACAAATCCTCATCACAATTGGCATCCTTCTTCTCTACGGAATACTGAAGACCTTAGACAGAAGAGTGAAAACAATAGCAAGAAACAATCAGCACAAATGCAGTGGATAGTTCATCGACTGCCGCCGCCGTCACAACAAAGGCAGCAGTTTTTATTTCCTTCGAATTAGCAACAATGACATTACATTACGCATAGGATGTAATTTATCAGCAAGGTTAAGTTATTATATAATTAGGTACATACTAATTTTTTTCAATTTATATGTTAATTATTTTTAAAAGGGGGGAGTATATGTAGCGGCACTATCACGTCGCTACATTACTTAGATACGATAGAGATAAGACATACATGTTAATTGTTGCACGTTTGTTAGGATAGCTAAATCTGAAAATCTCACGCATCTTCTTAGTATATAAGCACCAGCAATTAAAGTAATAAACAGACCTTAACCATCTACAGTCTCATTATTTACCTTGCCACGAAGTCTGGCAAACATTCATTGAAACGAGCCCAAAGAAAAAACATTTTTTACAAATCACCGTTAAAACTATTTACAGGAAAATTAACGTTAATTACTTACACATAAGACGTATGTTTAATTTCCAAAGAAATGACTTTTTGCGAGATGAGAATCATAAAAGCCTTCTCCCGTCCAGGAGGGAGTGTCAGACTCATTGTATTGTACGGTGTACTCCAGGCTTAAATGTCTCTGAATAGGATAGTGGGACACTAACCTGTCTTCAAGCTGCGCCAGTATAAGTCGCAGTAGTAAATCAGCGCCGGTGACTCCGCCCCGGCCCAGGGCGCGCTGCATCAGGGACGGACCAGAGTTCAGTAGGAGAGACACCACCTCTGCAAACCTTGGAAACAAACAAACTGCACCGTAAGTTCGGGTAACTTTGACTCTTTTTTGTGAGGGGCAAATTATCTAATTACTTCTTCCGCCCAAAGTGTGGGAGGGAGTGTCAGACTCTTACTGACTAAAAACCTGCCCTATCCTTTTCCTGCTTTAGGGTTACTTTGGGGGTAACTTTGATCAAAACCCCTTAACCAATAATAACCCAGAAACAAAAGTATATTTGTTCTTCATAGGTTAATTTAGTTGAGTTAATTTATTGGGTTTGGATCAAAGCTACCCACTAGTAGTAGTAAGTATTATCTCTGTGTATCTAATTCTTATTAAGAGGGAACATCATCAAATCACTTCTCGAGAGAGAGAGTGCAAGACTCTTAATGACTAAAACCCACCCCGTTCCTTCTCCGGCTCCGGGCTGAGGCCGCGGTACCATATTGCGCTTGCCCCGCAACCCCGGAATCTTTAACTATATCTAAAATGAACACCCGTTTGTTTGTCTCGCTAAAAAAACCACTTATTCGCGGAAATCAACTGAGAAAAGCTCTACTACTTTCAAGCTACAACGGGATTCTAAAAAATCGAGTAAGTAAGAGTAATCTATACCTACTAATATTATAAAGCTGGAGAGTTTGTTTGTTTGAACGCGCTAATCTCCAAAACTACTGGTTTGAATTGAATAATTATTTTTGTGATTGTTAGTACATTTGTCGAGGACGGCTTGTAGCTGAGCAGCGAGTGAAACCGCGTGATAGAAGCTAGTTTCCAATACATTTGCTCTGTAAGTTACGTGACATTTTGTCATCATCATTTGTGTCACATCATCACCAGCCTGATGTCATCCACATGCTGGACATAGGCCTCCTCAAAGCACGCCACAGCTCTTCTCATCCAACCACTGCCAGGAGACATGTTCTACAGTGGAGACTACATCTAGGCAGACGTACTAGTAGCTAAGTGGAGGGTGCCCTACATTACGTCTGCCTAAATGCAGTCTCCACTCTATAACATGTCTTCTCCCACGGTCATCGGTTCTTGCCTGCCAACTGCCACTTCAGTTTGCTAATCACGTGACATTTGCTTGTTTATAAAATAATACTGTTTATTGGACAAGGAACAAAACTGTAAATTAAGCTAATTTGCCAGGTCAAGTAGTATTGTACAAAAATGTGTAGCATCTTACTTGGGCGTGTATGCGAGCGACTCTGGCGACTGCGCCATGACCAGCATGACCCCGGCCAGGCACTGCACCGCGTCACGGGCCCGGAAGCTCGCCAGCTTACACAGGCCTGACACGCCCTCCGAACATATCTAGGGGAGAGAGCGAGACATTACATTATTTATTCGTCAAAGTCACCTGGAGAAAAATATTTGTGTGAAACCGATTTTTCAATAGTCAGATAAATGTTATATGAGCAATAAAATTATTGCCGTCACTGTCTTATACAAACATACTGACGCGACAGCATCATAATATTGCCCACGTAACTTTTATCTACCCATTGAAAAATCAGCCCTAAGAGTAATTATTGCATGCTATTATATTATCTAGTTCGATTTTTGATAGATACATACAAATTCAATTGAAATCTATCACAAAACATTGAAATTTTTATTATTTTCTGGCTCGACCGGAGTGATGTCGGCACGAACTTACAGAAAACCAGCGTGAAAAAGTCACAGCATTATGTTTCGCCATATGAGTGAGGTTAGCGGAGGCCCAATTCTTTTCCTCCCCAATCCCTTATCTCCCAAAGGGTCGGCAACGCACTCGTAACTCGTCCGTTGTTGCTGGTGTCCATGGGCGGCGCTGGTTGCTTACCATCAGGCAATCCATTGGCTCGTTTGCCGAACTATATAAAAAAAAAAGTTTTATATGACTAATATACTTACAACAGGTATACAATGTCCCCAAGACGAGGACATGAGAGCGTACGCAGTGGAGAACAAGTCTGGCGGGTCGGTGTCTGGCGGGGGCGCGTCTGGCGGCAGGCGCCACGACGTGCGGTGGGGGCGAAGGCGCCGGAGTACGCTCCAGCACCACTCGGGGGGCGCGCCCCCGCCACTGCTGGGGCCCCGGGTCCTCACCCACTCACACAGCCAGGCCCCTATGGTTAGCTGCACTTCCAGGGACACGCCACTGTAAACAGTTAAGTCATTGTACCTCATTTAAAAAACAATTCTACATTATCTATAGGGGTGGTCTAAGCTGTATTTTTTTATATATTTTTAAAGCGAAGGTCTACTTCATGTGTGGAATTCTAAACTACTAATTGGTTGTATGATGGTTGTAATTGGGTGCTGCTCGATTGATATAATTGAAAATTGCGGGGTTCTAGATATTATATTATCAATTTCTATGTAACCTCCTTAGTTTCTACAGGAGAGTCTCATCCGCATACCGCATTAGCTGTTGTCTTGAGGTGAAGAAAATCGAAAATTCTCTTAAACATTACTAAATTACGATCCTAAGGAAAAAACATTATAAGAAACAAAAACAATTCATAGGAAAATAAACGTTACACACTTACACGTAAGGAGTATAATCCATTTCCAGTAACAGATGTTGCAGTAAGTTCTGGCACCGCCTCGACCAGTCGTCCAATAGGGCCCTCACGTCCCCCGCGGTGGGTCGCCATTTGTTCACTCTCAAAGTCTTCACGCAGGACGGATCTAGAGACTCGACTGTAAACACATATTAATACGGTTCATTTTAAGTTAATGGGTATTCTACATTCCAAATTTTTCCGCCGAGATTACGTATCAAACAGAATAACAACTGTTTATTAACAACCGTGAAGATAATTATGTTCTGCTAAACAAAGGCCTCTCCCTATTTTGAGTTTACAAATCTATACTGTAACACTACAGTTATACCCAAACCGAAAATGACAGATACAATAAAATAGACAATACAGAAAGATCGACGATATTTTTTTTACTTATCTGACATATCCAAGCTCTCCTGCCAAGCGTGGGGATTATGACAAATCCCCTGTAAGGTATACACTCACCTACACTGAGATCTGCCAGTATATGTAGAGCTATGGTATGTAGGTAGACGTGTGTGGCCAGTAGCTGGCCCACGCACTCCCGCGCAGTCGCGTCGCATAGTACTTTACACGACATTGATTTACGCTTCAAACCAGTCTGAAAATAAAAAACAAAGAAAAAAAGGTAAGTAGTTTATTTGGCACCGGAACCCAAACACATAAACAAATCAAATAACAAATGGTTACTTAATGTATTATTTCATTATCTTGGTATAAGAATATGTTTGAAAATATGGATTCTATGACAGGTAGCGTGAAGAGAAAAAAGTTTATAGTTTCCTCAGATAATGCAATAAAAACATTTGTCTGGCTATTTTTAAGTGCTATTAGATCGTAGACTTAATGAAAAAAAAAGTTCAACGCTCAGTTCGGCCGTGGTGATACCATGGCCACACTGAATATAGTTAAACAACGCTTGAGTTAAGTTTCTGCTTCATCTCCAATCTCCAAATCTCCAAAACTTTAATCCTTCAACACCAACATAAGGCCGACAATTCGTTTACTGTTGAACCTACATGTCTATGGGCGACGCTGATTACGGAAAGCAATCAGTACCATTGATACTAGTTTGCCGACCTAAACCATAAAGAAAGTTAATTTATTACCTGTAACAAGAATTCAAGGACTAGCCTGGCGAGCTCGTGGTCCTCCGCGCGATCAACGGCGGCCTGCGATATGATGCGCACGCGCATCTCACACGGTAACACTGGCAACTCTATTTCAAGCTGATCCAGTCGTTTCGGAGTTTTGTCTGTTGGTAATAAAAATTGTTATTAACGATATTAAATAATTTACTAGTTGTAGGACGGTATTTCGACGCGAACAAGCTGGATCAATCTATACACTGCGACAGAAAAAGGGCGTGAAACAAAACTAGTTACCAAAAATAGTTAACCTCCATCATAAAAAAATTGCAATATACATACTTGTCACTTTTCTGATGTTGTTAATAAACAGCGCTGATCTTACTATCATGACCCGTCTTTTCGATTCCCCCCCCCCCCTTATTCCTTTATTCATCAAACCACAAGCGAACCTTTAAGTGTGGAAGAGCAATGCTTCGGCACGAATGTGTCGGCTCGACCGAAGTGATACCACGGCCTCACAAAAAACCGGCGTGAAACAACCACAGCGTTGTGTTTCGCCGTGTGAGTGAGGTTACCGGAGGCCCAATCCTTCCCCCTCCCTCAATCTCTCCTCAATCCCTAAATCTCCAAATCCCTAATCCCTAAAAGGTCGGCAAAGCGCATAAGTGGCGCTGATTGCTTACCATCAGGTAATCCGGTCTGCTTGTTTGCCGACTTATTACATAAAAAAAACCTATTGATTGACTGATACCTGACTGATTGTTATAACCACTATTAAAAGGTTAAAGCAAGTAATAAAACGCATCTTACCATGAAGTCCCACAATGAGAGATATACAATACTCCTTAGCGGCATCATCAGACAACAATGTAGCCGGCAAGTGATGTAGGTCCTGTGCCTCGTACAGGTGGAAACCAGCACAGAATGCTGCTTCTAACTCCGCTGTTATCTTCTCTTCTATGTCAGGGCTATAGAATGCTCTGGAAATCATGAAGTTGTGTGTATGTATTAAGCCAATATCAATACAAAATCTGCGGAATAAGATCTACTTTTGAGTTTCTGTAAAAACAGATTGATCAAAAGACTTTACAGTTGTACGCAATGCAATTTAGTTTTTATCATCCGAAGCATAATGTTAAAAATGCAACACTTTGATAAAAAACATATTTTATATACATACTTGCAGATGTATTCATTCCTTTTGAACCTGTTTTTATGGCGTCATCATCATCACCATATCAGCCACAGGAAGTCCACTGCTGAACATAGGCCTCCCCCATTGACTTCCAGATAGGCCGGTTGGAAGCGACCTGCATCCAGCGGCTTCCTGCGACCTTAATCAGGTCGTCTGACCACCTTGCGGGTGGACGTCCTACGCTGCGCTTGTAGGTACGTGGTCTCCACTCGAGAACCTTTCTGCCTCGAGAACCTTTCTGCCCTCGAGAACCTTTCTGCGCTGGTCTGCTTTTATGGCGTGGTTAATAATAATAAACCTCTAGTGCAAATGGGAACATGAGGAAACTTTTCGCAATTTATAGTTTTCGTGTGGAATTGTAAGCATCGTCATTGCACTTGCAAACACGATCGAATGATTTATTTATTTGTGACGAAAATAGACTATCAGTGTAGACTCAAAGTAAGGAAGATTTGAGAAGAAATATATATGTATGATTATCTAGACACTACTAACATACGAAGAAGAAAAACATGGTGACGAAACCTAGACTTACAATTTCTAATTAAAGTTTGAAATCGCCAACTTATAGGCTGATGATGATGATGAGTAAAAGTAACTCTGAATATAGTCGAGCGCGAACGTTTTAAAATTAAAAGTTCACACTAATTATAAGTTAAAATTCGTACCTAGAAGTAAGATGTAGACAGGCCAGCGCGTGCAGGGCTCGTGCAGCCAGTTGCCTGAGTTCGTGCAGTAGGCGCGCGTAGTTGGAATGCGCGCGCGCGCCACGACCCAGCACGTGCAGAAGCGCGCGTATAGCGGCGGACGCGCGCAGTACGCCGCGCCCCCCCGTACTGTCACCCCACTCCTGCGGCCGGGCTTGCCGGATATCCTACCACACAAATGTATATTTACAACTAGCTTTTGCCCGCGACTCCGTCCGCATGGAATAGTGACTTCCTGCAGATTTTTGGTATAGAAATTCTGTCTTATGTCCTTTCTCAAGTTCCAAACTATGTACTAAATTTCACAGAAATTGGTTTAGTAGTTTAGGCGTGAAGAAAAGATAGACAGACAGAGTTACTTTACCATTTATAATATTAAGTTTGGATTTACACACAAATATAACGAGAGCCATTTCCACACCTAAACAAAAATATTTGTGTGATCCAAAAACTATTGTTTCGGGTTGGTTAGTGGTTACGTGAATTTGTGTAGGAGAGCCATGCTTAGGCACGAATGGGTCGTCTCAACCGAAGTGATATCACGGCCTCACAGAAAACCAGCGTGACACAACCACAGCCTTCTTTCATAGTGTGAATGAGGTTACCGGAGGCCCAATCCTTTTTCTGCTTTCCCAAACCCTCCCCAATCCAACAATTTTTTTTAATGATATTTCCGTAGCGTCTCTTTGTATCTACTGGACATATTCCTAGTACGATCAGTATAATGTCACTCACAGTATGCGTGAACAGCACGAGCCTAGCGACCAGGTCTCGCAGCGGGAAGGCCCGCAGCAGGGCGAGCAGGTCGCGCTCCCGCAGTGTGCCGTCACTCACCGCGCCCCCGCCGCCGTGCTTGTCCACCTCCTCCCATGCATCCTCACACTCTATGCAATATTATCATCATCAGGCACAAAATCTAAAACTTTCCAGAACGTAAGTGCTATCAAAGCGTGTTCTGGCTCCTGCCCTTGAACACACTTTACCCTCATAAAACACAATTTTATAAGGGTAAAGGTAAAAAATTAATTTTTTTTGCGACAAATCATACTTAGGTACTTATTTATTGAAAATTAGCTGAAAATACCAATATTAAATGTATAAAGTAAAATCAAAGAATGAAAGTCAAAACACCAACATCAAATTAAAGTGGGAGAGCCAAGCTTCGGTACGAATGGACCGGCTCGAGCGGAGTGATACCACGGCCTCACAAAAAACTGGCATGCTGCAACACATACGTTCTCTTTCGCGGTGTGGGTGAGGCGATCTTAATTTACAAATCCCCTATCCTTTAATCCATATTTTTTTTATGTAGTGGGTCGGCAAACGAGCAAACAGATTACCTGATGGTAAGCAATCAAGACATGGACACGCGCAACGGAGGAGGTACGAGTGCGCTGCCGAGCTTTTAGAGATTAGGGATTTGGAAATTTAAGGATTGGGGGAGCGGAAGGATTGGGCCTCCGGTAACCTCACACACACGGTGAAACACAACGCTGTGGTTGTTTCACGCCGGTTTTCTGTGAGGTCGTGGTATCACTCGGGTCGAGCCGACCATGTGCCGAAGCATGGTTTCCCCACACTTATAACAGCCGACAAGAGGCCGGCCACAAACTGGTAGTAACTCCTTTGTTTTTACGAGTTTCACTTTTGCTCGTTTGCCGACAAATTACATGAAAAAATCAAATAAACATAATACTATTTTAGAGAATCTCAACAATCTCACCCTCAATACACTCGAGCGCTGTTTCAGTGCGGGAGCGCACGAGTAACAGCTCTAGTATTGCAAGTATCCGCCAGGGGGAGGCACTGTCAACGTGCGCGTGTATCACTTGTGATGCCCATTGTACGGAGCGAGACTGTCTGAAAACAAAATAACACTTTTATTGAATTTTCTAGATTAACTGAAATGTGCTATGTGAAATGAAACAGCTTATTACATATTAGGATCCCAGTGTGGGTTGAAAGCTGTCGAGCACAACGTAGGCACGAGTCCTATTTCAATCGGGCGGTACCTACCAGTTTTCTTTTTTATTATAATTTACAAATTGATTTTCAATCTTACTTAAAACAATTTATCTGATTGACATCTAGTAGATGTGAATCCAGCATGCATATTATAAGATACTTACACACTAATTAAAGTAAGTAGTACATATTTGAAATGTACCTTCGACAGCTTTGACTTTAAGGCTGGCGCGGTGGTGGTTTTAAATATACTTACTTGAACAAATTATGTATGAGGAACAACAGCTGTCGCAGATCTCGATTGTCGATCAAAGCAGCGGAAAGCGCTGTGGCCCACCGCTTTAAAGCGGACGCGAGCGCTTCTGGTGCGTTGTCACTGAGGCGTAGCGCTTGCAATATTAGGGAGAGAGCTTCACGTATCACAAGCTTGTTACTCTGTATAGTCTCTGAGATTAACTCCTCAATCTGGGAAAACGAGAATTTAGTTTATATAAACATCTGTCTTGTTGGTGTGAAAGTGGCTTCCAATCAATTATATCAAGCCAGTTCCAAAGTTCTGAAAATAAGCTCTTTTAAATAAAGATGGAAAAAGAAAGCCAGTTCCATTACTGTAGCTCAATTTAGGTATTTGTGATAATAAATAGTACACCGTTTTTAGGTACAGGTATGGATAGTGCCTATGACAATTGGACACATCATCAGCCTATAAAAATGCCCACTGCTGAGCACAGGCCTCTTCTCACAAGGAAAAGATTTGAGCATTATTCACTTGGCTTGCTCAAGGCGGATTGGCGATTTCAAACTTATAATTAGAAATTATAAGCCCAGGTTTCTTCACGATGTTTTCTTTCACAATATATCTAAGGTGTCTGAATGAACTAAATTAATAAATAAATAAATAATAAATAAAAATTAATAAATTTCTAAAAACACTGGCCTCTATACTAGGCAAGTGCCTGTATCACAGTGTGGGAGAGCCATACTTCGGCACGAATGGGTCGGCTCGACCGGAGTGATACCACGGCCTCACAGAAAACCGGCGTGAAATAACCACAGCGTTGTGTTTCGCCGTGTGAGTGAGGTTACCGGAGGCCCAATCCTTCCCCTCCCCCAAACCCTCCTAAATCCCTAAATCTCCAAATCCCTAATCCCTAAAAGGTCGGCAACGCACTCGTAACTCCTCCGTTGCGAGTGTCCATGGGCGGCGCTGATTGCTTACCATCAGGTAATCCGTCTGTTCGTGTGCCGACCTATTATTCTAAAAAAAAAAAAAAACACAGATGCCAAAAGAAAAGTCACATTTGTACTTGCCAGGTTTCGAACCCTTCTCATTCATGAAATGTGGATTTTCATCAAAATAGGACTATTATTGAGTAATCAGTGAAAAGAAATTATACTCGTACTATCTACCACTGATGTAGAGGACTTTGATGTGAATCGACATCAATTCTAAACTTAAATGCGTAGTTCATTGCAGTCATGGAGATAAAACATACTCGTAAAATATAAATGTTTTATAACTACAGAAACAGAATAGATAATAAAGCAAAGTACCTAAATTTGATAGTATAAATTTTTGTACCTAACATGCAGAACAACTGCACTATAATTGTTACATTAGCTAATTGCTCAGCTACAGAACCAAACGGCACCTTCGCTGCACTATTGTTGGTAAATGAACTAGAAAAGGCAATAAAAAAAATGTTTTAAGCTAGCATACCTGACAATGTGCCAGCAGAGCAGCATGCTGATGATGGCAATAAGATTCCTGTACATCCCTCAGCAAGCTCTCAAGTCTCATCTTTGCGATAGGCAGCCTCTCCTTGTTCAACTCAGCATACTCATAACTAGCTCTAAGGTCCACATTAAGCCCACACTGACACTTCTCAGATATATTCACATATCGTTTCTCTATCTTCCAAAGAGTAGCTCTTCTTTTCTCTTCTTCTGCAAACCCGGCTGCAAGTTTAACCCGCTCACGCTCCACTGCTATTAGTGATGATCTGAACATAAAAATATAGAAAAATTTTAGATATATACAGCTTACGAAGTTCAAGACTTTTGTGCCCAATTGCAGCTACTTATTGAAAAAAATACTTGAAACATATTTATTTCTGGCTTCAGATTGCTATGCTTCTTTGCCTTGGTGTTTTTTTTTAATAAAGCAATATACAAACAATTTACATAATATCAAGTTACTAACCTGAATGTAGATAACAGATCAACAAGCGGATGTTCCGGTCCACTCATAGGTCCTGCTTCCACTAACTCCTCTTCTCTCTGACTCATGGCTCTCACTTCTTCCATCTCTTTTCCTCCACAGAGCTTTATAGCATCTTCTAGAGGCATGCATTTCACTTTAGGCTTAGTTTCTACAAACACTTCTTCTCGTTGCACAGCTTGGGGTACTTCTTCAAAGCAGGGAGCTGATGGCATCACATCTTCTACTTGTTCAAAAGTAGTTTCCGGTTTCTGTTTCTCAGTACTTAAGTAAGCATCAGGGTGAATAAGCTCAATTTGTCTTTCTGGACTTATTGGTTCTGTAACTTCATTTGGTATTGCCATACATTCCAATTTTCTCTGCAACTCTTTGTAAGTACTCTCATTTGTAGACTCTTTGGTTATAAGACTTGACTTTTCAACTTCTGTGGTTGTCGTTTTCGTGATATGTATATTCTTATTTTCAATATTCTGAGATTGTTCTAAACATTCTTTATTTAAATTAGTATCTATATTAATTTGTTTACTACCTACTTCTTCAATATTTTCACTACTTTCTTCTATAATTTCTATACTTATATTATTGGTTTCAGTTTGTTCTGATGCAGTGACTTCAGTGAAAGATTCAATGGTAACATTTTGAGATGACTCAGCTTCACAGGAACTTTCTGTAGTATAGATCAACTCCTCAAGTGTAGGAGGAGCTATGTTAACTGGTGACAGTTCTCTGGTGGTGCTACTTCTCTCTTTTGATTTCTTTTTCTGAAAACAATTGTTTAGTTTATAATCGAAGTATGACATTGTAGATAATTTATTGATATTCATATCTACTGCTAAAAAAATTGCATTTAATTTTCAAAGAGTTATTAATCTGATCTAACAAGTTCATAAAAATCATTTCCTGGTATGACATTATTCATTCTGAATTAATTTGTACATAATAAACATGTTTGCATATTTTTTTCTTCAATCCTTGATGCATTCGACGTCTTTATTACAGTAACATTTTTACATCGGAATGGAATGTACTGTAGCAGTAAAGCAATGCACATTGCAAGTTTTAAGTGCAACATTTGTAATAAACAAAATGTTTCGCTGCGCAAATAGTAAAACAAAGGACACTATTATAATTTATTTTGCACTTACTTCTTTACGTTTTTCTTTCACCATTGTGGCCATGATTGTTAGATTTTCTATCCAAATGCGTATTTTAAAATCAAACAACAGAAATAAAATGTTTTATCAAACGATTTTATTTAGGCACGAACATGTTATTCCCCAGAATCAAAACAAAGTGTTGAAAAATCATATGGTAATGACAACAGGATGGAATACCAATCATCACTATAGTTAGAAAAAGACAAAAGATTTTTTCTGTTAAAAATTGTAATAAATCTAGCTACGAAACGCTTTGATCAGCTGTGACCATAAGAAAAACATACAATTTTGACGTTGTTAGTCGATTTTCAGAACCAATCACTACTATAAAAAAAAGATCCTAACTTCGAGCTGTCATTTTACTAAATTGACAATTCTAAATATAAATTTATAAAATTAATAACAGGTACCTACAATAACTACGATTTTTATGCAGGGTCTAACTAAATTACTTATTGTTAGTTTAAGGTCACCACAGAAAAAATCTTTCACCAGATAAAACACCCATTTTTTAATAAAGCCCTTATGGGCACTTAAAGATATTTCTGCAATATAACACTGTCATGTGTTATGGTTACCTATTTTCCCATAAATTTGTTTTTATTTCACAACGTTATAGGGTTCCTATCCTATAATTAGCCCTTATCACAGGTCCTCCTGGGAATTTTCGAAATGGTGTTGTATTCGCAAGCCAGCCAACCAATAAACCCTCTGCAGTTTGGTCATTCTAGGTTCTCATTAGAACCTATAGAACTTAAAAGATTTAATGGTGAGGTACTCATACATTTCTGACTTTAAATTGCAACCACAGATTGCAACCTACTTAATTATTGCCCAGCAAAAAATAATTTCTTCTCTGTCTCGCCTCCTAATAACTTCCGGCAATGTGATACAAAGATCATATAAACACTACGTTATGTACCTATATGATACCTGTTTTATTAGTATGTGTTAAATCAGGTACATTGTGTGATATACGTTGTGCTTTGCAGGTGGCATTTTAGATCAGAACTTAGGAAGTTGGCTTCCAAATTCTTATTTCAGTTTGACCAAAGTTGAGTGGTACTAACCCACTATTCTAAACAGCTGACATGTGCATGATGGAATTTTCTTACTGTTACGATAAATATTATTATTTATGTAACATTAGCGCTCTTTGACCCAAGCACGCTACCAGTGCATCATGCTTTGAATCACGCCGATACTCAAACTTATCTCTCTATCAGTTCACACTTCAGAAAATAAACAAAACTATTAAAAACAACTATTGACAGCTCGTCGTTACTGAGAACTTTTAAACTTTGACCCGTTTACGTGTAACATGCGTGAAATAGGGCCATGGGTATTGATAAAAAAACACTAAGTAATATAATTTGTCATTGGCTTGCACAATATTAAACTATTTTGCTGCAAATGCCACGTCAATTATTCAAGAACACCTACACTGAACACATGCATTTAACAAAATTATTTTTGGTGTATATTAATTATTAAATGACGTGTAGTTAGACCTATTCTTGGATTTGTATTACTGACTACGAAGTATATAGGTACTAATCTTCAATGTCCACGTATATAATCTTTAGTTGTGTCCAAAGTACGGTATTGACGAAAGAGTTCAAGGCCTACAGGATCTGGACTTAGACCTTATACACACAATACTATATAGTGACATCATTTACCACGGTCATTCACAGTTAGTATTTATCACATTTGCTTTCTTTAAATTCGTGTCTAGTTCAAAGAAATAACGATACGATTTGAAAGTCAATTTGTAAGATAACTTTACTAATTTTTTGTATTGTCATGTTACTAGGTATTATACGTAAAAAAAAATATTCATGACTATTGTGGCTATAAACCTAATAGAAGCCAGTAGGTAGGTACCTACTTAAAATAATAGTCCTACATTAATTACATCACAGCACATTATCAGGGCATAAGAGTCCACTGCTAGCTAGGCCCTATATTCTCACACAGAGTTTGGAGCATTAGGTAATCACCACAGCGAATTGGTGATTTCAAACCTTCAATTAAAAATTATCAGTCCAGGTTTCCACACGATATTTTCCTTCAGCGTATGTCAGTGGTGTTTAAGTAATCATAGAAAGTACATCTCGGAAAGAGGCACATCGTCATCGCCAGGTTTTTAACCTACACCCATATGCATGAGCAGCGGGCTTCACAATCACAACTACGTTGATTACATACATAAAACTAAATTTAATAGGAAGAAACTCTGTTTAATTTCAACATTTATTTCAAACAAAAATCCTAAACAAAATGTAGCTAATTAGTTAACGAAAATATTAACATAAAAAATATTAACGCATCCAAGAAAACATATTGAAAAGTAGCTATTTAACTATGTTAAATATGTTCACCTTTTTAGTTGCTATGCATTTTTCACACTTCGTGTATTACTTCTAACGTTCAGTAAATAAATAAATAAAGCTATTTATTAAATAATTAAATAACTAATTAACAATCTCTGTCTACTGTTGCGTCTTCCACGACCCGCATCCCATTCCCCATTTACTCAGCGCACTGCAAATCGTGCGGTTCAGCTGCAACCAGCTGCAATCAAATATCCTCAACAAACATTAAGCTGCCTCTAAGATGGTGGTTGCTCTTGATACGTAATATTTTCATCTTCGTACTGTATGTTAGTAGGATTTTGTTGGGTAACTATAAATATTGGAGATTTCAGCTTCCGAGGTACAGGGGACGGCGAGGTCGAGTAACTCCTTTGCTGTGACGTTGTGCTCTGCATTTTTGCGCGAAACATAACATTATCAATTTCATGCATCGCTAAATCACGTTGATGTTCATCTAATTTTCTCAATTTCTTCGCTAATAACTGACCGTATAACTCATATTCGTCCATTTCATGCTTCACGCCACTTGATGATGCATTCTTTAAATACGTTACTGCTTCGTCCATCCGTTTTTTAGCATAATTTAATTCTGAACTATTCTTATTGGTAGGTGTTTTCTGACACGGAGAGACTGGTTTATTTTGTCGAACCATTGCTGCGTGTTTATCAGCTATATTTATATTTCTATTCATGTTATTTGTATGATCTGGGATCCCTGGCTGTGTCGAGTAGTTTCCTGTATTTGTGAAATACTGAAACAAAATATTAAAGGTCTTAATTAATTATTAATCATATTAAACCGTTATACATCTATATTATTTAATTTTTACAACGATCTGGGTAGGAACACGCTAAAATATAGATAAAAAAGAATTAGAAAATATTTTTTTTTATTTCAGAAATATATCTATTACTATTTTTTGTTTATTACTATTAAATGATTATTTAAAAAAGTATTATCTACATAAGAAGTAACTAGGTACCTAAATTATAAAGTAACTACCTACTTTTATTCGTACCTATGTGAATCTAATAATTATCTAATATTAAATCCAAAAGTTGTTCTAAGTAGTAAGAATTAGTTTAAACCTTAGTCTTCTTGCTCAGCAATCGCGCTTGAGATGAGACAATTAGTGACTTGGTACCAAGGGATCAAATTAATAAGATATATCATAAATAAGTATAGACTACAGTTTAATTTTCATACACGAATATACATACAGAGTAAACAACAAAAGGCACATCTTAGCTATACCTACGTCTTTAAAAACAAAAATATAAATTATTAAAAACCAATCCAATATAGAATTGGCTTATGTGCCGTACCAAAGTTTGGTTGCCAAATATACAAACTAAATGGTAAAGGGATTACGCAATTGGTTCCAATTTGGTCCAATACTTTACCAAAGATACGAAACTTTTTGTTAAAGATGAACAAATGATATCGTTAAAATACCGGTATACATATATTATTATAAATAATGAATAATTATTATATTGGCCATAAACATTTACCTCATTTTCCAATTGATTTGTACTATCACATTCATATTTGCCGCCAAGAAAACTCTCCATTAGTGAATAGGCAAACCAAGTCGTACGATATCCTGGTTGAACTTTCTTTTTGCTGAGATGCATTCTAAAGGACGTCATTAATGATTCCTTTTTCTTCTTTAGATCAGTAATTGAACAATGTATACTTAGAGATGCTTGTATTCTCAGCCAAGACTCGGAAACTTCACTTCTATTTCTGTGCAGCGGATGTTTTGGATCCCATAAATGTTGCTCCCTTCTGTAGAGTTCTAAGAATTCTAAAACAGTATCGCTATTCCACGACATTTTTCTATTGTTATGGTCAAATATGTGCTAATTAATAATCTCCAAAACAAAAACCACTGAGACCGCTTGCCTGACAGCCAATCAGAATACGTTCCTCGTCCAATGTTTGTGTATGATTACACGTGTGCTGGCCTCGTTCCACAAATTTTGCGATCAATGTTCGTCATTGGCATTTGGCGACCAACCAATATTGTTTGATGAAGTTATGATGTTAGTTAGGTAATTTTCAAACTGTCAGAGTAAAAAATCATTCGAATAAATACTTGTTCTATTCCCAAAATTCAAGTATTTCACAGTAAATAAGAAACAGAAATCTTATTAGATTCATGCTTAAAACTGTTTAGTTATTTCATCTCTTTCTTTCTATCTAGCGTGGTCTCTTTCTTATTTTTTTTATTCAAAGTTCTGATGATAGCTATATCGTGCGGATAGCGAAAGAATTAAGTTCAGTCAATTTTTTGCAGATATTATTTTTGCCAATTCATTTTCAAATACTTTGCCTGTGGTATCTAATATAAGTATTTTGTATCTAACTTGAAATAGTAAAATTCATGTAATCGACTAAAACTAACAAGTTGCTTTATGTTTAATGTCAATGGAACACCCATCACTAGTTATGTCTGATCAAGATCAAAGTCCAAACAAAGTGTTGAATCATAAAATTAAATAAGTTTATTTAATTATTCATTCGTCACACGTACGAGCCTCTTATCACGTATATATTTTCTATTAAAAGATCAGTTCACTTCAGTCAGTAGATTGAATTGTGTTGAACAAGTAATAAATAATCGTGAATTTATTCGTTTTTTATTCGGACTTTTAGAAAGTATTTAAAAAGTTTCTTGTATTTCTAAGGTAGGTTTTAAAACTTTTATTTTTATTATTTGTATACCACTAAATTAACAACTATGTGCTATTGCCGGTTATTTCTGTTCAAATACTAATATTTTATACAGTCTGTTTTAATTTGTTAATTATTTACTGGTGAAATCAGCTACTTTGGTTTGCAAATTTTCATATTAATTGAAGGTAGACAAAACACTTCGAGGTGTAGTATTGATTATGAAGTGCATTGTATTTAATTATTTTCTTAATTGAATGTTGTAGTTAGAACCATAATTTCTTTTCTAGTCCATATAATGGTCTAGTAAAATAATATTTAGTATTTAATAAAATTTAAATGTAACTTTATAACGGTTGTTGAAGATGGCTACAGAAGTAAGTGCTCCATCGATGCCGCAGCTGCAGTCAGTGCAGAAGGCCATGGCATTGCCCACCGTTGAGGCTGCCGTTGGTCAAGTCGGAGCATTCTACACAAGAGTTAAAGGTGACAAATTTACCTTATACTTATAGTTCTAAATTTTTAAAGATGTGTCTCTCAAAATGTCTGAAATACCTTCTCTTTGCCTTTAAAATCAAATTAAATAGTCAAATTTCAGTCAGTGGGTCATCTTAGGGGTGGGTTCTTAAGAACCTAATGTTTCAAGTAAGTCTTTTTTTATAAGTGTGGGTAGACATACTAAAGAAAATTGTTAACATGTTAACTAGCCAAATAATCTTGCTGACATTATTATTTACTTTGTACTTATTACATATGAATATATTATCTTGCACTTAGTGCATTTTATGTTTAATATGTTGACATACTGACATAGATAAAAAAAAATATGTGTGTTGTAATATTTTATATAAAACATTATGCTGTTAGAAACTTTTTGAAAATCTTTTGGAAAAGTTACTGTTCTATTTCAGAAGTACCTTTAATGCTCCGAAGTAACTAAGTAGTTATTTATTAAAGTATGACTATCTTATTTCATGATGGTGTTTATCTTGCACAATTATTATACTAGAGATATATATTCACTAATTTCACTAGCATTTTAAATGAAATTATATTGAATATTTCTAACTGAATGCTTGACAATAAGATTGTGACCATCTAGCATAATAAACTTATGTCCATATTGCTATAATGATTAGGGTGGCAGGCATTAAAATATTCTATTACATTGATACAGGAGCCCACTCCTTGCTTGAATGGGCACTATCCACTGCTGAGGCGGGAGTATACCGTGCAGCTAACACAGCGGCGCCCTACGTGGCAGCGCCCCTTGCTGCTGGAGACGCCAGGGTGGCCGCCGTCATTGACGAGCTGGAGCGCCGCGTCCCAATCGTCACAGAACAGCCCAAGGTCATCGTAGAGACCACCAAACAAGCAGTCCTTTCTAGAATCTCACCACATGTTAATAAGGTAAGCTTTTTTCTCCTTCTACCTTCCATTTTTATGATAAATGTAGTTGTGTGAAATAATTAGTTTGCTTCAGGTACGTCGTTAGCTTTAATTAACGTTAACCTTTAGCGTCATGCGTGCCTGCGTGCGACAGTGTCGACTTTTTCTTAGTTTTCTTGAGCAAAACATTATTAAATACGCTAAAACCCCTTAACGAAAATTTAAAACATTTTCGCCTAGAGATCGACCTTCATTATCCGAATACGATACTTCTTTTTTGTAATTCCATTTATGTTTTTTTTTAAACGTTGCCCCAAATTAGGATATTCTCCTGTGTCGTGGGTTCTGTCACAAACATATATTTTCACATACACAAGACACCCAGACCCGGAACAACGATTTGTGGATCACACAGAGTTGTTCCGTGCGGGAATCGAACCCGCAACACTTTACACATTATTACGAGCGAAACAAAACAGTGAACTAATTTAAATAAAACCCCAAAAATAAATTGGTAGTACCGACTTCCGTTATCAGCATTAAAAGTCGAGTTAAATATGAATATGCCGATGGCGGACGCGGATGCATAGTTATCTTAGTTCAGGAAGTGCCCAAGCCCCAATATCAGATACGCGGTTCAAAGTGCAGCTTAAGAGCAGGATGTTACACTATACGTATACTTATCATGATATTATATCGGACTCATACAATGCAATGTTAATATTATTATTATTACATATAATATCGTATCATCACTTTGTTTATGGTCCCTCGTCAAAATATGCGCGGCGGTTTCCATCGATCGGAAGTTGCGACCGGTTTTGTGGGACCGGAGGCTATTATCTATTTATCTACCGTAAGTGGCCAGTGCTATGTATGCAAACTTTTTTGTTGCATTTACAGTTCTTTAATATTCATAACATGTAGTAGAAAAATGAAAAAAATGCTGCTAGGTATATATATCTGCATTAATATGACCTAAATATGTATGCGTTTGTTATGTCCGTACACATAAACAGCTAAACCGTTATTGATAATTTTTGGTAGGTATAGAAAAATATCACATGTTTATATACTTATAAACTTAGTTTAATTGAGTAATAAGTAAGTATTTCGGAAAATGATTCATCCCCATCACATAGATGGTTGGCAGTCAACAACTGTGCGATTCATCCGAAACTTTCTGCCCCGCACAGCAAAACTTTGGAATGATCTTCCGGCGGCGGTATTCCCGAACCGATACGACCTTCAAACCTTCAAGAAACGAGCATACTCCTTCTTAAAAGGCTGGCAACGCACCTGTGACTCCTCTGGTGTTGCGGATGTCCATGGGCGGCGCCGATCGCTTACCATCAGGTGATCCGTCTGCTCGTTTGCCACCTATTCCATAAAAAATAAAAATAGTACGGACTACTGGCTGGCTATTGAGTCGACCAATATCTAATTACAAAAGATAGTTATGGTTCTATTACGTAGATACCATCTGCGTTCTGACTCAATCTTTTTTACTCATCTGCATACCAAACAGCTTGGTTAACTGGACTTGTTTATTTGGTATATACATATAGGAAATACAGTCAAACATGCAAAATAATGTCTTACTCATGTCGAATAATTGTGAAATGTCTAGATAGTCTAGTTTCAAGTAAAAATTCGAATTGTTTAGAAGTATCTAATAATAAACGACGCGAACGCTTCTTTCCACAAAATTTTTTTTCGGTAAGCTTTATTTCTTATCTGTGGAGGTGAAAAGTCATCGTAATGTAAAACTACACGTTTTTAAAAGCAGAGACAATATTTACACAAGTCTTCAACAAAATCCTTTAGTCTTAATAAGTTTAGAGTATCTTACAATTCCATGTAAAATTATTAGGAGCCCAGCTGCGGGTAAGCGCAATAATATACGGTACCGCGATCCAGGCTCAGAGCAGGAGAAGGAACTGGTTGTTTTTTAGGCAGTGAAAATGAACACACACACTAGTCCAATCCAGGGGGGGGGGGAAGTCATTTGATGACTTGCCACCATCAAAAAAGTTAATGATAATCGGTACCTAATACTGAGATATAGTGTCTAGTCTAGTCCGTCTAGTTTTTGGTACGGTTGGCATGTCTATAATCATTAGATTAGTATATCGATAGCTATGTATGTTAGCGGTTGCCCGCGGTTAGCGACCTAGGTAAAACAACAATCCTGAAACTCACGATGTAAGTTATTATGACTTGCGACCAAGCGTTACCTATGTGACGTATTAACTACGTATCAAGTTCTCAGTAGTCGGTATCAGATTAAAAATTACGATCGTTAAAATGTAATCTAGATAGGTATGTTTATTAAAGGTCCTATCGCCAAATGGCTATTTATCAATATCGTGGAAAATTCCCGATCGATTTTATTTGTAGGTAGGTAGATATGCATTTTTTCAACTGCATAACTGCGTAAATTGTGAGAAAGACTATCTGCCCATCTACATAGGTATCTTAACCTAAACGTAAGTCAGTATAGCTAACGTTTATTTGAAGGTTTAATCGAATAAAATAATTGTATTTGAGAAAGAAAAAAATATAAAATTCTGTGCCTGTACCTACTTAAACTAGCAACAAGCCGCGGCCACACGCTCTACGCAAAAATAAAATAACAAATACTTGAATGCAGCTGTCCAACAGACATAAATAAAAAAAAAACGACTAGCCTCCTAGCCTATAAAGTTTTATATTCGTCTTTTATTTACGCGTAGCGACAAGCAAGTAAAACGGGTAACAGTATAACAGTGCACTGATAAGATAATGTGACTGGCGACATATTATCACGTGGTGGAATGGACAATGAACCGGAACGTATCCACTTGTCACGATAAACATCTTTTATAATACAACTCGATGCTTCTTTCTCGAAAATGTATACATTCTGGATATTTGTAACGCCATTGTGTAATTCTATGTGAACATTTTTGCTTGATACATTAAAATGGTTTACCATCACAACACAAAGGTCCTTATCGGCATACAATGTTGTACCGTAACCCGAACCGGTGCAGGATAAGAAACGAGTTTTTAGTCGGAAAGAGCATTCACTTTCTCTCGCCCTAACTTAAGAACAGGAAAATGCTGGCACTTTGTTTGACAATTTATCAATATAAAAAAAAAGGAAGCCGCTGGATAGATATGCTAATATAATGATGATGAAAAGACTAAAGCATCTAACTTACTAGTTTTTAAGCACACAGGCACGTTCAGCCGGGGTTGCGGGGCAAGTGCGGGCAATAAGTGTACCGCAGTCTCGGTCTGAAGTAGGACAAAGTACCTCTGTTTTAATCAGTAAGGAGTCTACTCATCTCGCCTTACTCTAGGCGAGAGAAGTCATATGATGATTTACTTATAATAGTCTAAGCACTCTAAGCGCTGGACAACGTCCATATCTGTAGGTTAACATTGATGATTGACAGTTATTATACTTACGATAACACAAGTTGTTACATAGGTGTAGGTCAACACACAATGTAAATACATACCTATATATTCAAGGTCACAAGACTAAAAGTCCGCATTACGTTTAGGATATACGTTATAAGTACCTACTTACATAGATAAATAAATAATTAATTACCTGAAAATACAAAGAAACTTGGATCTATTTATTGTAGATAATGCTGCTAAAGAAAGGCTGATAATAAAGTGAAATCAATTATTCTTTTAATGCAATAATATACCTTAATATCAAAGTTTTAAGATTAGTTGTCGATAAGTATCGGTTTACCCGCTATTTATAATTGTGTTATTAAAACAAAGGGCAAATTTTACTTAAGACTCTGTAAAGGTTTCACTTTTATTCTTCCAACCAGAATTAATAAAATGCAGATTTTTAAATGCCAGTATAGAGTACCTATACCTACTAAAAATTAGCGTAGCACTTCGTAAATTTGTTTACTTTGGCATGCATTTTGAGGTCATATAAAATACAAACCTGCTAAATATAGCACAATACTTTCTTTCTTTATAAATACACAGCTGCAATGTCATCGGCCGCAGAAAATGAACTTACATCTTTGTACGTTTACAAAGAGCTTAACAAAATTATGAGATGTGCACAATAAATTGACAATACAATGACTCAATCTACTGCTATCCGGGTCCATTAGTATTTACGTAGGTATCATTTAACAAAGTAGGTACCTACACTTAAATTTTATCTCTTGGTAGGGGTTTCAGGAGGCTCGTCTAAATAGATGAAAGTACTAACGAGTTACTGAATTAGGTTTGAATTTAGTACCTAATACTTACCCTTATAGCAATTGGCGAAAATTTTATCATTGACAGTATGTATGAAAATGCACTTGACATGAAAAACGCTTCGAAATGCCTTTTCTCCTAATATGTATTACTAGCTTCTGTCGCGCTGTTGCGTTGCTCGGCTCCTACAAATCGTTGCGTGATGTTTTATAGCCTTAAGCCTTCCTCGATAAATGTACTAACAAACCCAAAATAATTCTTCAATGCGAACCAGTAGTTTTGGAGATTAGCGCGTTCATGCAAACAAAAAGCTTCAGCTTTATAATATGTATTAGTATGGATATAGGATACTTAAATAATAAATATAAATGCCTCATTACCAACAGATGATCCGTCTGCTTCTTTGCCCCCAATCGCATAAACCTTTCTCCAATATATAAATTAACATTATAATTCATCCCTAGGTATACACAGCCAAAACTGCAGCAGAGAACCGTGTCCACTCCCTCAAAGAGCTATCATGGGCGAAGGCTAACGCGCTGCTGACCACAGCTTACGGACAGAAGGTAGTGCACAGCGTCGATGCTGGTGCATCATACGCCATGCAGTTGCTTGACCACTACCTGCCCGCTGTCGGAGCTCAGGAGGAATCTAGCAGTAAGTTAAGAAATAATTTACAACCTAATCAAATTCTTTCCTGCCCATATCCCAAGGTATTAATAATTGACACCAAATTATGACTTTTTAATGATTAAAAAAATATGTTAGTAGGTATGCCTAAATTGCTGGAATACTTTTGCTGAATTTATACTGTCACGATAGATTTTAATAACGCTGTAAGCAAAGAAAGTAGCAGAAAAAAGTTAAAGAGAATGAAAGTTTACGTTTTAACTTTCATATAGGTTCCCGATAAGATTATATGGCACATAATGCATACAAATTACGCACCTATTATGTATACACAAACCCGGATGAAAAGCCCAAGTGTTATTACAAACTATAATCTATTTCTGTGCCAATACATCCATCTATACTTACAAACCTTCACATTTATAATATTAGGAATTATCTGGTACACAATAGCTATTCAGACATTGTAAAAGAGGGCTTAAGTGAAAAAGCATATGGCCTACAGATTGAGGGCCATAAGTCTGTATTTCGCTACTGATATTGAATTCAAGTCCTCAAATACAGGTTTAATGTACAATGCCCTCAGAAGATAATCTTTTATCTTAATCTTGAGATATGAAGCAGGACTTGGAAGCTCATTAACGTGTTGAATTAATTAATACTGAGACAAAACAACAATATTTTGTTGTATAATTGTTACAAGGGCAGACATGAGTAGCCAGTAGCTAGATACTAAAGGAATTTGTATCTATGTAAGCAATTTATTGAACATTCCAACTTGGCATTTAGTCTTTTGCTGATTAGCATTGTGCTAGTTTGAAATAATTACACAGCTCTTTTAATATTGGTGTTAATACTCTTAATATGTAGGTACTTACTAGTTTTTTCCTTATACATGTAATGACCCAGTTCCCTATACAAATGTATCTAAACTTTCCTCCAATTTTTGGGTTGGTTTTTTGAACAAAAGTGTGCCTTTGGGGTTAAAAAATTTTGCCGGGGTTGTGAGTCGAGCGCAATTAATACCTTGGTTTTAGTCAGTAAGAGTCTGACATTCCCCCTCGCTATATCCTAGGCGAGAAAAGTAATTTAGTTATTATATGATCTCTTAAAAAAAATGGTGAAAAATTTGCCTTTTTATTACTTAGGTCAGATTAAAAGCATGGTTTATATTATCTTAGCTTGTAAGTGCATGTCAACTTGTAGTTAGAGCGAAGTTGACAATTTATGAAGAATGTAATGATTTGTTAATTGTAGATGAAATTGTAGCCGTGTCCAACGATCCGGCGCTGCATACTGTCCAGACTGTTGGCCGGCTGAGCGCCGTCGCAGCGCGCCGAGTGTGGGCCAACCTCGCGTACAAAGTGAACGAGCTTAGGAACTCAGGTAAATTGAATAATATTTTTGTAAACTAAATTGTACAGAAAATGATGAGGCGATCATCTAGAATCATCATTAGCTAAAACAACTAAAGCGTTGTGTTTAGCCATGGTACTATGGTGCTGGAGGCCCAAACCTTCCCCAACCTCCAATTCTCTAATTCATAAAAACTTTAGTTCCACTGATGTCGGTCGTGTCCATGATATAGATCCGCTTACCATCAGGCGTTCGGTAGGCACTTCTGCCGCCTTACCTCATAAAATAGATGTGCCAGAATAGTATTATTTGGCGTTCCATTTCCATTGACTATGCTTATCCGAATGGAAGGCATAACGATATGTATGTATACGTTTTATCCTTCATAAGGATAAAACTATATTATAGTTGTTGACCATTGATAGGGATATTTAGATACAACATTTAATGGTCTGTGTTGAGTTTGTAACTATAGCTAAAAATAGCTTATAGGTAAATTTTGAAGAGTAGGTACGTAATATTGCAGTTGATGACTACATTAGGTACTTGTGAAATGGACTTTGTAGTTGATTCATGATTCGCACATTTATGTGTAAAGTTGGAATTAGTATAGTGGACTGTATGATGATGCAAAAGTGTCCAGCCTTATGAAAACACATTGTTGTACTGGGTTTACGTGTGATGTGAAATATTGTGAATAAGCACACAATATATGGGAGAAAATCCTAGTGAAGGACGTTTTTTTAAGACAAATTAAAATTATTCTTATCGTATATTAATAAAACGTCTATATTATTATAACAACGCAACATTGTAATGTACGTATTACCAAAACAATAGCTGTCAATACAAGTAACATTTAATTTAATATGCAAATAAATGCAAATGTATACTTTCAAACATTCACCTTTATCGACCTTCAGCGACTTTATCATATTGGAAGTCAATCTTATCGTGAACGTCATTGATAATATATTACTGCGTCACATCTTGTAGGGTAGGCAGAGATTAACAAAACATGTAATCCTACTTCTCTACCTTTCACCAGCTGTTTTATAAATCCAATGAAATAATAGACTTTGGAATATGACCTATGGGTCTAGATATTGCCAAAATACGGTTCTAGGCGCCGTGCTATTACTGAGAAAACTTTGAGAACCCGTGAAAACCTAACATTACTTTTCTCGAGTCAGACTATAATGTACAATTGACATTGTTGCAGGTGTGGAACTGGATGTACGTCGGTATGTCACCGCCTTGTTAGCGGCCCTACATCTTGCGAAGGTCACCAGTGACCAGCAACAGCAAGAGAAAGAGGAACAGGAGAAGGAGAAAGAAAAGTCCCAAACGGCAGAGCCTGCGCCCCCTGCATCGGCTACATCCACCCCTCCCAAGAACACCGAAGAATCCTCCCCTACCACCGCCAACCGAGTGAAATCTACACCTGAATCCAAGTCTACAGAAACTTCTAATTAAATCTTTATATTCATTTTTATTATAATTAATAATAATTATTATGTTTTACTTTAAGCCGCAGGCGCAGTTATTTTTAGCGGGTTGCAATTTTCAGCGTCGTGCGATAACTGTCCTCATATAGAATGAGGTCGCCAAACATTCACACTCGCTAATAATAACAATGCGTTTGTCCTTAGTTAAGTTACGGCCACAATGCCGGTATACAGGCTGTACCCACATTGTTATGGCGCATTTAATGTATTTATAATAATCAAAGACTGTCGATATGTCTTCAATAATCAATTATTTATCGCATATAAGCGACATATTGTAATGAAGCTATTTTATATCATTGTAGCGAATTTTTAATCGCATTTTAATAAAATAATTTTATACAAATAAAACGCAGTTTCATTTCTTAAATATTAATTTAATACGCAATATGTTTCAAAGAGAATGTTAATTAATTTGTTTGATTCTTAGGCCTCTTGATAATTTGTAGATATGATACGTGATATGAGATTAGAGTCTGACGTTAGCTTACACGGATATTTAGTGTTACATAGGGTAATAAATACTGTAAAGTTTATAAATGTAGAAATGTATACAAATGATTTGGAATCGCACAGTCTTTTCAACACCGCGCGGGGCGGCTGTCCGGTCTACCAGTAAGAGGTACCGCTTGCCAGTTGCGACATCCCATCGATGCAGTACGTGTGAAACATGTCTAACAAACTATGCATGCAGTCTGCGAGTCTCATTTACAGCAATATTACAAACTGGAGGGCTAGTATTGCAAGCGTACCATTCTCAGTAATAATAAAGAGATTTACATAACTTCATCTACTCTATAATTTATACATAACAATTTATTATAAGCGAAACTTTACCAAAATATAATTATGTATGCTTCTTTTGGCACGAACCATTATTATTCATTTACCACAGTTACATAACGATATTGAAAAACTTATATTCATAATTCATAACCAACATTATGTATGTACCAACGTTACGTACATAAAAAGAAGCAGTTCTACCAACATTAAAATTATCACTAAACTAAATTAAGTACATAAGCAGTTGCCATTGATACTGTACTAGGTAAACAACCTCTCAAGTGCAAAAAATATTTTTAATTAAATACCTACTTATAAAATAAAAGCTCTAAATGGAATACAATACGCAAAATAACCACATAATAGTTTATGTAATTAACCTGGTATATGACTATGGAGTACAACAGTTAGGTATTTCAATAAACAACAACTACTTCCCTATTTTGACGATAAATCTGTTATATATTTTACATATTTATATTCATGTACACGCAAGTCGCAGCCCTAATGACATCAATATCAAAACGAGGTTAATTACAATGTTCTAATATCAAAATCCATGACGTTTACAATGTTGTACGTGGTCGCTACGTATGTTGTTGGTGTGTGCCGGGGTCTCTGCACCAGCTTAACCCAGCCCGTGGTCGTCGAAGAAGCCCTGTGGCGTCTCCTCCTGCAACAAGGGGTATCACTGAGCCAGAGTCGCTCGTGGCCATGTTAGACCGAGCCATCGCTTTTCGGTTATCCACACTTTCTTTTTCAAATATTCACTTTAACAACAAAACCTTTTTACCAAAATTAATTAGGAAGTACCTTTACTATAGAAAAAGGTATTTGAAAGTAAAAATGTTTATAACTTGTAAAATATATTTTATTAGAAATATTTTATTTTATCACATAGACATAATATGTATCATGAAACGAAACATTATCGTAGTAGGGATTAATACACATTATTGCACACATAACTCCTTGATTATGTTATTCAAGTCTGCGTCACAAAATCTTTCAATCTTTGATAAATATCCGATAAATTGTATAAAAAAGAAATGCGTAGTTTTAGCACAAAACCTCGAATGAGTTTGCAATTGAAACTCATAAGCTAATATTTTTTTCAAATAGTAATTTCGATACATTTCACCAATTTCATCAAGTAACTTTAAATCTCAACTTGATTAATAGGTACCTACTTACTAGAAAAACTTATTAAACTAATAAACACATTTATAGTGTTTCGTCTTATAATAATAAACAATGAAATTCGATAGGTCATGTCAATAAACAAAAGTAAATAAACTCTGCAAAATAACCTAAGCAAAGAATAAAATTTAAACTTATTTAAATAATAATTCGTTTTTCAACAATCAATAAAATTATAATAGTTCAACAGACCACGTAAATAATATGAACAAACAATAAAATAAAGACAACGAACACAAAAATTAAGTCTAATGAACATTTGAATTTAAATTTTACATCTAGTTTAAGGGAAACTCGGAAATAGTAAACTTACTTCTATTAAATACATTCGATTAATAATTTAAAAAATAATATTTCGTCTTGGTCCACTTTGGCCTGCAGAAACAATTCCGTCAATACGTTTATATAAAATACTTACCTATATATTTAAATGGTTAATGTAATGATAATTTTAAACCAATCTTAAGTATCAGTCGCCAAATAACTACAGTAGAAAATCTACAAGATCATTATTTCTATCTAAAAATGTACGACTGATAATGACAGTCTATAAAAATTCTAATATGTTGTACACATTTAATAATGATATTAAAAATATGATTATGGCAAATGGTGTTTTGGAGTTTTATAGTTAAGTAAAGGCGAGGCGACAGATGGTAGGGCGTCGTCTTAGAACGTCGGTTTTGCAAGTAGAGGGTGGGTGCGCGTCGTCGCCGGCTCGCCGTGTCTAGAGGAGCCCCACCTCCCGTAGCGCCGCGTCCACTGTCTCGTCCTAACACAATCCACGCCGTCAACATGCAGCTAAGCTAGATGCTTCAGTAATTACGTACTTCATGTTCACATCGTACCATGTGTACAGTTGTATACTTCGTAACTACCTACTTTCCTCTCTTTCTTTAATTGGATAAATAATAAAAAAAAACCAGGGCTGGACTCTAATTTGCGATTATACATTTTTGTAAGTTGAGATTTACCTATATATTTTTATTTAGATTAGGGGTCTCTTTTACACAGATTATAAATATGCACTCAGAATTTCTTTCAAATTGTTATTAATGTTAATACGTTATCAAAATTGTAAGAAATATTAGCATGCTGTTAACTGTTACATAATTACTCGTCTAGTCCACGCCAAGGGGAAGCGTTAGAATACCACGAACATACATAGCACCTTTACGACACCACACCGGACACATGGGAATGCCGCACCACGAGTTATTCAAACTGTACAATACATTCTCACATTTTACTTGGACGATACATTTGAATTTTCTTGACCTATTGGGAGAATCATACCATACACAGTTTAAGGTGTGCTAAGAATATGAGGCTAAGATCTGGGCTATACAGTCACAAGAATTTACTCCTAACTCGTGCTACGGCAACTCGGGACGGGGACTCGGTACATGCAAGAAAACAGATTAATTTGTTTATATAATGTATTTCGACAACCCATTACAGTAAATGCATGAACAGCCAGACCATAACCAATTACCAAAAACGACACTGTTTTACAATGTATGTACGTATAATACACGAAGAGATTTTGGAAAAAAATATATTCATGACTCGAAAGAATGACGGCTAAATGTAGAGATTGAGCAATAGGACTTATGCTATTCTCTCGTTGGTAAACATTTTAATTGAGGGTACCGTGTTTCGTGTACAGAAAAGCATGGTAAAGCAGTGTCCAGATACAATGTAATAATAAACTTTAACTACACATATATGTATGAAGCAACGATATACAGATAAACTATTTATGACTAACTATAATGACGCCTCTTTCCCTACTCACAAGTACATAATATCGCATGACAGATCTAGAATAGAGATAATTTGTGTTTCTCTGAGATTTATATTCTGTATGTGTGTGTGATTGTAAATGGAGCTACGTTACTTCTATGTAGCCATGCAAGAGTGGCAAAATATAGTGAATAAAGCTAGATTCTAACTACATATAAGAAAAATAATAATAAAATTAACTACATCATACTTAAATAAATATAAATAAGAAAAGCACATGCAGTAAAAGCTTCAAATATACATATTATATCTAAAATAGTAAACTAATTAGTTTCCAATGTTGTGCGACACATCAGTGTAACAATCCATCGTTCAGGTCCTGACCGCCACCAATGCATGCATTTCACACGAAAACAAAGGAGAAAATTAGCAGAGTGCAGAGGAAGGAGAAGTAAGAAGCAGAGAGTGAGATCACAGCCGGCGGCGCCATGAAGAGTATACACAGTTACTCGTATTAGGATGTTGTACCTAGTATTGAGCAAAAAATTATTCTAATATCTATCGTCAATCACCTGTTCTACAAATTCGCAACATAGGATAACAATCTCTCTGTTAAAAGTAATTGAGCAAAATAACTCTCCAAACGCCGACTGAATCACTCATTTGACTAGTCATTTAGCTTTGAGTTTTGTAAAAATCTAAAACATTTATATTTCTGTATGTGTTAAAGTGCTGAGTATTCAGTTATAATATCATTTACAGTGACTAATATACATTATTAAACAACTTTTTAAATATATTTTTGTTTAGGCACTAACATATCTATCTATTCATAATATTCGTTTTAATATTAAATATTTCAATTTAGCTGTCTATCAAATGACACACATGTAAATGTGTTTAAAAATTTCATGATATGTCGTATTCATTCTGAAGGCATATTTGCTCCACATTATTTTATGGAAATTTTCTTTAATTAAAATTCGATGTTTTTGGACAAATATGTTTCCAGACAAATATTATTTCTACAAACATAGTGTTATTGCACCATAGCTTTAGAAATTGATATGTGTTAGACATTAGTGCTTCTTTGAAGTTAATCTAAAAGGCAGTGCTTCCTACACGCGTACATTAGTGTTACATCTAATACATAATCAAAAGGCACTACTGAGGCCACTGTCCTATCAACTGGTCCACTTTATATACCTATATTTATTTATATATTCAATTTTTAAGACTATAAAACCATCTAGATGCATTGTGACTAGTATGATTCGAATTTATGGCAGTTTCGTTAATTTATGTTCAAATAAATAAGATTTTTTTCTAAATTTTTAAGTTAAATATAGATGTGATAGTAGTCTATTAGTATTTTTTTTTTTTTTATACTGGTAACAATTTTAAAAGAACTGAATAAATTACTGATTGACTAATGTTTTAGGAACTACATAATTAGTATTACTTATAGTACATGTAATTGTTAGAAATTATTGATGAATCAGAATATAGAGTCAGCTTGATTAGTTAAACAGAACACATTTTTGTAATCCTCAAAAATATGAAAATACTTTACAAACACCTAGATAGAATAAACAGTAGCAAAAGTAAAATGATTAACTGATATTGCAACATTATATCATAATCCTGAGTACGGCCCTGTCTATATTGAATTAGTATCTCTCTCTGAATATTACATCACATGCAGATTTTTTGTCATTCACATATTGTGCCGCATATATTAATAATAATTTTTATTTTTGCTCCACATTTACCATCAGCATAATAAATGAAAATTTTACATAAAAGCACATTCAGTAAAGCTACAAAAAATCTGCCTATTCAATTATATCTAAGACCTGCATAACCCATATTATTAATTAGACAAGCTCATTATCCTGACTACTGACCTCTTGGAGTAGATCCTGTGCAGCAATGGCTTTCAGGACATTCTTCTTGCTTGTCTCCTGCAGCTCACCACCAAGCACCAGCTCATCCAGAATGAAGTATGCCTTCTCAAAGTTGAAGATTATATCAAGCTCACATACCTGGAAAAAGGAATAGTATGTTAATTAATGAATTTGTTTTTGGTAAGGTTTTGCTTATGAGTTGCTGGATGGCTGGCTGATATTCTATGGCTGGAGATTCAATCCATCAATGTATAATAACACACCTTATAATTTAAGGATTAATAGTGTGGAAATTACACAATAATTTACTTTCCACCAGTTAAAACAAGTCACAATGTTCCAATAGCAACTGCAGACTGAAAGATCAGACATTACAACATGTTTTATTGACTTGGACCAGGACCCTGTGTTGGGTCATTTAGGTAGTTAGTTTGCACCTCTACTCAATCAACAAAGAGTTCAGTGTTACCATAAAATAATAAACATACTCACACTGCCAAAGTACTTGTCAAGCAGTTCCACATAGCGATGTATCAGCTCAAGGGTCAACAATTCATTGTCTTCCTGCTCCATTGCACAACAAAAGTACAGAGATGCATATCTGTTGACAAAGTTGACAGCTATGTTATTTATTTGTTTGCATTTGATTTATCAAACTCCAAGAAAATGATGGTGTTTGTGCATGTACTGTCTTACTGTTGTGTCTCATATTATCATGATTGAAAGGTTCATATTAAATACAGCTAGCTTATAAAAATGTTGAAGTAAATGTGAAATTCATAATCACATTTTGTTTTTATTAATAAGAATCTAACAGGGTAGATTAATGTCTATTTTATGAAGATGAAACATCATGTGTTAACATGATAACATTCACAATAACACAAAATTGTTACCACTAATTATTATCAGTGATATAATATGTTTAAGTATCAAAAAGTTGTGTACCGTTTGTAAACTATTTTGACATCTTTCCACTCCAAAAATGAACACATCTTAGGTTTCCTGGCCAGCACAGTAGTTATAAGTTCACGTGTGATCTTCTTCTTCAGTTTATCAGGGTGCGCCACGTACCATTTCTGCAGTCTTAGCTTGCCTTGCCGGCTGAATAACAACATAAACTGCATCTGAAATAGAAAGATTTCGGAACTTAACATTTAAGCAATTTCAATATCATTTATATCCCGAAACTGAAAAATTTAAATCTGGCTCTTCTAAACTCAACTGAAGATACATTTTTACGATGAAATGAATTCACAAACAAAAAAACAGGGATGAAAAATTAAGGAAATCATTGCTCATTAGAGGTTACTTACCATCTTTGAATCTTAAACCTAAGTCCAACAATAATGTAAAAAGGAATGTTTAATACTTTTGGGCATAAATTTATAACTTTACTACATATTTTTCCTTGAATACAATTAAAATACAGCCAAAATAATTGTTGGCTGACGTGACGACATGATCAATATCATTGATGGATGACGTCATACGAATGTTGACAGAACATACGATAGAAATACAGACTATCTCAAAAAAATTTAAGTAATTGGATTAGTCGATTTTAATGAATCGAAACTGTTATGGTTTCTTTTTGAAGTGAACAAATTGTTGAATATCATACCCACTAATTGTGGAATTAAAAATACTTAATGCCTAGGTGGCTAAAAAAAACAGAGTAATGTAAGATAATCTTGATTCTGTAGTGAAAATGTCTATTTTTTATTTTGGTGACATTGAGGCTGTTGAGAAAGGGTATTCCATGGGGTATTCATATTTTTTCATGAATAGCAAACGAGTCTTGAATACTGATTGTCGACTATACACTTATACATGAGACACTTATACTATTTATAAATTCATACCTAAGGTATCATCTCTATTCTCTGATAACAGGTGACATTGACATTAGTGACAGAAAAGCAAAGTATTTCTTTCGTCTGCGGTCTTACCATTATTATACCTACTCATTTTAATTGCAAGCGATTTTCTTCAATTGAACATATGGCAAAAGTATTCAAGCCATTATTATACACACTGTAACTACTTGTATAACACCACACTCAAAAGGTCACAGATAGATAAATAAAAAATGGTAAGCATTAGTTTATTTTTGTAATTTGTTTACTACGTTTTGGCAAACTTTAGATAACGTACTGACCTAAAATAGCTTAATTTCAAATATGTGATCTGGTTGAAATATAGGTGTATAAACAATTATGACACCTACCTATCTCTAAGTCTAGAAAATTATAACTTAGCAGAACTAATATCTCTTAATCTTATTATATTTACCTACTTTTTATATATATTTTAAAATATAATGGTGTTTGAGTAAGATAATATCTAAAAAGTATTGGCATTGATTAATTTTACTACTTCATTCCTGAACTGCTTATTGTTAACAAGTAATTATCAATTGATTTATCTTTTAGGCTCAAGTTTCAGCAACTGGTTCATCGGTTGGTGGAGCAGGAGGAGACAGTGAGGGAGAGGAGCAGGAAGACCCCTCATCGTCTTCACCAGATGAAGTACTAGAAGTTGGTGATTCACTCAAGAAATTAAATGTTCAAGATGAGACACAGGTTCATAAAAATACTTATTGGATTTTTCTTTTAAAGTTTATGTCCTACACTTCTGAGTTTAATATCAAACCATTATCATTTCATAAATGTTGTTGTAACTGGTAAATAAGAATGGATAGGTTAGTAAAGAGGTATGTAACAAGAAAGTAAACTGTGCAAGTTTAATTTCATATCATGCGGGATGGGTTCTGTAACATTATTTAAAAAAGAACACTTTTTAAAAATTGTAAAATAATCTTTATTTTTTGTTTATTTTGTTTCATTTTTTGGTATTAAAGTGGTATTGTTTAGAATTAAGTATGTTGCTATGTACCATCCACCAATTGAAACTTGGTATCACAAAATTTCTCAATGTGTAAAATAATATATTTTAACAAAAAAAAAAATTATAATGTTAAACTGTTTAGGTATCAGCCTAGTTATTAGCTAAAATCTTCTTCAAAACAAATTAATAAGGAAGTCATCATATAAACAAAATGTGCTGCTTATCTCAAATTACATAAAACCATTATTATCATAAGCAGCATTATTACACATGTATTTCTCTTATTGTGTAATTCACAAAAAATACTACATGCCTATAGTCTGTCTTTTTATGTATTTATAAGGGCTGATTTTTCAATAGTCAGATACATGTTATCTGACACATTAAATTGTTTCTATCACTGTCTTATACAAACATTCTGATGCGACAGCATCATAATTATTTCGTAGATAACTTTTATCTAACCATAAAAAAATCAGCCTAATTACTGCATAGAGCGAGACATACAAACTGTATAGTGTAGGTCGAGGAAAATGGAAAATAATGTCTTGTCGTAATCAGTAATCTATTCAAATCTACTTAAATATTATTAGGGACTCTTTATTTGCCACCAATTGATATGATTTTTTTATTAAGTTCTGAAGACAATTTCAAAAAATACCTGTAGTTCTCAGCATGACAGGAATAAATAGCAGAAATCAATATCAGTTCTGTATCAGTCTGTTTTTTCTTATCACTGATATTATTCAGATCCAGTAATAGTCATTAAATGTTGCTGTAAAACTGTTGCAAGTCATGGTTATTGTTGGTGTTTGTTAACCTTGACAAGACATGTATAGCATAAATATAGTGAGACACAGAAAATGTAGGTATTGAAAAGACCGATTTAATCATGTGAATGTCTTTATTAAAAAACAAACCTCTCGTGAGTTATCTGAGGAAAGCTTTACTTGTTGTTTTCAATAAATGTTTGGTAATAATTTTTATTAGGTATATCTTTATTATTAACGAATAATTAAGTTAATAAATTATTATTATATGATATAACATCAAAACTAAAAGAATTGTCACAGCTCCTGTTTCCTTTAATAAAAATATTTCTTTGTTTAGAATGCCAATGACGAGCTGGCGGCCTTCCGCCAGCAGTGGCAGCGAGAATTGGAGGCCAATGCTACCCCGAAAAGGACGACGCCTCCGAAGCAGAAGCAATTTACTGAACCTATCTCTGATGAAGAAAAGGTACTTTGTGGATTAATAATAAAATAAGTATTTTTAGAGCAGAAAGCCCTTTTTTGTTATGGCATTAAGTGTGGGAGAGCTATGCTTCGGCACGAATGGGTCGACTCGACCGGAGTGATACCACGGCCTCACAGAAAACCGGCGTGAAACAACCACAGCGTTGTGTTTCACCGTGTGAGTGAGGTAACTGGAGGCCCAATCCTACCCCCTCCTTCAACCGAAAATTTCCAAATCCTTAATCTCTAAAAGCTCGGCAACGCAATCGTAATTCCATATAAGTATACATGGGCGGCGCTGATTGCTTTTCATCAGGTTATTCAAATACTTTATGCCGACCTATATCACAAAAGAAATGGCCATTATCTGTATTTGTTTTTACCATTTTAATTTCAGTGGATTGGCTGAATTGGGAAAAAGGAGAGGGCGGAATTTTGACTTCGATACTCGCTCTGCTAAACCCATCTTAGGCGTTGTTCCCCCCAATTTTTTTTTGATTCCGTAGAATCAGTCCGGTCGAGCCGTTCCCATTCATACTGAAGCATAGCTCTCCCATGCTTGATGTTTATGATTACTTCATTAAAAATGCTCATCATCATCAGCCTATAAGCCTCTTCTCATACGGAGAAGGTTAGAGCATTAATCACCACGCTTGCTCAATGCGGGTTGGCGATTTCAAACTTATAATTATTATTAGAAATTATAAGTCCAGGTTTCCTCACGATGTTTACCTTCACCGTATGCCAGTGGTGTCGAAATAATCATAGAAAGTACATATAACTCGGAAAAAGTCACATTGGTATTTGCCAGGTTTCGAACCCACGCCCTCATGAGAAGTGGGTTGCTTAACCTCCGGGCCACCACGACACCTTTCATCAAGGAAAAACATTAGCAGTTTTCTACTTAAAACATTAACCTTTCAAATGATGATTTAGGCAAAACAGTTGTTCCTGAGCGGCATAGAGATGGAGCGCCGTGGCAGGCTGTACGAAGCCATCCAGCATTACAAGTACTCTCTGCAGATACTGCCCGATGTTGAGAAGCGCTTGCATAATGAATTACAGGCCGAAATACCTGAAGGTAAGCCAAATGAGGAGATCGACAAATTGTTAAGAAAAATAAATTGACTAATAAAGTCTCTAGTGGCGTAGGGATCTAGAAAGCCTAGGAGGAAAATATGGGCTAGCTAGCAAGAATGCGTGTCGCATTAGGTATACTTATATAGTCCTTTGGTTTTTTCAAATGTAGATAGATAGATTACTCTTTATTGTACACCATAATAAAAACTACAGGAAACAGCAACCATAAAAACAGTACAATTGGCGGTCTTATCGCTAAAAAGCAATTTCTTCCAGACAGCCTTTGGATGGAGTTTAACTGAAGAAGAATTTAACATGGGCAGTTTGTGGCGTATCTATTATGTTTGAGGATATTAAGAATAAATAAATAATTAAGTAGAAGAAAAAGAAATACTCCAAATGAAATACAACAATATAGCTATGATAGGATACTTTATTTAGCCATGTCATCCTTAACCATTCCTTTTAAACTGATTATCGACTGCGCACGTCAAATCTCGCAAGTACTTAATAAAAAAGAGCAAAAGTTAAAAAATACTGTCATTAAAATCAGCACAATTATTTAGTTTTTTCTCTCGTCTCTTTTGTACAGAGGAGGTGATAGAGACAGAAGATAGAGTACCAAAGGTGGTCTATGCTGAAGACGATGAAGAGGAAATCGAAGGAGAAGACCGCAGCTTAGCGAGCAAGTTTAGGAGGATCCTCGAATCGAAGGGGGCTCTGTGCGAACCTGAGATCGAGACTAGGGTGAGTCTTAGTTAGATAAACTTTATTGATAATATATTTGTCGTGAATATGCAATTTTGTAAAATGCTTGAGATACTTCGTGAAATGGTTCCATTTGATAACGTGAGCAAGGTATAGGTTTAGAACACTAAAAGGCGAGGTCCTGGAGGGGCGCGGTAGTTTTAAATCATTAAGTCTGACATTTCCTCTCGTAGCATTTCATACTATTCGTTTTACAAATAACGTGCACTAAATTATAAGTGAAATATTTTCCTTATAAACATAGAACACAATTTACCTTTCAAGGCCCAATCCTTCCCCGCCCCCAATCCCTCCTCAATCCCCAAATCCCTAATCCCTAAAAGGTCGGCAACGCACTCGTAAATCCTCCGTTGCGGGTGTCCATGGGCGGCGCTGATTACTTACCATCAGGTTATCCGTCGGCGCGTTTGCCGATCTATTACATAAAAAAAAAATCGTGACAATTCGAGACAAAATAGAAGAACAATTGGTGCGCGAACGCCTGCGTTCGCTTGTGGTTTGATGAATTAAGTCATAGTTTGCTTTGTTGCTGTGACCAATGACTGTGTTCTAAGGGTCACTTATCTTTTTATAGAATATGTTGGCAAACGAGCGGGTTGATCACCTGTATGCAATAGGCGCACTGGACACCCGCAACACCAAAAGAGTTACACGTGGGTTGCCGGCGCTTTGCGAATTGGGATTAAGGGATCAGGATTAGAGGTTGGGATTAGGGAAGAGAAGGATGGGCCTCTAAGAACTTCACTCACTCACTCACCGCAAGCTTTATTTTACTCCGGTCGAGCCGGGCTGGCATGTCAAGAAATGTCTCTTCCCACTTTTTAAAATTTTTACTCATTTTGTAGGTATGTGACTTACATATAGATAGAATGAGTAAGAACTTTCCATCAGGGTCAAGCGCGAACCTATAATCAATAAAAAATAAAAAAAAGAACTAGGTATGAAAATTATTAATCCACAAATTCCTAGTGAACAAATATCAACAAACAATGAACACAAGTGTATAAATATGAATGTAATCTTTAATTAGGATCATTGACATGGCAATAATAGTAGGTAATACAAAGTTTATGCCAGCAGTGATCTGCTCTTTTTCTTATAGTAATCTATTTTTCCTCTCAATAGCTCTTCTTCCAAGTCCAAGTTTCTAGATTTCCTCTTTTCGTTTTCCATTTGTATTGCATGTAGCTCTTTTCTACATTTCATTTCAAGGTTCGTTATATTTGTTGAGCACGTGTTAGAAGTCTGTAATTTTAAAATAAGTATGAAGGTATTTATTATTTAGTCATATACTTGTGACAAATATTAGAAAAAATATATTTGCAGCTTACTTTGCTCCCAGAAGGTTTCTGTTTTTTCCTGGTATTTGTAGATATGGACTGAAACGGAATGGCATAATGTATAGTGTATGCTCTTATAATGTGAGCTTCGAGATTAACTTACTATAGTTTTTTATGGGATATGTTGGCAAACGCGCCGATAACCTGATGGTTAACACGTTAACCGCCACGTAGGTCACCGGTGACCTACGGTAGCGGAGGATTTGCCTTCAATGTTTTTCTGTCGGCAGTCAAAGGCTTAAGCTATAGGCGGCGCTCATGGACACCCGTAATACTAAAGGAATTTAGTCGGCTTGGAGATTGAGGAAAGGGGATATTGAGCCTCCGGTAACCTCACTCACACGGCGAAACACAACGTAAATGTTCTTTCACGCCGGTATTCTGTGAGGCCGTGGTTTCATTCCGGTCGAGCCGACACATTATCACGCCGAAGCATGGCTCTCTCACACTGAATACTCATGTATATGAAGAAAGATAATTGTCAAACTAGAACGAACGTAACAAAATAAATGCTCATCTTCATACCTCATTGCCATTTTGTTTCTTGTTTAGTACTTCTTCTTTCATGTCCTCTTTTTGAGTAGAACATGGAATATCCTGGAACATTTTCAAATAACATACATATTTAGTTAATGCAGTCCTTTTAGTTTTTTAATCTATACTATCACAATTATTTACCTCAATCATAATTTCATCCTCATTTATTACTAATCTAATTGAATCTGTTGATGACGATCTCTCTGCCAGTTTAGGTTTGACCTACAATAAAAAAAGAAAATAGAAAAAAAAATCAAAAACAATTATTCTTCAATGTAAATAACTAATAGTTTTTATTTACCTGGTGATTGTCATCGTGGTTAGTTTTAGTTTTTTCCAACATGAAATCGAATGGTAGCTTGGTGACATCATCTTTATTAGGGCCCTCTAGCGGTAGTGTGTCGCCCCCTTCTGCAATAATTTGCTTCCGCCCCTCCATTTTCATTCTCTTTGTGTTCATTTTTATAATGCCCCATTGCGATTTCAATTGTGATATAGTGCGTTTACCGCCCGTGCACATACTGTTAAAACTGCAACGAAAATTAATTATTAATATTAAAAAAATATTCACATTTTATTTTTATTTATTTGTTATTTTTAGAGCTGGTGAACATAATTAATGTCTCGTCCATAGTTAGTCTGAGTACGAATAAGTATATCTGGTTAGGGCCTCCAAGCTACCAAATAACTCATTCATTTTTATTTTTAGCGTCGAGAGGATTAAAATTTCTTTACAAAAAATATTTTATAAAAAATCCTGTCCCGTTTGTTTTAATCTGCAACCCCTACAGTTGACTAGTAGCAAATGTCAACAATGTATTTTATCTCATATAAATTATTAATATCTGGACTAGCCCGCAGGGTCTCGAAACAAGAAAAATAAGTACAGAATAAAGTTTGTAGATACCTGCTTTGTAAGTCTCCCCAAGCGGCCTGCTTTTTCGTATTCGTATTTGTATCAGTGTTTTTATTTTCTATATCGGAAACTTTTTCTTTTACCAGTTCTGTCAAGAGAATCTGTAGAAATAAAAGACGTTATTAATACAATAAATGTATGTGATGGGGCCTACTATGGGTGAGGGGATAATCATCATATGATTTCTGGGAATGTCAGACTCTTACTGACTAAAAACCCCGTTCCTTCTCCTGCTCTGGGCCGAGGTCGCGGTGCCTCATTGCGCTTACCCCGCAGCCCCGGCGGGGCCTACCGTGGGTGCAAACTCAATAATGGATTACGGCGCTTTATATTTTTAATACTACTTTTTCCCCTATTACAATACTAACCTTGTCTTGTTCAAACCAATTTTCACTTCTTTGTCTCTTTTTATGAACTCGATTTTCCATTGTGAACAATATTTCTTCTTTTGTGTGTGTTCTCCTAAATTTTCAAAACACAGATCAATAACTAAAAACTCTATACGTTTATTTAACGTTTTAATTATTGCATTTATTTGTAAAACATCCAATAATCGTCGTTTAGCAATGGACGTATTTTATTTTAGCATTATTATTTTGTCATCTTGACATGTCTATGGCTAAAACGATTTCTTGCTTAGTAAAAACTCTTTTCACTGCTATCTTAATCCGATATTTTTTTCTTTGTTCGGAGGTCCGTTATTTACGAGACGGACTTAAAGCAAGGGTTCCGTCCACGTCAAATATTGTTTTTAAAATAATTAATTATTGTTTAATAAAATTGTTCGAAGGTGTAGGCCAGTCTTCCTTAGAAAAGTATTTTGTTAGACAAATTGATATTTTGTATCTACGTAGGTGTACTAAAGCTATATATTATAAGTGCATTCATGTGTTTGAGCCATACTTCGGCACGATACCACGTCCATACAAAATACCTGCGCAATAGTCCCGTGATGTTTCGCTAAGTTAGTAAGGTTACCGGAGGCCCTAATCAATCTTTTGTATTTCGTATTTATTAGTAGGAAATTTCGCTTTGCTCATTTATATTCTGGGATCACATCACACCATCAGCCTATAAGTGCTTAACTACTGAGCAAAGGCCTCTTCTCACACGGAGAAAGGTTTAGAGCATTAATCACCATGCTTGCTCAGTGCGGGTTGGCGATTTCAAACTTATAATTAAAAATTATAAGTCCAGGCTTCTTCACGATGTCAGGGTTAAGCGCAATAAGTCACCGCGGCCTCGGCCCAGAGCAAGAGAAGGAACGGGGGTTTTTAGTCAGTAAGTCTGACACTCTCTCTCGCCTTACCCTGGGTGGAAGAGGTCATGTGATTTGATTTTCCCCTGACAAAGAAAGGCTTCCTCACGATGTTTGCCCAGAATGTCAGTAATGTCTAAATAATCATAGAGGGTACCTACATATAACTTGGAAAATGTCACATTGGTACTTGCCAGGATTTCCACCTCGTGCGAAGCAACCGCCTTAACCTCCGCGCCACCACTCAGTATTCTGGAATACTACTACTAATTATAAGAACTATTAGTCGATTTATCCACTATGGTCTATTGCGTGTTAAAAATGAGATTGTTCATAAGAATAGCTGGCGATGTTTACCAGAGACTTGCTACAGAATATTTTGTTGATGGAACTGTCATCATCTTCCAGCAAACTCTTGTGTACAGGACGCCCACATTTCCTGGCTGCCGTACGAAGTGGTTATAGAGATACTTCGCTGGGTGGTCAGCTCTGAGCTGGATGTCTTCTCACTGGACCAGGTATCCAATGTCTGCCGTGGACTGTACGTTGCCGCCAGAGAACCAGCCATTTGGCGCTCGCTTTGTGTCAAGTAAGTTATTAATAATATTCGATTTAGTCTTAGTCAGAAAATTAGGTAATTATCTGATTGAAGTGTTTAGGTGATAGGACGCCAAATGAGCTGACGGATTACCTGATGGTAAGCAATCAGCGCCGCCCATGGATACCCGCAACAACGAAAGAGTTACGAGTGTGTTACCTACCCTTTTGGAGATTTGGGTATTGGGGGTTTGAGGATCGGAGGTTTGGGGATTGGGGATTTGGAAATTGGGGACGGATTGGGTGTGGGGAAAGATAGGGCATAATGTAGTAAGTCTTTTTATCTAAAAACTCCAATTTTGGAAAAATAATGTAGCTGAGAAGGAATATATCGTTTATTTTCCATCATTCTTGAATTATACATATTTAATAAAGTTGCTTTTTCAAGGTTTTCGTTAGTTTTTGATGCTAATTGTAATATTGTAATGTATCCAGTACATGGGGCGTCGAGTGCGACACCATGGCACCGCACCCCTACATTTCGTGGCGTCAGATGTACATGGCGCGGCCCCGGGTGCACTTGCATGGGGTCTACATTAGCAAGACGACGTACGTGCGACATGGAGACAAGTGCTACCAGAACGAGTTCTATCAGTCCTGGTTCCTCATTGACTACTATCGGTACATCAGGTTAGTTAAAACACATTAGTGTATATTAAAATACTAGCTTCCGCCTTCAGCTTCGCCCGCGAGGTATGTTGATAAAAAGTAGCCTATGCCCCTATTCCGGAGTGTATCCTATGCCAAATTTGATCCAGATCGGTCCAGCTGTTTTGGCGCGATTGAGTAAGAAACATCCCAACATCGTAACTTCCACATTTATAATGTTAGTAAGATAGTGAGATAGTAAGTTAGTAAGATAGTGATATAAGAAGATTGGAACTATATTTGGGTTACAATTTAATCAATTGCCTAGGTAAACATAATATATTATAGATAAATAGCCACCGACCATCGTCCCGCCAAAAGTCTTGCCTCCCACCTCGCCGCGAATACTTAAAGGAGTTCACAGCACTAATGGTCACACTACAACCTCCTTTGCAAAAAGAGATAGCTTACATACTGAACCCTGTTTTTGTTGGTAACTTTTTTCATCTACAATGCTACTGTCATAAATATGAGTGATGCCGTTTACGTCTAGAAAAAAAAAACTCTTTTGTCGTTTCCCGCTAGAATTATAAAAATGGTTAGCGTATCATTGAGGTTCTGTTTTTTAAATTATTTTAAGTTAATATAAACTTTTTAATTATATACTTTACGCTGCGCTAGTTAAGCTAAGTATTTTTTACATATAGCTGGCATACAATAGGCATTGAAATAGACACAGTAATTGGACTAATATTTTTAACGCTAAAGTTTTTAAGATATATACAGGGTGTAAGGGACAGCCTTCCGCAAACTGATAGGGTGGATTCAGTATATCGTCTTAAGTTGACCGGTACATGAAATTATTTCAGGAACGTTATGGGAATCCAATTAAACCGATTTGTTTCATTACCTTACACGCAATGTATCGCTACCACCGCAAACGCACGCAGCGAACGGCAGCGCTTTTAGTATTATTACTTTACACTATGGGCAGCGCCGCGACCTTACGTTCAGACAAACGGTCGCGCTCGCGCCACGTTTTAATAACAATAAATTATTATTTAAAAGATAGCCGCATTACTTACAAAAGACAATGTAATAATCGCGCTCGCGCCACGTTTTAATAACAATAAATTATTATTTAAAAGATAGCTGCATTACTTACAAAAAAAAATCTAACAATCATAACATGAACTGATAAATGATAAAAATGCGTAGGTACCTTAGAATCGCTCCGGTTTCCGGCTCTGGAAAGCATTTGTGATGCGGTCTCGCATTTCGTACTCACTTGCACACGCACTCACAAACACTTTTTCTTTTACGTAACCCCACAAAAAGGGGTCCAAATGGGTTAGGTCTGGGGATCGTGCTGGCCACGGTTGCGGTCCAAACCTACCTAAACTACGTTTAAATAGGAAAGCGCTGGTAAGTGGTAGCGTCTCGTTACGTTAGCGAACCAATTCCAAAATCCACGTAGGTATTGGTCTTCCGGCGCCTTTTTGTCTGGGAACAATGGGCTGGTTTTCTAGCAAGCGTTGATAGTCACCAGTAATTATCCTGGAGTCTGATGGATGGCGACGGTCAGGATACCTACACTACTACAACACATTATCATCTCCCCATAATCAAGCGCCCTAAACGTACCTAGGTAGTAATTTCGCACAATTTCTACAACAAAACTTCACTACACTTCACACACTACATAACTAATAAAACTTAACAACACTACTTATAACAAAACTTTTAAGCCGAATGCGCGAGCGATCCGTGCCGACACACGCTCGCGGTACACAAACAATAACATCGCAGCAAGCACAGTATAAATATCATACAGTATTTTAACTCGGCCGCTTGAAAGAAATAAATACCTACAGCCGCGCGGTACGTAAACATGCGTTAGGGCTGCTCGTCTCCAGTATTTTAATTACCTTTGTCTACTTTCTGTTTCCATTTAGTTTTGTGATTGTAAATATCCTTTTTTTTATATAAACAAATAAAGTGCTTTAAAAATAAACAAACAAAATTTCTTTGGCCACTAATGCCGAACTGAACAGCTGACTACGAATGTTCTAAAATCACAACCCTCAAACATCAAAATATTACATGAGTCTAGCTGTTTTATTGTTGTTATTAAATATTTTCTAGTATTATTCATAAACGCAGAAAATGAACAAATATTATTAATAATAAAATACCACACTCTCTACTTTGAATTATACAAACTAACAAAACATACATGAACCGTTTTAACGTTTTAACACAAGCGTAAGTAGGTAGGTACCTAACGTATCGTGATTCATTCAGAACCAGAACCGCCTATAACTACCTATTTCACTCGTCTCAATAACTTTATTCATATTAGGTATTTATAAATTCAAACATCTGTGTTCGTGAGATAACTGGAAATAATGATCCATAAAGACACACTAGGCTACTAGAGCCTAGGTAGGTACATAATGTCTGTCTAAGTAAAATTATTTTATAGTCTTACCTTTCAGAGTTTCCAGGTAATTTAAAAAAAACTTATGTCTGGATGCGTTATTGACGAATTCATGCAACCAAACATATTAACAACACAATATTTCCTATTCGTCATATTAAATAATGTACTCGAGCTGATTTCTAAATAAAAGACAACACACCGTCCGTTCGTCACTGCGGTACAGCCGCGTCTGTCTGCGTCCCGAGCGCGTCCCGACATCGGGCGCGTAGGTATAGTTCGCGTTTCGGCCGTTTCTATGAAGTTGAAATACTTGTAGATATTATTACCTTGCAGCAAGGCACAATGGCGACTGCATGTGATGAGACACACACAAACATAAATCTGTTGTTGCCAATTACACGAAAATTACAAAATTTCGGGGTAAAAAATAAAAAATTATGCATGGTCGTAATTTATCATTCTGTTATTTTTTGTAGAGAAATGAATAGATTAAATCAATTTAATTCTAATTTCATTGTTTAGTTAATTTAGAATAATAAAAGTGCAGTGTGATAGAAAGCTGTGCTTCCATTCCAGGGAGATTGTGTTTAATTTCTGGCTCGACTATCAATTTATGGCTATTGTGAAGCCATGTAAAAATCTGTAAGTAGTTTAAAAACTAGCCAGTAATCGCTTAAAAAGAACAATCAATTAATAAATTAGGTAGTATTTGTAAATGCTTTAAAATTAAAACTAGACTAATCTTTATTTATTTCTTATTCAATTTATGTGCGCGACAAGATTTTCATTAATTGATTAATGAAAATCTCATCAACGTAATTATGAATGCAAAGGAGTTCTCAAGTTTTAGATAAATTTCGCTAGTTCTAACATTTTCGTTTACTACCTGAGGTAACAAAAGTTAAAAATTGGCAACACTGGTTCAATCGGGCAAACATTGTGCAAAGAATCGGGGAGACGGGGAGACGCGTAGGCGGGGCGATAGAAAGGGACGCAGCTATTCTGTACGTTGGACGGGATCGTAGGTATTATTCCTACGGCGCGCGGCGCGGCGATCGGCGCGGTGGGGCGCCGAGCCGCTGCGCCGTGGCCGCGGTGCGGTGAGTTCAAACGACTCGCGCTAGGTAGAAATTGAACAGCTGATTTCATGCGTAGTTCTTTAGAGAATTCACACAACCATTGCGTATTTTTTTGTTTTAGCTGTGTTATTTACATTAATGTTATTTTTCATACATAGAATGTAATTATACATTGAAATAGAGGTGTGGGAACTGAAAAAACGAAAAAAAAATGAAAATTTTCCTGAAAGAATTTTCACTGGAATGTGATTCAGAATAAGGAGCTGAATGCACCCTGTTAATTTGTGGAGGGCTGTCCCTTACACCCTGTATAAAAGTTTTTTATAGCTTAAAAATTACTGAACGTATTTAAACGAAATTTTCTAATTAATAGACTATAGTGTGGAATAACAGAAAGGCTTTTTACCACGGTATTTACTGCGGGTGTGGCTGCTGGCAGAAGCTAGTTTTATTATTTATTTGTATCATAAATACACAAAGTCGTGGCGGCCCGGAGATTAAGGCCTCCGCTTCTCTTGTATGAGATTGCTGGTTCGAAACCTAGCAAGTACCAATGTGGCTTTTTCTGAGTTATAGGTACTTTCTATGATTATTTAGACACCACTGAGATACGACGAAGGAAAACATTGTGAGGAAACCTAGACTTATAATTTCTAATTATAAGTTTGAAATCGCCAATCCGCGTTGAGCAAATGTGGTGATTAATGCTCAAATTTTCTCCGTACGAGAAGAGGTCTTTGCAGCAGAGAGCAGTGGGCACTTATAGGCTGGCGATGTGTGATGTGATATATAATAGATATATCTTGCGATAGGTTTTTCGCGGATGGTACGGTGCTGATGTGGACGACTCCAGACGAGCCTCAGTCCTGCGTGAGTCACCTCAAGAACCGTCAGTTCAAACACGGCCTCGGTATCATGCCGGGCCACTACCGGGTCGTTGGAGAAAAGGTACGCTTAACATTACATTACTAACTTCTTGGTTATATAGATACAATGCGCAGTTTTTTTTTATCTATTTATTGAGATAAGGATTTTCTCGTGTGCCGTGTGTGTGTTTAGAAACATACAATTTCACAAACTCATCACACCCGTACCCGGAACAACAAATTGGATCACACAAAGAGAGAATTGAAACCGCGACACGTTGCACTGCAGCCAGTTGCCCAGCCATATTAATGTATATTACAAAAAGTAACTATATGTAAAAAAGGATTGAGATTAAGATGTTTCCATAAGACATTAAATAACACGAGGCTGACAATAATCTTATAGGTTTTTATTAGATTATAATTCATATTCAAAAACTATAAGGTTGAAATTCTGTTGAAGAAGTTTAACAGTTTGCCATTTAACCCCATTCTTACATTTCCTGCTATAGGCGTTCCCCTTTTTCTATCGTAATTAGAATTAGAGTCCATACTTGAACGCTACTCATGTTCAGTCGCAACATCAAGAGAAGAGTAGCCGTTTGAGGCTAACCCTCATTCGGATGCGAGTAGTGGGAATTAATTTTAAACCCAAATTCCCACTACCCGCATATGGGGGATATGGAGGAGAAGTAGACCTTTTAACCTAGTAACCTCAACTCTATGATTCTATGATTATTTAGACACTACTGACATACCGTGAAGGAAAACATCGTGAGGAAACATGGACTTATAATTTCTAATTATAAGTTTGAAATCGCTTACCCGCATTGAGCAAGCGTGGTGATTAATGCTCTAACCTTCTCTGTATGAGAAGAGGCCTTTGCTCAGCAGTGGGCACTTACCGGCTGATGGTGATGATGATGAACCTCAACTATTCAGCGAAACAACGCTGTGTGTTATTTCAAGCCGATTTTCTGTATGGCTGTGGTACTAGGGTCGAGCTAATCGTGCCAAAAGCAAAGTTTCACTTTTCTGACTTAAAAAATGAATGAATGCAGGTTGTGATAGTGGTTAAGAGGGTGAACCAGGAGAAGAAGCCTGTGGCTGCGTCCAACACGCGCTTCCGTTCCCGACACAAGGAGATTGAGCAGCAACAGGAACAAACCTTCCACGTGGTGAGTAGCTTTATAAACTTCTGCACTTTTAAGGACCTATTTTTTATGTGCGTCTATTTTGATGTAGTAATTTTAGCGTACGGAATATTGTTGACTTTATTAAATTAATAGCTGTTACCCGCGGTTTTGCTCCCGTCATTTGACTAACTACACTAATCAAGCTAGTTACCTGCCTACACTATCTGCCCTACCTACTTACCCTACACTACCTACCCTACTTTACCTTTTTTTGTGAGGGGAAAATCATTTAATGACTTCTCCCGCCCAGGGTAAGGCGGGAGAGAGTGTCAGACTAATATTGACTAAAAACGAGGCCGAAGCCGTGGTGATTCATTGTGCTTACCCCGCAACCCCGGTTGAACATCAGTCCTATAGGGCCCCGTCTGTGGTGGTCTATTGGCTCTTTAAGGCACGCGCGGAACGCTACGCGTCGTCCGCTCGGGTCTGATTCTGGTCGGGCGGCGAGCTACCCTTACTTCGCCGAATCCGCGCCAGGTGCTAGGTATGATGCAATAGTACATTATTGAACAATGGTCAGGAGTTGGAGTTGTCGGGTTCCCGCTCGGCGCGCAACTCGCGCATGGAGTGGCGGCACTACGCGGCGTGCACGCGGCGCGACCAGTGGACGCAGTTCGAGCTGACGCCGGGCAAGTTCCCGCCCTTCCGCTTCAGTCGCGTGCGCAGCTATATGGCCGAGGCAGAAGCGCCGCTGCCCACTTGCTACAATGTATGTATTGCAAGTTTAAAATAATATGATTCTACCAATATTTTTTTTATCTAATTGGATGGCAAACGAGCAGACGGATTACCTGATGCTGAGCAAGCAGCGCCGCCCATTGACACCCGCAACAACAGAGGAGTTATAAGTGCGTTGCCGACGTTTTGGCGGTTAGGGACTTACACGGCTAAACACAACGCTGTAGTTGTTTCACGCCGGTTTTCTGCGGCGCTGTGATATTACTCCTGTCGGGCCGACCAATTCGTGCCGACGCATGGCTCTCCCACACTCAAAATATAATGAAAATGATTTCTATTCTTACAGAGTTTGTTGTTTTTTCATGCAAAACACGTAAAAACTACTGAATAACTGTACTGATCTGAATGAAATTTGGCATCGAAATAGATTATCGTTAGATTTTCATTAATATTGTGGGCGAATATTGGCAGAATATTGAGTTTGATCATATAGCAATGTATTCTTTCTTTTCAGAATTAAATACGGACCCTGCGGGGTTGTCACACTGCGGAAATTCTGGATTCTGGTCTTTAGTAAGTCATGCGCAAATATTCCTTATCTACCTTTCTATTCAATAGTTATTTTGTGTGATCTGATCTTGTATTGCTTGATTGCACAACAAAAGCCATTATTTGAGGTCAGAAGTATGCAAAGCATGTTAGAATTAATTGACTGCAACTCAAGTAGTTATTGTAAATTTCAACGTTACTTCTTATGCAATAAAGATATTTTTAATTTAATGTGTAATACTATTGTCTCAAAAAATTGCAAAAGGTAAATCAAAAAGAAGTTGGTGTTTAATATTTACCCTTCAAAGTAATGTAATGTAAATTTTTGCGTAATACATGTATTTGTATATAAAGGAGTACATAGACTGGGGTATAGTGGATAGTATCGATAACGAGAAAAAAATTGATAAAAATTGTGGTTATTTTTGGTCCACATTTATTATTATTGTTAAATGTATAAATAAAATAAGATTCTTAAGAATCCAGCACGAAATTAAAAATAAATTCAGTTCAGTAAGTCAACCTTTTTGCTAAACAATTAAGAAAATAAATATAAAGACAGTTAAATATCTATGTAAATATATGTGTGTTTTCATTATTCAGGATTAAAATAGATTCTTCTTAGGCACAAGTCTTTAAGCTCCTTTTATATATGATTCATTTTTGCGTAGTTTTTTAGCGTATTACGTTGCTTTGTACCAAGTATTTCAGCTTAGGTTTTACACGAAATACGACTTTATCTGCATCAAAAACGAATTAAAAATGTGGATTATTTTCCTATCACAAAAAATAATTAGTTTTGGATTCCATTTTTAAATTATTCTCTGTAAATATTGTAAAAAAATATGGACTGATGTGAAAAAGTAGGTCTTATTGTCGTGGGACGTAGGTACCTTTTTCGATGAATCCAGTCTTATGCTGTGGGGCACGAATGTTGTGATTTCTAATGCCTTCTATTGAGTACATAGTGTTCTTTAAATACCTGAGAATGTGTACTTTTGTCGCTATGGTAATTATTATTATTACATTAAGATTTAAGTTCATGATTTAGTTGTAAAGACTCGAGTGGTTTGGGAAATTTAAATCGATGTATAAAATGTGACGAATAATCTATTGGCTTAAGACTTATGTGCAATGTTGACTTTACCTACTGATGATATTTATTCTATATTATGTAATTATGTAATAATGATTCCCAATTTTCATTGGTCACGGTATTACGCATGAGCGGCTAGACCGATTTCGATGATTATGTTTATACTGTTTTTCCTATGGTCAGGAGAAGGTCTATGGAAAAGAAAATTACCTACAGGCAGAGGGGAAATTGAGAACCCTTTCGGTGACGTAGCTGTTTGCTAACAAATGAAGTTGGATATCCGAGCGAAGCATGGCATGGGTAGTCCGTTTGTATGTTTTAATGACTTGTGTATTACCAGGACTAGGATGCATTTAAGTCATCAAACCAAAAGTAAACGCCGGCGTTAGCGCACCCCTATTGTGTCACGAATTAACACTATTAAAGAGGGAGTAAGTGAAGTGAGGGACGGAGGAAATAAAGAGGGAATGGAAGCGTACACAAGTCCAAATTGTAATCTATATTTTTATGAAATATGTGAAATTCCCCATTAAAATAAACGTTTTTTAGTTTTTAATTCAAATTCAAATTTGAATTAGTTTTGGTTGTGATTTTTTGCAAAATTTGAACTAATTTGAATTTAATTAACTTAAATAAAATAAAATTCTTGCTAAATGCTTGCCTTCTTAGAAGTATTTTTTAACAACAATAAAAGAGGTTGGTTCACCGTTCTTAAAGAAATGTAGGTACCTACCGCTATGCACACAGCTCTTAAAATTGCTATCTGATCAAGTACAAAATAACTTTTTAAAACTAATCTACGCTTGTTTGTTGTAACCCATATAATTCTATTGTACATATTTCTATATCCATATACTAGCTGACTCGGCAATCGTTGTTTTTCCAAATATATTACTTCAAAAAAAAAAATGTTAATTGTGAACAACCCTTATCACACAGGTGAAAAATAGCCAGTAGCCTTTTCTCAGAACTACTGAATATGCATATAATATAGAATTTGGTTAAAATCAGTGAAGCCGTTTCTGAGGTGTAACGTAATTAACATTGTGACACGAGAATTTTATATCACTATATAGTATAAAACAATGTCGCTTTTTCTGTCCCTGCATCTCTATGTATGCTTACATCTTCAAAACTACGCAACGGATTTTGATGCGGATTTTTTAAATTGATAGAGTGTTTGTATAGGAAGGTTTATATGTATAATAGCATAAAGGGTAAAGAAATTTTCTATCAGAATTGCACCCGTATGAGGCTGGGGCGGGTCGCTAGTATAAGATAATTTATACATTACCTAGAACTCATAATGTAACTAGTGAAATGTCAGTGTTATATTCTCAGTACACGTTTACCCCTGTCGACCCCATCCGATCCAATAAGGCGCTTCGTCAACTAGAATTTTATTAATTTTTCGCTTGCTAATATGATTTAAGCTTTAACGAAACAGTCTTAAAGACTAAATTACTTTGTGACGTCTATAGACGTTTGTGTAACGGTAACTAAGAATGGTAGTGCTTTGTACTAGTCTTAAGTCTCAGGATGAGATAAAAAAAATAAAAATATTCATTGCAATTTTGATGTTTTATTTGAAGAAATTCTTGAATATTTTAACACCCCTCCCATTAGTTAGGGAGAACTGCGCGGGCGCAGTTTCAGTGGGGTATCACCCGTTGCTCCTATATCCTTATAAAGGTATTATCTTAAGCAACGCTTACGTTGTGTTTCGCTGTGAGTGAAGTTATAGGCCCAATCCTTCCCTCCCATCCCCAATCGGACTGTATGGTTGGTACAATGGCTGGGCAACTGGATGCCGCGCAACGGCAGGGCTTCGATTCCCGAAGAACAACTCTGTGTGATCCACTAATTGTTGTTCTGGGTCTGGGTGTGATGTATATGTGAAGTTGTGTGTAAACGCACCCACAACACGGAAAAAAATTCTAGTGTTTGGCACAAAAAAATCCAACTCTCTAAGTTTTTTTAAAGTGGTAAGTTCCATCTAATAACTGCTCTGGCCCTGGGTGGGCCTTCTGCTCTACGCAGAGGTTACAGTACATTATTGCGCAATAGGCCGACAATACTATTTTATTGTAACACCTATGGGTGGCCATGGAGGGCGCCGATTGCTTACCATCTTGTGAACCGACTGTTCATTTGTAAAACAAAATTGTCTTGTAAATCACTAGTCATTTCATGCTGCCTTTTGTAAACATTTTCATTGTTCTTTGCCTTTTCATTGAATTAATATTGTTTGTAAATATATAACTACTGTCTCAACTGGGCAAATGCCTCTGTAAGAATGAACGTTGGCCAAGAACTTTTGAAAGAACTTCCGTGCTAAGTTGCATAATATTTGAATAAGTATTGCTTAGCGACCATTCTTGTTCTACAACATTAATTTATCTTTTGATTTTCCATTCCATTCCATTACTATGTCAGATGTCGTTTGATTGCTTGATGCATGTTGCATGCGGACTAATGGAATATTTCCGTCCAAAGCTAAGTCTCTTTTTATGCCGAGTACAGCATAGAAGCTGAGGCTGAGGGGTGAGTACCAGAGGATAGAAAGAAAAAACGTTGTAATGTTATACGTCTTCATTAAATTCATTTAATGTACATTCTTTTTGCATATATATTATGTGAAATATTTTTTCTAAATAAAACAACTGTTCTATCACCTAGTATTTTTATTCTTTTTATATTTATGTTTATATATTTTGATTTTAAATTTATATACACGAGAGGTGCGGCGGACAGCGAGCCGCGTGGCAGCCAGGCACGCGGCGCAGCGAGCGCCCGCGCGCGCCCGCCCTGAGCCCCGGGCGGGCGGGCGCGTTAGATCAGGCGCTCGCTCAGCCAGATTCAGGAGTCGGCGGCCCGCTCGGCCCGCTCGGGGCGCTCGCGCAACTCGGCGCGCTCGGGCCGCTCGGGCCGCTCGGGCCGCTCGGGCCGCTCGAGCCGCTCGGGCCGCTCGGGCCGCTCCGGCGAGCGCGGCATGCTTGGCTCCGTGTTGCGGCGCCGCACCTTGCCGCGCTTCTTCAGCATGGTGGCCTGCGGACGGGGCGCGACTGGCAGCGGCGGGGCGGGGCGCGAGCGGTCAGGTGCCCGCCGCCGACGACGCGCCCGCGGACCCGCGCTTGGTTTTCTTCAGCATGGTCGCCTGCAGCACACGCACGTCACGCGCCGCCCGCCCCCCGCACCGCCCCGCACCGCCCCGCTCCCCGCGCTACGTACACCTGACGCCGCCGTGCTACTACAGCCGTGCCTCGCTAACGTTATGTACAAAGCGGTAGATCCAAAGTTCGGTCGAAGCGTACGAGTGCCGGAAACTGGCGTGCGATCGACTGACCGTAGTTACCCGCGCGTGCCGGTGTTGCTGCGGTATGTCAGGTGTACGTAGGGCTTCCGGCCGGAGGCGGGCTCGGGCTAGAGCGGCGACGTGGGCCGGGGCCAGGCCACGTCGCCGCTCGGTATAACTAGTGGTAACATCGGTGCTGAGTGGAGTTTGAGTGCTCGGGCGATACGTGACTCGGGGCGGTACATCTTATTATGCAAAGCTTCGCTTCATCATCTAGGCTCGGCTGCATCTATTACTCAACTCGTAAGAATAATATGAGACCGGTTAAGTTAAATTGAATTTTATCATTTTATATGAATAAAATGTATTTGAAGACAATGTGAACCTAGACCGAGCATCCAGCTGATCAAATGAAGCTTTTGATTTGAATAAAGTTTAAGAAATAGTATTTAAAATGTTTTAAATAAGCTTTAAAATTGGAGCCGTGTGCGGGCCCAGGCAAGCGAGCACATGCAAACACTGACTGGAGCTTACGACCAACGAGAGTTGAGCGGTACAATACGTGGCGCGCTGTGTATGGGATCCTTGCCCAATAGCGGGAGATTGCTTGCGTCGCCAGACTTACACTAGTAAACTTTCTGGAGCACCCACTGAGCTGATGAGGCTCAACACGTCGACCTTGAAATGGACTCTTAGGGAAACAGCATGGTTCGTGTCACACTGAGCGATGTCTCAACCCTCGTTGTCTAGTAGTAGGAGTACGTAAGTGGTGGATGTAGTTACCTTGAGCGCAGACTTGAGCACCACCACCTCGGAAGGCGCCGCCACCCACGGCTCGCCGTCCACCTGCACGGGGATCTCGCTCTTAAGGTTGATTTTGATGTGGCCACCCTGGAACAGACGACATGGTTAGAAACTTATGCGCTGGTCTGCTGGTAGGAATAGGTTAGTTCCGAATGTTCAGTCAGGACCATTGACGGTGTGTAAATGGAGGTTCGAAAAGACCAGTGCCTGCATTGGTATTTTGATACAACCTTTAATGGACTGACATGGCAATAAATTGCTGTATATATTTAGTTACAATTCCTACAAAAGATGAGTTTGTTCAGATAAGTACTTGCGCTATCCGCATGGCGCCTCGCAAGCCAGACTGGATCTGTCCCAGGTGTACGACGCCGGTGACGCCCACGATCTCCAGCATGCCATCCCAGTGGTTGGGCTTGCTGAACTGATCGTCCTTCTCCGGGCCCCATGGATTGGCACCTGAACCCCAGCTGGAAATACAGGTCAAATTATCAGTACTTCTTTTTGATAAGTCTGTATTATTTCATTTAAAGTTAGAAGTTTGGATAGAACAAAACACATGAATGTGCAATAAAATGTGTCAAAACTACCAATATTGGTCATTGTTTTCACTGTTGTGTAAACTATAACATTTCCATCCAGTATTAATGTATGCTCAAAGCTTAAAAATAAAACCAACTATTAAAATGTCATAGATAGAAGTATAAAATTACCTGAGTATATTTAAAATGATGATGCCCTCTAGCTGGGGCAGTTCGACTAACTTGCCGTCCACCTCCAGACGAATGGCTTTGTGCAAATCTTTGCACATCTTGCGCCCCACCATCTTCCGGAGTCCCATCTTCACGTACACACCTTTGTTTCTGAGCCTAAAGCATAATACGTGGTTTAATACACATCCTAATGATGCACAAAATGTTCGATGCCAATCCTTCACCACCTCCCCCAATCCCTAAATCTCCGGTAGTAGTTGTCTGTCCTGTTCTTATGACTTCTCTGGTGTTGCTCTTCATGGGCTGTGCCGATTGCTTATCCTAATTACGTTTAGTTTGTAGAGGTAGAACGGTTTTTTTAAATGTAGTGCTCACCTGCTATTAAACTTATTAGGATTCTCTTCACGAGCATTATGGAAATCTAAGCAGAGGTCCGCGTCTATCCCGATGCCGAAGTAGTTGTTCATCACGAGGATCTGCGAGTTGTCCTCGCTCTGTGATCCTGTGGTCACAGACGCTGCGGAATCACACAAATGTAGTCACAACTACTATTATGATATGATATGATATGATATGGCATAGCAGTTTTACGTGGGAACTAAATCATGGACACAAAGGGGGTATTGGACTTTTTTACAATTATGATGTATCACTACTTGTAGTTTTAAAGCTGATGAATGATGGTGATTTTCTAAAGATGATTTATAATATTTCAACTTTTCAAAAAAGTGTTTTTGGAATGAGTCACAATGATACATTGGTCATCATTGCTGCTAGGGACCTGTTTACTGACCAGGTAGTTGCTTGGAGAGCTCCTTAGGCTCGTCCTGCTTATCCTCGGGGTGGAAGACAACAGTCCAGCGGTCGAGGCGGATCTCCTCGGCATCTATGACGTCACGCAGCAACGACAGAGGGTCCTCGCAACCAGTGTAGCCGGAGCCCCAGCGGAGGGTGCGGGCCAAGTCGTTGCCTGAAGATATTTGTCAACAATTTTATGTCTGGAGTTGTCTAAGAAGTTGCGTTAGCGGTTGTTACATAGCTTTCCTACTCTTTTTGTGTTTCATAAGTCAGTCGGTTTTTGCCAATATTTGGCCAGTAACTTTAGTCAGTACTAATGATGGAATCCTTACCAGTGCCAAGCGGCACGATGGCACAAGGCGGGTTGGAGCACTGCGAGTCCTGCCCGACGTTGTCGAGACACTGCAGCACCCAGCCGATCGTGCCATCGCCACCGCACACTAGGATCTTGTAGTTGGGAATGTGACGAAACACGTACAATCTGCACACGAAATATATCATGTTGATTATGTTCTTGTGGTTTTCGCGACCTAGTTACAGAAATGTAATCTACGTAGATATTGGATTGCATTTTGTTATAAAGTCACTTACCCAGGCAGCGGACCTCCATTTTCAAGGTCAAACACCTGGTAGGGGTTTAGGAGTTTGCGGAAGGAAGAAATGAGCTCGAGGCCTTGACAGCCTCCAGACTTAACGTTAACGAACACCAGCAGAGGCTTCACGCCCGCCGGCACCATCGAAGGCTCGATGCTCGGCAACAACATCACTGTCGGAGAAGACATTTCACCCATTAATAATGTCTTTTGGACTTATAACACTATTGCCAGTTTCCGGGCTATAGGTGACTTACCCAATAAATGCTTATCTTCATATTTGGCCTCTCTGAGCGCATAAAGCGCGCGCACCGCTTTGCTCGCGTCCTCATACGTGATCACCATCGACCCGTACTCGTAGTAGATCGGGCCGATCGAGGTGAACTTGTTATCTGCAATGTTTATATTCAATTACTTCACATATTTCTTGTACTTCCAATACAAGAATTTTAATGTAAATAGTTGCACTCAGACGGTTTCACCCACTGCTACAGATCTTATCGTGATGGTTTATAGCCTATAGCCTTCCTCGATAAATGGACTAACACAAAAAGAATTTATTCAAATCGAACTAGTAGTTTCGGAGATTAACGCGTTTAAGCAAACAAAGAAACTCTTCAGATTTATAATATTAATTAAGATTAATGTTGAATGAAGGAAGGAACTTGAGATGAGAGAAAGGGAGAAAAATTAAAGAATAAAAGAAGTAGTGTGAATGATACTGACCGGCACCCAGGAACTCGACCAAGATGTTCTCGTAGTTCCTCTCGGAGAGGCCGGGCGGCAGGGAGGCGACGAAGAGCGCGAGCGTGGGCCCGTGCGGGTCGCGGCGCGGCTGCAGGTAGAAGCGCGCCAGCTCCATGCGGCGCACGGACTCGCGCGCCAGCCGCACCACGATGCGCCACGGACGCTCGTCCTCCTCCAGCACGCGCTCCGACACTGGGCCAACGGTTGCAAGCTACGCGTGATTACCGAGCCCACACAACATCGCTACTTATCTCCTACCTAACACTCATCTCCTATGCCATTATATCTCATGACTATTCTGCCTATCCGAAAAGTTCTGGCATTTAATTGCATCATCCTATAGTGACCAATTTTCTTGGCGCGGTGGCTCGGCAACTGGCTGCCACGCAAAGAGTCGCAGGTTCGATTCCCGCACGGAACAACTCATTTGCGATCCACAAATAGTTGATCCGGGTCTGGGTGTCATGTGTATGTCCACGACACAGGAGAAAATCCTAGTGTAGGGCAAAGACAAAAAATTATAAGGTGTTATTAAAAATTGTTATGTTCTGGGACACTTACCTCCCCGGTCCAGCAATATCTCTGAGCAACGATAGTCATGCACGGCCCGCGCGGGGTCGAGTCCAAACCGTTCGAGCGCGGCGGCCATCAGGTCGGCCACGGCGTCATCGCCGGTACAGCCGACCGTCACAAACGTCTCGCCAGCGCCCGCTACCCGCCCCGGGTACACTCGTACCTCTCCACCACCACTCTCTGGTTCTCTGCACAAAACCGACCAAACATTCAGGAAAATCGAAATTCACGCAAACAAAATGTAACGAAACTTTTTCAGAAGTTTCAAATTCTTAGGAATATTATTAGACATTTAACTTATAAAATCACGTGTGTTCTTAGTAATTTGTGTAAGAATGTAACAAGACTATTCAGAATCGTAATCCTGTTTGTTAATTGTGCAGAAAACCTTAATGACTGTTATTACACTATTTCATTGTCTAAGCAGGAATACTGATAAACTTGAGAGGTTTGTCTCCTCGCAGAGATAGTTGTTACTTTCTTTGTTGTGTTTGTTGCTTGCTCTTTGAAAGAGCTAAAGGAAGGGGTAGTTAATACTGACTTGAATCGTAAGAAGAGTGCCGGTCTCTTGTTGGGAAGGCGTGTAACATGCGCGAGGGGCGTGGGGTCCCTAAGCGGGGGCTCGTCGCCGGCCAGTGCGTCGGTGAGCTCGAAGAGGTCGGGGTCGCGCGCCACGTGGAAGGCACGTAGCGCTGCTGCGACCAGCTCGCGCTCATTCCAGTTGCGACCCACTACTACAGGCCGGTACAGCCGCCGGGACCAAGCTGCCTCGCCGTCGTACACCTTCACCACTTCTGATGCCGAAAAACATAATACGATGCAATAAGGCATTTTCTCAAGTACTCAATTTAATATTTATTGATCGCTATTACTCCGCTTTCAGTGAATGTGAAGAACAGAGTAACCATCGATACTCGAATAACAGAAATTGTGATCGCCAAATGATGATTGCCATCATACTTGTGTACTTTATTTACCTTCATCTCGATCATCCGGGGTCCTGTCCCGATGCTGTTTGTGATCCGGGCGGTGGTCCTGGTCGGCGGGAGCGCCCGTGGAGCCGCCGCCGGAGCCCGAACGGCCCTCGCAGCCGGAACTGAACTCCTCGCTGACGCTGCGAGCTGCAACACCCATATCGCTCACATACACACCCCCGTCGCCATCCAATTATTTATATTTGTGGAGGAAACTTTTCGCTTCTCGTATCATACAAGAAGCTAGGTATGTAGCCCGTAGAATGAGGTAAAGACTTTAGTTTCAACCTCATTTTAAGGGACTGCATGTAATGTACTGTCTAGTTTAGTCATGTTTTTTTTATTTCTTTGTTTTATTGTTTATCTGTATCGAAGCGGTTTTCGGGATTGTATAAAGTCGAGGACACAGCGCTCCTAAGTAAGCGTAACATCGCAGCCACAAGTGTTACCATAGTTTATATTTATGTTATAGGTTTATTATTATTATTTGTTCATTAACGTTATACATACATCGAGACAGTTGTTTAATTAATTCCATTTTTATACTTAGTTATTTTATAGTTCAGTGAAAATGTTTAATAGTAACTTGCATCTCGATGTATGAAATAGTCATTATTTAATCTACTAACATTAAGTTGTATGACACATCAGGAAATATAAGTGAAACAAGTACCTAAGTAGGTACTTATTTTTCTTTATAACTTTAATACAAAACAGATTTCGTTTTAAAATTCACATTGTAAAACTGACCATCATACAACTTTAAAAACATACATTAATATCATGATGTCATTATTAAAAAAAATATCGGCCATCTTTGCCTGTAGGGTTAATAGAAGAATGTTATACATGGTACATTGCTTGTTGAGAACGCGTTTTAATAATGACATCTTACACAAAGCAGCGTTGGACACTTAAGCATAAATAAATACACACAATGTATGTAGTTAATATCGCGATATCCGTCTGTTACCTTCGTGCCGTTGGAATACTGCATCATGAGTATTCTTGGACTGACCGCCCTGAGCTATGTGAGGGAGTGGGCACGGAATACCAGGGCTTCACTCAACTACAAGACTAGTGCCGGGCGCCGGGAGAGTTCTGCTAAAGATTTACACTATTGTGGAAATACAAGCCGTGTGGAAATATTGCAGAGGGGGCATTCACTTACAGAATAGAAATAAGTAGGTAGGAATATTGTCTGTCCGTCAACATTGTTATTTTTGAAACACGATTGTTCATAGTGCATTCGTTGTGCCCTCTTTTCTTTGTAATATGGGCAGCTATCAGACTCCAAGGTGTTACAGAGAGAGGAAAATAGATCAATAAACTTTTTGAGGTCTTGTAGTTTCATGAACAGGGAAGGTATAGAGAGTCGTGTGACGGCATCGAGTGAGGTACAGAGTGCCGCAGGTGTGCAGTACGTGTTACTCGGTTATAAAGCAGTCGCCTCATGCACACACAAACCAAGAGAGAAGGAGAGACAGCTTCAACGGTGAGCCAAGAATGTGTACGGCGCTACTTGCTGTGGAATATAAACTGGTTCCCTTTCAAATGTTCTGTAGATAAGTGTGATTAAATTTTATAAGTTACAGTTTGTTGATCCGTAAACATCCTTGTGTGGAATAGGACAGAGTTAGTGTTTTAAACATATATATACAGTTTGTAGAGCTTCTAGAAGGAAGGTGTAAGCTGACAGTGAAAGCCTTTACGTTCCACTTGACTTAACTGCAGTAAGAGTTGAGTCAAGCAACATGCATGGAGATGTACCGACCAGGCAACCGTGTTACTCTACAGGTTTCTGAAAATGAAACTACAAGCGTCGCGTCTAGTGATCCGGCGAGCGGTGCGGAGCGCCAGGTGCTGCTGGTACGGTCCCTGGTTGGTACAGCTGTGGGAGCCGGTGCGGGTGCGCTAGACGCGGGGCGTGGAGGTCGTGGGGGCGCGGGGCTGGGCGCGGGCGGGTTACCTCTGGAGTAGGGGGGCGAAGCGCCACCGTGCGGGCTGCAGGCGGCGGGCAGCAGGCGCCGCGCCAGCGTCACCAGCCGCGCCGGCGCCCATCCGCCAGCGCGCGCTGCCCCAACACACACGCTCACGCCACGCCGCTCAACGCATGTGCCAAGCGATTCGCCGAGTCGCGTCCGACCTACACCGCCTACCGCGACTGTGCCGCCACCGATCAGCCACGCACGATCATCACACCCCTTCACTGACGTACTTCGAACCGAGTGCACAGTCGAAAGACCAAGGTAAAAGTGTACTGAGGGAGTCAAGCCAAAAGAAGTGTAACTTGGAAAAATTATTGCTATGATTTCCAAACCCAATGTAAGATAAAGAATTCATTAGCAAAGCGAGTCATAACAAAAAATAGTTTGGCAAAAAGTTCCTGTGTTGATCCTCTGCATCTTGAAGCAGCAGATCTGTGACCGTGTGTGCCTGTGACCAGCTGAGCGCGAACCTTCCGACTACTTTACAAGCGAGGCCTATACTAAGGAAGCTCGCTGCGAATTGCGTGGCACATGTACGTGGCGGGAAGCGGTGTTTGCCGGGGCCACTGTCTGTGGGACACTTACGGCAGCCGAAGTCCCGCTGCGAAGGCGGCGGTCGCACGTGCACGCCGATGATGGCTTCCATGGGCACCTCCGTGCGCGGGATAGACACCGCCGACGGTGGTAAGAAGATCGGCTGCAGCATCCCAAAGTTGCAATCGTCCTGTATGAGGGCGCGACATCCTGCGTGGCACTGTGGGACGAGCTCGCGTTCAGTTATTACGTAATGCGTGCAAAAACTACAAGAACTGCAAGAGGAGATACTGACCGTACTGCCGCACCACTCGCAGCGGTAGCCCGTGAGGCACTCGGCGGACCAGCAGGCCCGCCGGCACGCAGAGCATTTGCTGTTCGCGGGCAGGTTGCCCTCGCGCCAGTGGTGCACGTGGCGCGGCTCGCTGCCCGCGCAGTAGGTCGCGTTCTCCTTGCAGTCGGCTGCAGCGAAGTCTACGCATTCTCCGTGCACGTAGTACTCGCATACTGCACGAAATACACGGGTCAGTACACGGGCCGCGCTTATGAGCCAAGCAAAACATACGTATAGCTGTGATGCATCGAGTAAAACAGTTGAGCCTACGTTTGTCGGAATTTTAGTCATGTGGCGCTAGATAGCTAAACAAACACGAGTGCTGTTGTCTTAGCAGTACACAAACCAAAGTACATCATCACAATTAGCGTTTCTACAAATCAAAAAGTCATAATATTTACTCGTAACACCAGCATCTCAACGTGTCACCTATCATAAAAAGGAATGTTACGATTACTCAAAATGAAAGAGTTTCGTCAGTATCCATGTGTGGGTGTACTCACTCATGCAATGTAGAGCTGGTAATTCATCGAGCCGCTTCCGGCACACCGTACAGAACTTGCGTTTGTGGTGTGTGGGCTCTGACCAGCAGTGAGCCACTGGGTTCTGTGGGAATAATAAACAATCAGCTATCCGTTCATATTGGTACAGGGGGCGTCTGACTGCAACATATAGTTTGAAGTAGGTAAGTATATCACCTTGATGAGGCTCGGCGCCACCCCGCAGCACGGCGTCACCACTTGCCCCACGCATCGCTCGTGCACTATGAAGTTGCAGACTGTGAACAGAGAGGTTGTAATGTCAGATGACGTCACATACGCTCCCTAAGCGTGAGGTGATAATGTCTCCGCGCTAGTTCGATGTCGTAAATTACGATTAGTGCTGTAATAAATTGGATGGGTGACCATTAGCGACTTCGGTGTTACTGTGCGAAGAGCATCGGGTGATTCCCTTCGCATTAATTTGCTTCGAATGTGTTGGGGATACATTTTGTGATGAAAAAAGTTTAGTTTTATTGGTAGAACTTAGGTTTTGAGTTTCAACAGCAGTACCTACCTATATGAGAGTATCACGGTATGTAGCACAAGTACCTACATTTGTTTTTTAGCAATGTATTCTACATACAAAAAAAAATCTGTACTAAACTGTAGCGTTAGCATTCAGTATAATAAAGTTACACAGCCCACAGTCGGTCTTTTTAATATGACCTTTTTTAATCTATCGTGTCTCAATATTAATAACCATCATACTATAACTAAATTGAATCATAAAATAAGTCTCATAAAGATGAAATTAATAAACTACATAGAATATCGTTGGCTGGAGACCTCTAAGCTAAGGGAACAAACAAATATCTGTCGTAACATGAAAGTATTCCATAAGCTAATAGTGTTGGGGTAATGAAGTGGATGGAACGCATTAGCCGGCACGCGATGCATCGTCACTGATCAAGTTCAGACATGCCACATGATGACACCGTGGGGACCTGAGCCACGCACGGACCCCGTATCGTAGGGTTCCACGTCATGCACTTCTTGTATAAACTCTGACCCTTTTTACAAACATTCCTAACTTCTGTCATTGGCATTAAATTAATTATAGTAAGTATAGCATTATCCATACTTAACATGCATCTACAGGTCCTGGGCGGGAGAAGCCATTTGATGGCTTTCCCCACACAAAAAAGAGTTACAAGTTTTTTTTCGCCTCCTCAAATAATATCTTCTGATTGAGAATATTGTGTTCTATTGTTCTATTGTAGATTCTGTCTTACAGAAGTTGCAGTTCCATCCTTATAATCATATAAGTACTGCTGTTTTCTAAATTAACCTAAGCAATCTCAAGATATAATTGATAGTAGGTAAGAATAGATGAATACGAGAAGAAAAAAATCTACGATTCAAAATTTGGTTTTTACCTCCATAATATTGAGGTTGTTAAGATGTGAAAATGTGCCAAAGGAGATGTATTTAAACTGTAAATTAATTTACAGCGAGATGGAGGAATATTGAATGCAATGTAAAGCAATGAATCCAATCTCGACACTAATTGAATTAGTTTAGATGCTAGTTAATCTCCACGGCGTATTGTGATTACCATGAAACGAAGATACACAAGTACCTACATAGCTAGTTACGGACGTAAGAGGTTTGAAGTGCCTGCCAAGATATCAGTAATGTATTGCTTTCTAATCGTTCTCCCTCTTCAATATAATTTATGACGAATTCACTACCTCTAAATAATAGCCAAGATTAATATTCATACTCGTTAAAATCTTAATATTTTTAAATAAAGCTTTCGTCTTCGTAGCAGATGACGCAAGCACAAACCTTAGAATATAGTTTATTTTTTACGTAATTTAAAAATAGAATAAAAGTACAAAAGGAGTTTGTATGACTAGTGGCGCCGTCCATAGACAAAATAGTCGGTAATGTCGGGACATGCACGGCTGGGGCGCTCGAGCGCGGGCCTCTCGCAAAGTCATCTCGAAGCATGGATCGATAGGGGCGCGCATGCTCGCATCTCGCCGCCATCCCACTGGAGACACTGATGTTGCCAATTTATATTGTCGTCGGCAGTAGCCGAATGTTGGATAACCTCTTACACTTTGCTAGCTTTACGTTTTTGATGTTTAGCCTTTTGCTGCTGCAGATATCTATCTATCCTTCTGACATACATGCCGACATCCACAAGTAATGCAATTAATATAAAATTGCTACCGACTTCAAGTAGGTTCGTCCTTGTAAGGAAATTCTATATTTAAAAAAAATCTAATTATAGTGATTACGTGTAGATTTCCCTTTGGATAGCGATTTTCTCAGATATCGTTATGATGGAACCTAAACGTTAAGAAGTCTCGCTTAGTTTGTATGGGATAGAGCGTGTGTACGACATGACACATACCATTATAAAAATAATATTTTGCTTTTGCCATACATGTTAGGGTCTACGATTATGACCTACGAAAGATGTGTAACATTCATATTTTTTTTATAAAGTATAATTTATTTTAAGGAGCGTTATGCATTGTGTTAAGGTCATAATATAAATGATTTCCTTAATAAAAAAGGTTTTGCATGTAAAAAGGAAAATATTGTAGGTAGATAGTTAATATGGGGACCATAGATAAACTATTCCCTAATGGAATCATAATTTTATTACATCATGCACTTTAGATAATGTAATATACTAATAAACCAAACAGACTGTTGCCATGTAACCTTTTAATACACAAATACATATCGAGACGAACTCAAAAGGTCACGTAGTTACCACAATTATTTACCATATTGTTACGTCTATTTTAAACTCCCTACTCAAAAACAGTTAAAGTTGTAAATAGATACGAAAATAAAAATAATAAGAAGCTAACAAATAACACAACCTTTACCCCGTAACGTACGCGAAACATAAAACAAAGTAAGTTATTTATAGTGTGCGCTTGTCAATAAACTACAGCGGGTTTTTATACGCGGAAGGGCACAGCCGGATGGGGATCAAGGAAACATATTAGTGGTGTAGTTCTGACGTTAATACGTCACGGTATATTTAAATAACCTCGGGCGGGGCCGGCTGGAATAGACACGGATTTGGAGGAACAGACGCGGCTGCAGCCCGCGCGGCACCATCTTGCCAGAGGTGACACTACAAAACTACGCGTTCTATATTCAAAATACCTAAGCAGATTTTTTTTTATTAATTACTTGGCTGTATGGAGTATACTGATAGTCTTACGAGACCTCGATTAACTGTTTAATTCTCATCTCCTTTATCTATTTCTTCTTTCTAATATTACGTCTATGATCAAAACTGTTCATAGTTTGTAATTTGAGTGGATCATATCGTCATAGCTTAAATAAAATTTCCGTTGCTGATTTTTTCGTCTCAATACCAAAAATGGAATAGAGAGTTCTTTGGAAGTACTCTTAGTCACGGAACTTTTTTGGAGGCTGGTTCGTGTGCCCACCGCAAGTCGTAGTGCCAAAGTAAACACTCACTAGACAAGAACTGAAATAGCCTGAGGGCAATAGCCTAACGTCGTGATCATCTTCGTGAAGTTCAATGTTTATCATATGGACCAATTCATAATTGTATACCAACGTACCTACGTAGATATTATAACAGCACCGTTTATTACTTCACTGAATAGGTTTACTGAGCTTAAGCTATTAAATTGTTGAATTAGAACTAATAGTTCGATAGTTTGCTATCCTGACTTCAGATTACGAGTCTTATAAACACCAGCAGATAATTGCGTGCGAACTAAACAATACTCGCTCAAAACAATAAAACTAGTAGGTAGTTATTAAAAGCTCGAGTTGAGTTGTTAAATTTAAACTATTCGGCGTAACCCCTCGTTGTCCGAAATAAGGCTAATTAACACAATGAATCAGAGACACCACAAATAGCCGGCACTGTCTATATATAGCGGGGCCGCTTGTAAACATGCGTGCACGCACGCCGCGACGCGAGCTATTCTGGCGCCATATTCGGCGCTTTATTGTATTTATAGGCGGAATTTATTGAATATTGTTCCTCATTGAGGAACGACGCGACGTTGCTAAAACATAAAACATAACCTTGATTTACTTTTAATGTGTATTTTGACAGATGTCCGCCATCTTATATCTCTATGGTCTCAGACTGTTGTCACATGTTTTTCATTGAACGCTCGAAATAAAAGCTTAGTACCTATGAACAGCTTTATAGGTACCTAACAGTAAATTATATGAAATTTACATAAGTAGTACTGTATCCAACAGTCCTACGTACGTACCATACTCAACTAAGCATTTTTTAATGGCTGATTTTTCAATTATCAGATAAATGTTATCTGAGGAATAAAATTGTTGCTGTCACTGTCTTATACAAACATTTTGACGCGACAGCATCATAATTATTGCCCAGGTAACTTTTATGTAACCATTGAATAATCAGCCCTTAATGAAACAAATGAACGCTGCAATGAAATTGAATAAAATGAACGGCTGTTAGATTGAATAGGTTATGATATGCTTGCTTTAAACTGGAAGGCATGATTGTCACGTTGTTGTCACCCAGTCATTACCGGTGTCACTCCGTCCTTAGGTCGTTCGGCGGTACTTAATTATGTATCGTAAAAATTCAAGCCACCTGTTGGTATCGCGTGCTGTTCTATAGGCCTCCATGACACTCACAACTTGTTCCACAACTCGTATTGACTTACGAGTCGCAAAACAATACAGTCTTTTTGGTAGTCGAAACTGTTTTCAATCGTGTTGGATTACGATTCGATTTAATAGATATGAAATTTTATGTGACCAATTTTAATTTAGTATTTTACCTATTTTAGAATATCGACTTATTGTTGCTGTTGTTGTTAGGTAGGAGTGCTGTCTCTGTGTATACCAACAAATTCTTTAATTTAAAATTCAATACATATCAATAGTTACGTTTCGCGACCTGTTCCTCACAGGGATCACAGGATAACATTATGAACAAATCAATAATCTAGGCCACATGAGAATTTTGCTAAAATCGCCGACTTGAAACTCCGTAGTCTCGTTTCTTATAGGTAAGTACGTCAGTACCTAAATTAATTTCTTCTAAAATGTTTATAAATACCGTTCTCCGTAAAAATTTCGTCACAAAATTTTAAAAACTTTTACAAAATACACCAACGAAAATGAAACTTGTGAAGCTTTCAATTAATTTCATCTGACAAAGTAAAGTAGAAGGTACCTACGTACGTTCATTATTCTACGAATTAATCATTCGTGCTTACGTGATCTACGTAAC